AAATGTTTCTTCCCCCACCAGAAAAGCAGATGATGAGCATTGAGCTCAGGACTTCCCTCCTATATTGTGCTGAAATCACCCGTATTAATTAATTAATTTTGTATACCGCCCTGTACCTGCTGGTCTCAAGGCAGCTCACAGGATAAAATCACAACATAAAAACACAAATACACAATCAAAACAAAAACAACTCAATAACACCCCTCAACACATTTTAAAAGGGCATTGGATTTACCAGTCTGATATTAGAAATGACAATATAGAAAAGCCAGTAAGGGAACATTTCACCTCCCACAATCTCTAATGAACCTTAAGGTTGCTTTCATTGAACAAAGAATCAACTGAATTACAATGCATTACATTCAAGAGGTTCAATGCTATCACTTGTGGACTGAATTCATATACAGTGGTACCTCAGGTTAAGTACTTAATTCGTTCTGGAGGTCCGTTCTTAACCTGAAACTATTCTTAACCTGAAGCACCACTTTAGCTAATGGGGCCTCCTGCTGCTGCCGCGCCGCCGGAGCACGATTTCTGTTCTCATCCTGAAGCAAAGTTTTTAACCTGAAGCACTATTTCTGGGTTAGTGGAGTCTGTAACCTGAAGCGTATGTAACCTGGTAAAGGTAAAGGTAAAGGTAAAGGTACCCCTGCCCATCAGGGCCAGTCGTGACCGACTCTAGGGTTGCGCGCTCATCTCGCTCAAGAGGCCAGGAGCCGGCGCTGTCCGAAGACACTTCCGGGTCACGTGGCTAGCGTGACGAAGCTGCTCTGGCGAGCCAGCACCAGTGCCGCACACGAAAACGCCGTTTACCTTCCCGCTAGAAAGCGGTCCCTATTTATCTACTTGCACTTAGGGGTGCTTTCGAACTGCTAGGTAGGCAGGAGCTGGGACCGAACGACGGGAGCTCACCCGCGGGGATTCGAACCGCCGACCATACGATCGGCAGGTCCTAGGCTCTGTGGTTTAACCCACAGCGCCACCCGCGTCCCCTGTATGTAACCTGAAGCATATGTAACCCGAGGTACCACTGTAACTGATTTTTGTTGTGCTGCACTCAATTATTTACTTTGTTGTCACAATCCAAAAGGCCTTCTTTGAGGGCATTTTGGGAACAATTGCTGCTTCAGAACTCTTGCAACGCATTTCCATGATTCACAGGAATCAACTGATGCTAGAATTGGAATATTAGGAGCAAGCTTTTAAAATCCATTGGATGTTATAGGTGCTGACGGAGCAAATTAATTTTGGATGTTTTCACAAAGGAAGCATTTGACCTGGATTTCTGAGGCCAGATAAAGTCAATGAACCAAGGCAAGCAAGGAAATTGAAGCAAATTCTTTTTGCATACCAGATGTCAGGACCTTATCAAGGTTGCTTAAAAGCCTGATAAGGGGTTTGAGAAGGATTTGGAAGGTAGAGAAACAGGCTTAATGATTCCTCTTTACCTTCTGTCTGCAGTTTCATCTGTGTTTCTTGCTTTCTTGATAAGATCATGGAGCTTACGAGAACCACTGTGGTGTGCAGGTGGTTAGAGTCTGAGGACTTTCATCTGGGATAGTAAAATTTATTTATCTACCCAATGAGGTGATTTCAGGCAAATACTGCTTTTGTAGATTCTGTTGTCTGTGGCAATAGGACTTGCTTCCAGCACAATGGTATTGTTATGCTGCTGGAGATTCATTGTGTTGGTGTATTGCTTTGTTCCTCCACTGGAAAATGTGAAGTTGGCAGAGGTGACCCTATTTTGCCCATCCAGCATAAACATGAAGATAGACTTGCTCTTTAAGAACATCGAGGGAATCTGTGGTTGAGTGCCATTTGAACCCCACTTTTCAAACTCCAACATGATATTTACAGTAACTTGGAGGGGCAATACGCAACCTGATAGCTGCTCCAGTCACCAGTCATAAGCCCTTCTCCTTAGCAGTGGTGGAGCTTCATGCTCCAGCACCAGGGGTGGTGGTGGAGGAGAACAGGTGTGGGCTGGGCTGGCGCGCCACTTGCAGGGGCGTGGTGTGTGTTCTTGGGCGTGGTGTGCGTCCTGGGTGTGTGGCATGCTGCCTGCAGGGGTGTGGTGTGCGTCCTGGTGCAGGGCACGCCACCTGCAGTGGCGTGGCGCCCAGCATGGGAGGGGGGGCAGCCACGATGGCACCCCGCCGGGATCGCGCTGCTGGGGGCGGTGGGCTACTCCCACACTCCTCTTCCTCCGCCAGTGCTCCTTAGTTCATAAGAACTTCTAGTATCTTGGTTCTCGAACTCAATCTGTTCTGGAAGTCCATTTGACTTCCAAAACGTTTGCAAACAAAGGCATGGCTTCTAGTTGGCTCATTGGCCCTGGAAACAATGCCGACAGCCGAAACAGACGTTCGGCTTCCAAAAATCATTCACAAACCGGAACACTTACTTCCAGGTTTGTGGCATTCAGGAGCCAATTTGTTTGGGAGCCAAGGTACCACTGTATTGTCAACTCTCACCTCAGCCTACTTGCATAACCTGGTAATAATGTGGTTATTATTACCCCACTAAGTGGAAATATTAAGTAGGTCCCTTAGAGTGGAAGGAGGGGCACAAGTGATTTGCTCAGCTAAAACAGTTTTTGATGCCTAGGGTGGGCAAGGTTAAGAAAGAATGAAAAGAGAGGAGTAATAGGGAGGGGCATAAACAAGGCGCATAAACACACAAAACATTGCATCATGTTCAGTCACTTTCCAAGAAGAAGATTCACCTTTTAGAAGCAGGAGTCTCACAGGTTTCTGCCATGTTAACTCTTGAAAATAATCAGGAACCAGGAACCAGGACAGAAGTCTAGAGCAGGAACCATGGGCAGCTGCCCAATCCCTGTGGATGAACCATAATCTCCTGATCCCCAGATTTCATTTTAATTATTTTTAGGAGTATTGCTAGCATTTATAGAACCTGAGGTACGAGGTGTCATTCTTCTCATTCCTTTGTGAGAAACTCATCTGCTCCCACCTTCTTTTGTCACCCCCATGGGACAGCGGAGGGTAGAGGGAGACGGCTTCCCTTCCTGGGACCTCCTGAGCAGGGATGGAGGAGCCGAGGAGCAGCTCTCTTTCCCTCCCCAATTGCTCCCAGGTGTGCCAAAGAACCGCCTCATGGGCAGCTGCTCTAACCGGGGATCAGTTGCAAGACAGGCAGGTTTGCTCAAGCAACAGCAGAAAGCAGCTTCACAATCTTCCACAGTCTTTAGCATTTAATTGGCCTAGGAATTGTACCCCATATTCAGTATCTCTTTGCTGATAGTTAATTATGCATTTCCTGCAATTTTGTCCTGACCGTCCCTGCATACCAGCTGAGTCTCTGGGCAAAATAAATGAACCACAGATGGTTGCTAGGCAACAGAACCTCAGGCTTAACCAGTGGATGTCAGTAGGTTTCTGCATGCTCAGTCTCTGGCACTGAGGGAAATGTGAGAGGAAAACCACCATGCAGGCCACAGGCTTGGTCTAGTCCATCCCAGACCTTTTGCATGACCACCCTGGCGTTCCTTTCTTTTCCCCACCCTTCATGAAGGATATGTTGTCATTTGCAGGACCTTATTTCACAGCCACCCACTTCAATCCCAGAGCCATTAAGCTAGAAGGCAACAAAAGACCACCTCCCTGCTGCAAATGAGGCCCTCTGCCCATTGGCTTTTTTTGCTGCCCTAAGCAGCCCATGCAAATCTGCACTCTGGTGTCCTGGAAGACACACTTTGCTATAGACTTGTATGCTTACCAGATTTTTTTCAAGGAATCTGGGGACACTCCTCCCCCCCTTTTAATTTCATGCTTTATTATATTAGGAAAGGTTTGCCCAGAGTTCTTGACCTTTATTAGGGGCGGACCCCCAAAGTTGTTGGGCGAGCACCTCGACACAAGGCCATCTACAAACACACAAACACAAAAAAGAGGTTGGTGGTGGTGGGGAGAGAGGTTGAGTAAAGGCCCTCGCTGGTCTTGGGAAATCGTGCATGAAAACACACACACAAGGCACCGGCTCCCGTGCTGGAGGGCGAGTGCAGTCTCTATGGAGATTTAACTGGTGGTGGTGGTGTCTCGTTACCAGAGGTGGACAAACAGCGGACTCACACACAGCCCTCCTGAAATATACTCGGAGTCGAGAGTGGATTTCATGCTCTTTATTCAGCTCATAGTGGTGAGGAGGAATGGAAGTTCCCCCAGAACGTCTACTTTATATACATTATTTACACAATGGGCCCCACGTGATTGGCTAATTCTGGGATTCTCCTGTAGGCCAATCAGGTTGCGGATTCACTTCCACCTGGAGCTGGATTGGGTGGCTCCTGTGGACCAATCAGACTGCTGCAATCTGGGTCCTATTGTTCTAGGACCAATCAGACTGCGGCAATCTAGGTCCTATTGTTCTAGGACCAATCAGACTGCTGCATTTGGATCCTATTCAACTCAGTACATAACACCTCCCCACAAGAGAGGCTGCTGGTGCCGCAGGAGGTGCCCCACTCCCAGCGCAGCACCACCGGGGACCAGGGGCGCTGCAGCTCATTTCTATGCTTCTCCTCCTCTTCTTCACCACCTCAGAGCCTCACTCGCCCCTCCCCTACTCCGGCCCGCAGAGCCCGCAGCAGAAGTTCAGGGTGAGCCAGAAGGAAGCTCCCTGGCTTGCGCCTCGGTTTAAATAGCCCCCCCCCCACCAGTGGATTGGTTGGCTGGAACTTTGACATGGCCGGGACCTCCGGTGCTGCTGTCTGCCATGGCGCCCACCATGTTGCCTTGCCAGAAGTCCATAGGCATAAATCCGGGGACATTAATTAAAATCCAGGGACAGATATTGTCCGGGGACAGATTGGTGAATCCGGGGACTTATGGGGAAGGCTCTGCCACTCTGTGGTGGCACCTCTGCTTTACATGCAAAAGGTTCAAGTTTCAAGCCTTGACCTCTCCGGCCAGGGCTGAGAAAAATTCCTTTACTCCTCTCTTCTTTAGTGACGGGCGAGGAGACCCGTGCTAAAACAGCAGGTCAAGGGGGCAGATTTTCTGAGCAAAATTCTCTCCCTGCTTTGTAATCTTATCACAGGTGGAGGGGGGGGGCTTCCTCTGCCACTGAGGGGTTGGTAGAAGATAAGCAAGAGATTCTAGGAAGGGTAGCAAAATAATCTGAAAAATCTCAGCATGCAGAATCCTTTCACAAACTTGCTGTTTATTCTGAATTACCAACACTTTCTTCATTTTTTTTTACAGGCTGCTGTCTACATGATGAAATAATTTGCCTGTGGCTATGTATTTATTTTTGTACACATACACTATTACATTTTTTTTGTTTGTGCCATTTTAGCAGCATGGTTTTTTATAATCAGTCTTTAATTTGCACTAAAGTGTGTGTGAGTTTCTGCAATTGAAAAGGGGTTTCAGTGCAAGGCTGTTGTTTTTTAAGCCATCTTTCCAGTCAGCCTTTTAGTTAGTAACAAAACCAAAACAGTTTTAAGCACAGTTTTAAGTTTTTACACAAGAATGCCTAAAAACGCTTTAGCACAAATTAAATTAGTGAGCTTTTAAAAATTGATCAAAAATGGATTTTTAAATTGGCATGTTCAGAATTGGGTATTTCCTTCCAACTCAACAAGAGTGATATGCCACAATCACCAGTGTGGACAGAATATGGAATATGTGGAAGGTCAACTGCAGTGCCAGATGCAGTTTAGAGCAACAGCTGATTTGGTATCACCAAGAGCCACCAGTCTGCACGTTCAGATAGTGAAAGCCTCCTTAGTGACATCCCACCTGGCAGCTCCTGAAGTTCCCACCTAGCCAGCTCAGTTCTGCTGCCTCTCCCTGCTGCCTGCTGGGTCCAGGAATAGTGACTATGGGCCTCCCAATGCAGACAGAGCTATGCCAACACACATCATTCTCACCCTGCTGAGGTTATTCTAGCATGTGCTAGAATAGAGAAAATTAGGTTTGCAGGTAGACACAGAAGGAAACCATTGGAAAAGACCCTCTGGTAGCCTTCTGCTCCCCGATTCAAACATCTCACTTAAGAAGGTTGGGGCTCTCTGTGTTGCATTTCAGATCTGTCAGCATAAAATATGGTGGGAATCTGAAGAAAGCTGGCATTCTTGATTATTCCAACCACTCTTTCAACCTAGGGCATTTCCAGACAACCTGTTTATTGAATATCCATCCTGATTTGTTTGCAGGGAGGCTAGATTATATTTTTGTGGCTGGGATAGCCCAGTTAAATGGGCAGCATATAAACATATTATTATTATTATTATTATTATTATTATTATTATTATTATTATTTTGTGGGGAGGTTCGGTGGTGCTGGATCAAGGCAAGTCATCCCAATCTAAGAGTACACCCTGATTACGCCATGGAGAAGGAGATGTCCTGAGTTCACACATGTCTAAAGGGGCACCTTATTATTTGCTATTACCACTCATGTTCCACTGCCAAATCTTGTCAGGTAAGTTTGGGGACTGAATGTCAGCCTTCAGGAGTATTAATAAAAAATTGATAAAGGAAGAATCAAGGATGTATGGTTCCAACACAGATAAAATGTATCTAAGGTTTTCACCATCATGATACCCAGGGGTGGCCCATTCTGGTTCACCATCACAGGCACACACACACCTGCCCAAACCTTGCTTATTATGGTTGCACCACTGCTGTGGCTTCCACAGAGCTCACAAGATCTTGGCAGAAACCACCATGCGGCTCAGTGGTGGCCAGGCAGGCTGACCGTGGGATTCTGCCACTCCAGGGGGCTGCTTCAGTCTGCCTCCTGGGGGGCCCAGCCCTGGTGATACCAACATGTAGAAAGGTGCTACTTTGCGCACACAGAAAAACAGCCAATTTTTCTATCTTCATGAGAGGTTAAGGCTATGTGCAACTCTCTATTTTCTACCTCCATAAAGAGTAAATTCTGCTAAGGGGACATGAAGATTGGCCTACTCCTTGCCGGTTTCAAAAGAATGCCAGAAATGTTCCTATCTCCTGAGGAATGCTGGCGCTGGATGGAAGTCAAGAGGTGTACATAGAATATGCTTTGATCTGAGTACAAAATATCTCCAGAGGTGCCCAAGGTTGTTTTGCCAGTTCCCAAATCCAAAACTTATAACTATTTCCAACTTGCTCTTAACCGCTTTTCTACCCCTTCCGTCACGAGCGCTGTGTTCTAGGGAAAGATGTAGCATATCAGTATTTTGACAAAGTCCACAGGCCCTGACCAGCACACGAGAACCAGAGAGCCTCTTGCCTTCACAAAGATAAAAGCTACCATGCAGAAGCCGACTGACATCTGTGGCAGGTCTGGTTTAGATCTCAGAAGGAGCACTGTGACCTAGAAAAAGAGAAAAGTGATCTTTAAATACCTCTGCTGACTCACCAGCCAGCACTGCACAACACAGATGTCACTGAGACAGAGGCCGGGTGTGAAAAAGGCAAGCTATAATTCTTAGGGAAAGACTTCAAATGAAATGCCAAGATTAATTTATTTGGACCAATTATCTTTACTCGCCCCCCTCCAATTTCTATAATGTGCATCTATGAAATTGGCTGAATACAGTTGTAATGAATGTTTGGAGCAAATGTATCTCACAATTTTTGTATTTTCAGTTGAGTATAACATTTGCAAATTCATTGCTAGGTTGCAGAGACCTTCCTGACAAATACTTCAAATCAAGCAGATAAGATCTATGAATTGCACCTGAGTTGAAGGTTGCTATTATATCACTTTTGGATGAAATCTGTGGGTGGGAAGACAGGAATATTTATCTTCCTTCTTGTTCATATTCTTCTCAAGACCGGATATCAGGGACGTCTGTTGCTGTGGAACTAGAAGCTGCTGCTGCTGCAATGCCAGCAATGTGTCAGATGTTTATCTGTGTCTCAGCTGTTACCAGGAAACAAAATGTTGACCAGAGAGTTTGGCAGGGATGAGAGAGAAAAGAAATCAAGTGACAACTGTTTGCTTTAAGGAAACTGGAATGTTCTCTGCAAAAAACCAAAACCAAACAAAAGCCCTGGCAAAGTGAGGCAGGATCTGTTTCAGGTAAGAAGAAAGTAGTGGTGTGACTGGTGTTATTAACTCTTCTTATGCTGTAGATATACTTCTAGGATGACCAATTAGCCAGCAGCAGCTGGGTTAAAAGTTGGCAACCCTAGGCTATGTGCCACATAGCATCGTGTTTTTAATATTCAGTTGGGAGCCGCTCAGAGTGGCTGGGGAAACGTAGCCAGATGAGCGGGGTATGTATGTATGTATGTATAAATAAATAAATAAAATTATTATTATTGTTGTTGTTGTTGTTGTTGTTGTTGTTGTTGTTGTTGTTATTATTATTATTAGTTGAGTGGCCAACTCCCCACCCCCCGCTGACAGAATTCCTGTGTCTTTAACAGCAACATATTAGGCATCTTTTCAATGGGCACAACTGTTTATACAAAAAAAAAAAAAAAATCCTCAAAGCAACTTAATAATAAAGTAAAGTACAAAGAGGTAAGATAAGTTAAAGCCAAATTTTAAAAAAAGAAAAGAGCAACATACAAAGAACCTCCTAAAAGATGGACTTAGTAGTGGTTGTGATCCTGGTCACTTCACTTGCCAAGCTCATTTACCCACCAACCCTCATCTTATCAACCCCCTTGCCCCTCCCTTTACACTTCACACACCCAACACCCCCGACTTTGCCTACCTCTGCAGTTTGCTTGGACTGCTTGCCTACTAACCTGTCCACACCTCCCTCCTCAGCTTCCCCCCTCCTTGCCTCACCTGGGCCACCCACTTGCTGACCTGCCCATCTCCATCCTCTGGCTCTCTTCGCTCCTCGTCTCTCATGGTCCTGCATCTCCCCCCTTTGGATTCCTCCTCCTAGCTTGACCCAGCTGACTGCTCAACAGCCCCGCTGCTCTTTCCACTGCAGGTCACAGTGCCCCCTCTCTGCAGTTGCTGTCCCTGCTCACATTGCTCACCACACCCACTCTCCACCCCCTTGACAAACACTCTCCTCCCCCAACTCCTTCCAACCCCAGCCATCCCAGCCGATCTGCCACTCCCATCCCATCCCCAATTCCCATCCTCTCAGAGTTTGTCCCAAACTCCCCTCTCCCCATCCCCCCTCAGCTTGCTCTAATCCAGGGATCAGCAACCTTTTCCAGCCGTGGGCCGGTCCAGCGTCCCTCAGACCATGTGGCGGGCTGGACTATATTTTGGGGGGGAAATATGAACGAATTCCTATGCCCCACAAATAACCCAGAGATGCATTTTAAATAAAAGGACACATTCGACTCATGTAAAAACACACTGATTCCCAGACCATCTGCGGGCCGGATTGAGAAGGCGATTGGGCCAGATCCGCCCCGGGCCTTAGCTTGCCTACCCATGGCCTAGATGAACTCAGCTGTGTTTTTACTATTGTGAACAAAAGCCGATTGCCATCCGTGACTTCTTTTCCTGACCTGTGGATGAACCTGCATTCCTGACAGTCCCTGGATGCTATGAATGCCAAAATTTGGGATTCCCTCCAACCCGTGCCAATGTTTTGCAGCCATTTTACAGCCCCCCAAAACAGAAATTGATCCATCAAACCAGGGTTCGTAGTTAACATCCCAAAACCCAACAGCATCCAAATCACTTCAAACCAGGGCCAATGTTTGGCAACAGTTTTGCCACAAAAACTCCACAATTTTCAGCCCCCCCAAGTGAGTAATTTAAACTGAAACTGAAGGTCATAGGTATCACCCCCAAACCCAACGTTGTCTGATTCACTCCAAGCTATTAGCCAGGAGTCCAATAGTAGTGTTTTTCAGCAAATACCCTAAGTTTGCAGAGCCCCACCAATCTTAGTAATTGATACTCAGACTTGAGGGTCATCGGTATCAAGCCAAAGCCCAACACTGTCTGGTTCTTGTAAAAACATGCTGACTCCTGGACCGTCTGCGGACCGGATTGGGAAGGCGATTGGGCCGTATCCGGACCATGGGCCTTAGGTTGCCTATCCCTGCGTCTAATCCCACGATCCGCCGCTGCTCACTCTGCCTACTCATGCTGCCAGGCTGCCTGCTTTGCACAGTTGCTCTGCCTGCTATTGTCATGTTGCAGTTTGCATAGTCACCCATGGGAGCTGCAACATGGTGACACCTTACATTTCTATGTATATAGAAATGTATATAGAAAGTTGTAATTACACACACACACACACATATACACACACTCACATCTATATTTCTTAGTTCCCTATATATATAAGGTAAAGGTAAAGGTAAAGGTAAAGGTAAAGGTACCCCTGCCCGTACGGGCCAGTCGTGTCCGACTCTAGGGTTGTGCGCCCATCTCACTTAAGAGGCCGGGGGCCAGCGCTGTCCGCAGACACTTCCGGGTCACGTGGCCAGCGTGACGAAGCTGCAACAGGCGAGCCAGCACCAGCGCAGCACACGGAAACGCCGTTTACCTTCCCGCTATAAAGCGGTACCTATTTATCTGCTTGCACTTAAGAGTGCTTTCGAACTGCTAGGTGGGCAGGAGCTGGGACCGAAAGACGGGAGCTCACCCCGCTGCGGGGATTCGAACCGCCGACCATGCGATCGGCAAGCCCTAGGCACTGAGGTTTTACCCAGAGCGCCACCCGCGTCCCTTATATATAAGGTACATGGAGACTAATAATAATAACTCTGGGCGGCTTCCAACAAAAGATTAAAAATACATTAAGGCAGTGGTGTGCAGAAGGTGACTGTGTTGCAATATCTTCCACAGGGCTCACACATATTTAACTTGAAAGGGAAATGTATTGCTGCAGCTTGTGAAGTTGCAGCGTATTGGTTACAAAATGTAGTCGTATGCCAGGCTTATGAAGGGTTCACATAGGTATGAATTTTGGTTTTTATTTTCTAAGCAAACATGAGAAGGGCCCTGATCCTCTCCCAGTCATTGCAAACAAATATTTTGAGTGCGTGGGGCAGGGTGATGGGGGGAACTCATACAAATAAGAAAACTCTGTGGCCTTCATAACGGATGCATGAGTCCAGGAAAGCTTTTGCAACAGTAACACTCCATTGCGTTATCTTTCTTGCGATTGAGATCCCAGAACAGTTTTCTATGTCTATGTAGTCTGAACCACTGTAGAGTGAACTGGAAATTGAAAAGATTCTTTGACCTTTCCTAGGATAGCAGAATGCATTGTTTCACTGCTTCAGATGGAAGTCAAATGGGATACTGAACCTGAACCAATTGTGGGTTGATTAGCAATGTAAGAGTTGGTTTACTTTGCTTTCACTCATGCTTAACGATCCAATTTCTTGACAGAACTATCAGACCTATCAGAAAGTATGTTCTTACATGTTTGTCTAATGTACACATAGATAGTTTTTTTAGTTATAAATAACTAGATTTGATGTGCTCTGTTTGGGAGCTAGCCTAGACAGCTCAGTTGTGACATGCTGCGCAATTTTTAGCACATTTATCCACAGCAATCCTCACTGAGGTCAGTTTCAGACAGTCTGCTGACTGAGCATTCATCCTGATATGTTGTCTAACCTCCCTGCAAACACATCAAGCAATTGTCTCAAACTTTACAGTGCATTTTCCTGTCACTTTCCTTGCTACAAAAGTCTGGGGTTTTGTTTTGTTTTTTGTTGGAAGGTGGTTTGTAGCTCAAGAGCTCCAAATTCAATTGAACTGTGCAACCTCAATTTGCCAGTGTGATTGAATCCCACCCACAAAATAGGAACAGTCTCTAAGTACCATGAGTTACAGGGAGCTTACTATCAAAGTAAAAACACAATTTACCAAAGCTGTTTTTAACCAAAAAGAAAACTAAGGTCCGTGTCAAACATGAAAATAATTTCACTACTTGGAAAGCAGGAAAAGGTGGGCAAACCACATGTAGTTCAGCACCTGTGATGATCAAGGCACATCAGTTTTGCTATGTGTACACATGATTTACATGTACAGCTTGTATACAGGCAGAGAACAGACATACACCAACATTATGCATGGTGCATGGTATGTTCATGCTTTTCCCTACACCTAAGTATTTTGAGGAAGCCTTGTTTGTTTTTAAAGCCACATTTTGCAAAACTGGGAAAAGAAGTGTGCAACTGCATAGCTGAATTTTTTTTAAAAAATTACCTCTACCACCACCTACCGGACATAGTAATTAGTGTAGCATTATTCTTCAACGACAAATGCTTCCACCAGAGCAACTTTTTCATTTTCCACATAGATCTCTCTCTCTTTCTCTCTCTCTCTCTCTCTCTCTCTCTCTCTCACACACACACACACACGGTCTTGGTCCGTGGGAGTGATCCGGCCCATGGCCAGTAAACCTTGCTGACCCCTGGTCTAGCTCCTACAATTGAAGGACAACCTTGTCCTTTTCAAGGGACTAGTAGTTAACTGCAGGAAATGGAGAATGACTGTTCATACTGGGGGAAGGGGCTATAATACTGGATCGGGGTGCATAGTATATAACCAAATAAAGAAAGGAAAAGGTAAACTTAAAAAATGTTCTTTTCCTGCAACAGATGAATTAGTGGAAGTAATAGCATTTGTGCTCCCTGCAACAATTGAAAAAGATACACATGCATTATAGAAGCTGTTCCTTTGGCAATCTGTGCTTCTATTGTGTTCTGACTGGATATCAGATCTGTCACTACCTATCCATACATGTTCCCAGTCACCATATTTCAAGCATTCGACATGAATGATCTGTCATGCACGCTTCAACTTAAGGAAAGAAGAACTACACAATATTATTTGAGATTTATTTGCAGAACAGCAGTCACAGAGATCAGCAGAGTTTAATTAATTAGCATGGCACAGTGATTTCAAATGGGGGAGAAACTCTCACTTTGAAGGTATGTTAAATACAGTTAGGAGACTGATTTATCTGAATAATACTTGCATTTGGTCATTTTTCTTCCAGGTGACCTAGCCAAGGTGCAACTGCTGGCCTAATTAGAGTTTCACCTAGCTTGCCAGTAGTATCTATGAAAAGGATCTTGGGGTCTTAGAGGACCACAAGCTTAACATGAGTCAACAGTGTGATACAGCAGGGGAAAAAGCTAGTGCCATTCAAGGCTGCATCAACAGAAGTATAGTGTTCAAATCAAGGGAAGTAAGAGTACCACTCTATTCTGCCTTGGTCAGACCACACCTGTGCCACAATTTAAGAAGGATATTGACAAGCTGGAACATGTGCAGAGGAGGACAACCAAGATGATCAAGGGTCTGGAAACCAAGCCTTATGGGGAACGGTTGAAGGAGCTGGGTATGTTCAGCTTAGTAAAGAGGAGACTGAGAGGAGATATGACAGCCATCTTCAAATATCAAGAGCTGTCACATGGAAGATGGAGCAAGCTTGTTTTCTCCTGATCCAGAGAGTAGGACTCAAACCAATGGCTTCAGGACACAATAAAGGAGATTCCAACTAAACATCACAGATTCTTAGAGTTGGAAGGGACCCCAAGGGTAATCTAATCTAACCTCCTGCAATGCAAGAATCTCACAAAATTATTGTTCCAAGTTTCTGAATATCTGTCTCTGTCTCATAAGACTAGACATAATGGACACCTAACGAAGCCAAATATTGGAAGATTCAGGGCAGATAAAGTATTTGTTCACACAGCTCATAGTTAAACTATGGAATTCCCTCCCCCAAGAGGCAGTGCGGCCACCACCCTGGATGGCTTTAGAAGAGGATCAAACATGTTCATGGAGGAGGAGGAGGAGGAGGAGACTCCCAATGGCCACTAGCCATAATGGCCCTGCTCTGTCTCCATGGGTGGAAGCTGTAATAATTCTGAACACCAGTTGCTGGAACCCACAGGAGGGGAGAGGGTTCTTGGGCTTGGGTCCTGGCTTGCCAGTTTCCCACGGGTATCCAAAGTGACCACCATGAAAACAGGATGCTGGATTAAACGGACCACTGGCCTTACGTTTCTATGTACAGGAGGTTTCTGAACAGGGCCCCTTATAGACAGCCAAACCCGCAGTATTAGTAAGGTGCTCACAAGGATGTTCACTGTCTTCTTAATATTACAGGAGATGCTGTCACAACAACATTTCTGAAGTAGGAGGGGAAACAGGAGTTTGTTCTAATGTTCTAATTAACACTTGCAGCCAACAAACATGGCTGTGCTGCCATTCCAAAGGGAGAGGGTCATCTGTGAAGGCATTTATGTTTTGAAAGTGCTTGGACTTGGATTGACTTTAGACACCAGTAGCCCACTCAACTAACACGGGAACGGCTCATGTATGCCATTAATAGCCAACCTTCTCAGGTCCACCAGCAAAGCAGGTTCCACTTTAAATATATTGCATATGCCTGTCCTCCTTCTCCTTATATTTAGTGGCATTATAAGGCCATACCTTGTTCTTCTCTTTCCAGGATGAGGGGGCAGGGGGTTCCTATGGAAGGCGGCATTCCCATAAGCAGCTTTTATCAACCCTGTGCAATGCGCTCCACTTGTCAGAGTCCACTCTCTCACTCAATTGTTAAAGGTAGCCCAACTTCCTTTCTCTGCTGTCTGAACATTGTGTTTTCCATCTTTCTCTTCCTGTTAAAATAAACCTCCCTCAAAAACGCTGGTGGCACCACTGACCCCATGTGTGGACCTCAACCCATCAGTTCAAGATAAGTTATGCAAACAATTGATTCCCCAACAGATCAATTGACTACAGAACTGTGGGATTTGTATGGAAGTTCACAGGTCCCTTGGCTATCAGATTGCTTGTTCATTGACTAAAATAGTTTGAATTCATATATAGGCATGGAAGTGACCTTGCAAATCATCATGTTTGTGTTTTTAAGAGCTCCTGAAAATTGGAAGGGGTAGACAACACAGTGCCTGCCAGATATTTTGTACCACAGCTCCTGTCATCTCTGACCATGCTAGCTAGGTCTGATGGGAGTTGTAATCCAAAACCTCTGGAGGACTTCATGTTGGCTACCTCTGCCTTCTGAACCCCAAGAGCAGGACCCAGTTTCTTCTGTTCCTCTTCATCTTACATGCCCCACCCCATTTCAGTGTGATTTTGATTTGCTTTTCTTGCTCATCCTTCCACTTTTACAGCAACACTTTCTGCAGCAAAACAGGCAGCACTTCAGTGAGATAAATAGGGCAAGGAGTACAGCAGCCAGGAGGAAGGCAATGACGTCAATAGAGTGATACTGGATCCAGTTGAGGTCATGTGCTGCCGGCCTCAAGTGGGGAGCCCCCTTGTGCTTCATCACAAACTCCACCCAATGCACCGCAAGGTCAAGAGGTTCAATGGGCCTGTCCAGGTGGAGAGCCGAGAGACGCTGGATGTTCTCTTTATACCTAAAACAAAAGAACCTCTTTAGGAAATAAATATTACAGGGAAATAAAACACACAGCATATAGGAGCAGATTTCCAAAGCATTTGAAAACCAAGTGGGGTTGATACTGTTCCGAGAGACTGGGGACATGGGATGCAAACCCCTCCCCTGTTCCTGTGGGTGCAGATACTTCGGGATACTCTGTATACAGCTTATACAGGGTGACTGAGGCCAGAGTTCCAATGCTTTTAGTAGCTGAACCCTAATTTTTCTCTGGTGGATCTTTCACATAGCTGATCTGTCTCCTACGTGACAGCTGCTGCTAATCACAGGTCCTTGGAGATAAAAATGGAGAATGATGCAGTGTCCAGGAACTTCTGTGGGGCAACTGATGATACTGGTGACCACCAGCAGGTGGCAGTTGGAGGAGGGATGATCTCAGTCAGTGTCTCTTAAAGACAGAATGTGGCCTGCTGAGGGAAGCAGGAGCTGGTAGGTAGTCAAGAACAGGGCCACTTCCCAATGTGGAAGGAGATGCCCCCTGCCTTCACTGCTGCTTCCTGACAGTTCCTGCAAGGCCGTCCTTTTCCATTCCCTTCAGTTGCCCCACAGTGACTGCGTAAACCACCCTACTGGAAGTAGGATTGTATGAATCAGCAGAGGGTATAATAGCAAACGGCAGATTTGCTGGCTACCCTTGGCAGAAACAGCATTGGCAAGGAGCAGAGATGGAATATTGTGCAGGACAGTGTTTTGTGACGGATGTGGAATGTGGAATGCTTTCCAGATCAACCTGTCTGTGAAGGAACCCCTGGAAACTCCTGCGCATTATGGAGGATTTTGGAGAATACTCCAGGGCACTTAGATTAGATAAATTTATTGTCATTGTCCGTATATACACAGTATACACAACAACGAAAATCAAACACCCACTCGAAGACTGGCTCACCTGGAGCACTGGCGCGGCTTCTTGGCCCTCCCCCCTGCCCCCACTTATTGTCCCCTTGGGGGAGCTAGCACTACGCATTAGAAGATACTCCAAACTCCCTTGCAGCTGCTCATTGTAGGGAAAGCTTTCTTTTACGGAACCTTGCCGTTACTTAACTTTTCTTTGATAATGCTCTGATTAGCTTCTGAAAATGCCGTGGTCTGACAGAATACATTTTTAAAACAACTACTGTAGAGGACCCAGAGTCCTGATAAAGAATCAAAGCAGTGAAAACAGAGGGGTTGTTAAGAAGAGACTTTCTTCTTCACCTGTCACCAGCAGCTGTGTAGCGACCCCCGCTGATTTCAAGCAGTGGCTCTGCCCCCTTGCAGGACCCGAATCACCAAGCAACCGCCGTGCTCCCATCCCACCAGGAAGTCCACCCCCAGCAGCCACCCTTTAGACCCCCGTGGCATCCTACACCCCCCCCACGCCCGGTGCAGAACGCTCGCCCCGTCCCTGCCTAGCTACACTCCTGGTCACCAGACATTATTTTATTTCCTCTGAATAACCAACAACTGCCAGTGAGAAAGACAACAAGGCACTGAAGCAAAGAAGAAAGTAAATTTCCATGGTATACTTCCTTGAATATTCTGATTTTAAATGTACTTTGGGCCAACCCTAAAATGAGTTTTGTACCACTCATTTTGTACCACTCATCACTCACTTTTTATCATAAATAACAGCCTTCAGTGCATCAGATAAATCCTTGGAAGTCATGTCCACTACATTCAGAGTCACTCCTGCACCTCGAGATTCCATCCGCTTTGCATTGTCCATTTGATCTCCAAAAAGCGGCATCAGCACCATTGGTACTGCATTGCAGATTCCTTCATAGACCCCATGGGAGCCAGCATGAGTGATAAAGGCTCTGGCTTTTGGATGAGCTGTTGAGGAAAGAGCAGGAGGTGGAGAAATAACAACAGGTTTATCATTCTGCTAACGACAACGTATCTAGGCCAAGTCTTAAAATTGCATTTTTATGGAAGCAGCCAATTGAAGTTCAAATTAAACAGCCATATGATTAAGCTGATCTCCTTGGACAGTTATGTACAGTCTAGCAAAATATCTTTCAGAAGGATGGTACAGAACTGTGGGAGGAGAGAAGTGGCCCCCTTCTAGGCCATCTAGGCCAGGGGTGGGGACCCTCAGTCAGCCAAAGGGTCACATTCCTTCATGGACAGCCTTCTAGGACTCCAGACCAGTGATGGGTCCTGCCACTCTCCACCCAGGCAAGGAAGAGGTGCTATCACAGTTCAAGGGCCCAGTCCAGGCAGGTAGAGTGCAGAGTAGGGCCAGTGAAGGATGTGGCCTGGGGGCATGGCCTGTGCTGAGTCCTGAAGGCCAGATAAAGAGGCTTGGGTTCTCCATCCCTGATCCCTCAATTCAATACAAAGGGTAGAGACCCTTTGGCCTGAGAGCCAGAATTGACCCACCAGATTTGGCCCGTGAGGCTGTTTTCTTCAAACCACACCCACCTGCCCCATATTTGACACCACATGTAATGTCAGATGTGGGACACTGAACATCAAGTGATGGACAGGAAGTCCTGTCCTCTTGGGACCAAGCGTGCACCTGTAGAAAGCAGGATATCAGCTGCCTCCAGTATCCTGTCTAGTTTAGTGCTAAATTCCATTAAAGCCAATGGTACTTTGGTCAGTCATTGTTTTCAACAGAACTGAATGCAATTTTCACTCCAGCAAGTGGGTATGGGTAAGGATGAGCAAATCAGTCAGTTTTGGTTTCTCCCAGTTTCTCATCTTACCAGTCTTATGTTCAGTTCTCCATACTTCTACGCCAGTTTGCAATTATTATTATTATTATTATTATTATTATTAGTTACCACGAAAACTTGCCAAAGTTTTAGTGTGAATTTCTCCTAATATAATGGATTCCTGTAGGTTATTTTTACTACTTTCAGCATTTTTATGCATGCCTCAACATAGTATATACATTTTGTACATTACCTGCATTGCGGAATACAGAGCCGTGTGAATTTTGAAGGACGGCTGTGATTCAGTTCACAGATTGTTTTGGATAGTGCGAATGAAGTAAGCTTGCCTTTAAATGCGAACTGAATGAAATTTCCCCCTCACCCCTATTTCATGGCTCACATTTTGGCATCTGTGCCCACTGTCCTTTCAACTATTTCCTTAGTTTTTTATGCACACTATGAGCATAAAGCGCCAGGCAGGGTTTTCTTTTCCTAGCCCAGCTTTTGCAGCTACAGGGCTTTGCTATGAGTGTACATGACCAAGAGCAATGTGGGAGCATGTCCATCCAACATCACATTACTTTACACTTTGCTAAACAGTATTTAGATACACTCTCTCATGGTATTGCTAAGAGGCTAATGGCATTGAAGCAGCACTAAGGGCTGGTTATAGACAACAACAAAATTCCTGTCCCAGACATACCAAGCAGATCATTTTGTGGTAGCCACTTCACAAGCTTTGTGTTCTTTGCAAGATTTGGGGGTGTTTCTCCTGTATATCTCCATAGCACCTTCACGAGGAAGGAAACACATAGATTAGGAAATGTATCTTTTCACTTCGCTTACAAAAACTTCAAATTGCACTTGAACAAGCATTCTCTCATATCTCTTACGTAGGGTGCAATGCCTCTTCAAAGAGCCCCATTAGCTGGAAAGGTGGGATATCGGTTAACAACAAATAAATAAGGTACTGCCTGTATATAAAAGAATGAAAGTGCACTTCTAGTTTTTACCCATACATAAGTTTAACTTAAGAATGAAATATCAATACTTCTTATTTTCCCCAGGGGTTGTGAATGCATATTTGTATCCTTTTATTTTGTGTGTGTTTAATTTTTATTTTTATGCAATTGTATTATGTCCTATTTATTTCTTTTTAAACATGTTATTTAATAATATGATTTCAATTAAATAAATAATAAATATTTTTAAAAGAATGGACTAAAATTAATACATTTTTAAAAGGTTATAGTCCTATTCTTTATCCAAAACTGAATAACATATATCAACTATCCTTAGAGCAGTACTATTCCCAATTTACTGATGGAGACTTCAGGTCTACTTAACACCCAGTGGCGGTGTTTGGATGATCATATCTCAGCTTCACAGGCTGAGATACTAACAAGCCTTTTGCCCCTGCATGCAACCCCTTTGCTACTCCCTTCTTAGCCCAAGAAATCAAGCCAAGATTAACCATGGTACCTTATTTCATCCAAACCAGGAAACTATGTGGACAGACCTTGGTTACAGAATGTAGTTAAGGAACGGAGACCTTAGCTACAATTCTCAGTTCAGATGACATTCTATGCCAAACCTTGGCTTAGCTGCCATGCCAAGCTCAGGTTAAAAAACCAACGAGGAGAAAAGCATGTGTGAGTTCGTCTTCAGGTACCATCACATAGTTTGCCTTGCCGTGAGGTGTGAACCAGGCCAAAGAGTTAGCTAGGATTTCAATCCAGGTCTTGTGTCTAAATCCAACACATTTCAGTAGATAACAGACGGAAGATAATTCATTGCAAATGCTTCGCCCTAAGTTAGGCAATTATAAACAGAAACAAAGAATATTGCATACTCTCTGTGACTTTAAAAAAAAGTAAAAGCTTACAAAAAACCAAAACACAAACCACTCTCAATAATTTATCTCATAAAATAGCATGTAATCATGACCAAAAGTCTATAATGATCTGAGTCTGCATGGGATCTCAGGCTAGGATAAAGTAATATGGAATTAGTGTCATGATTATTCAGACACTGAAAAATAATACGAATTATTTCTTCACAATATTCAAAGGGAATACTTTCAAATATTTAAAAGCTTTCCTCAAATATGATCCCAGACACCAAACAGGTTTAAGAATGTCCTGGAAGACAGATTTAGAATGTGACATAACTGAATATACTTGGTTTACCATGGGGAAAAAGCTCCTTTTCATAATATATCAGCTGAATGTACTAGAAGACTCTTGTATATAAATTCATCAGCTTACCCAAGGAGCTGGAGGGGATGTTCAGAAATTGGGTCATACATCCACCTATGGTGGGGTTGTGTTAGAGTGCAAGAATTTTCAGCAACAGCATTCAGAGAAATGGATAAGATCTTAAGCTGCCACATTATCCTAACATCTCAATTAACCCTTTTATTTTTACGCTTATATTTGAGGGTAATCAAAATTTGCACCATTTGCACAAAGTTCTGATAGCACAGCTGCTTATTGCCGCTAGAATGACCATCACAGTTTGGGGGGGAAATAGATGGGACCAATCTTACTGTGTGATATTGCCCTGCTAGAAAAACTAAATAATAAGCTGAGAGTCCTTAGGGGCCAAAGAAAGAAGGAAGATTTTGTATTTGTTTAGTTTGACTTCATTTCAGTTGTAAGCAAAGAGAAACATGGCCAAGGACGCCCTCAGCCTAGAAATGAATATGGCTCCGTGACTCAGGGCATTTGAATACTTTAATCACTTTCCCTTGATATAATAGGGTCTACGTTTTGTAACTTTCTCTTGTTTAACCATTATGTCTGTGCTATAAAGAGCTCCAGTCACTACCTCCCACACATTCACTTACCTGTAGTTTATTTATTTTGGTTTTATTTTATGTCTGTTTTTGTCCAACAGTGATCTATGATTTTATAAAGAATTTGTATATTTTCATCAGATCGTGTTTGGTAACACTGTATTTTGTAGAATTTTGTAAAACATTTCTTTCCTTTTCTTTTGAAACTTAACAAGAAATTAAATAATAAATAAATAAATAATAATCCAGGCACTGACAGAGCCTATTTTTATATTACCATGGCAACATGGTTTCTTCCACACCACCGCGATGCCCTCCAGTTGTTCTGAACTACAGCTCCCGTCTTCCCTGACCACTGGCCACGCTGGCTGGGGCAGATGGGAGCTCTAGTCAAAGGCATCTGGAAGGCACCAGGTTTAGGAAGTCTGAGAAAGGGCAACATGATGGAGGCCGCTAAAGCAGCTATTTCTTACTTCCAAGAAGGATGAGGCAAGTTTGGGAAATCCATTTACTATTGACTCCTTTCACTTCTTAGCAGTGAAGGAGCTGTATTCTCAGAGGAATGAGAAAAGAAGTCTCATGTTATGGTAGCAGAAAATGCAGAGGAGGCAAAATTTCACCAGTTTCTGGACTGGTAATTGATTAGCTGACATGGCTATACTACAATCTATCATCACTAAAACTTTTTCCAACAGATGTCTCTAGCCTCTGGATTTGAGGTGGTGTGCATGGATAATCTTTTAGCCCACCCTCCCCAACTTAAAGAAACAAGACCTAGTCCATATGATCTGAAATTTAGTTGCAGAATGTTGGTTATGAAGATCAGCAGGGTTTTCTGCATTGTTCCACTTGCGGTTGCTGTACAATTAGGGAACCCGCCGAGGGCTCAACTCTGGCAGCTTTATCTGGAATGCAGCCAAACGTGACAACTGTCAGGGAACTATTCACATCTTGTTCCCCTCTTGTCTTCTTGCAGCAATATCAGCTGTAGCTTTTGAGGAGGGTCTGAGCCAGCAGCTGGCATCTAAATTACCATGGCAATATTTCTAAAGAGCTGTATGTGAACAGCTTCCCGGTTCATGCTGTGTCAAGCTGCAAGATTGCTTGTTGGAGTGAGGCAAAGGGTTGTGTGTCAACTTCAGCTTCGGAACCACTTTTAAAGCAGACAGCAACACATGCAAAATGAACCAAAATATTTAACATCCTACGTGAATACCATTTTTCCTTCTTACCGTCTGAGGTATTGTTCCAAACGCTTCAGCAATTTCCATAGCTTTTTTCATTGGAATTTCAGAAACCATTGAACCCAAGGAAAACACCACAATGCCATGTTCGCCAGAACTGTTTACTATGGCTTCAAATTCCTAGGCAAAACAAACAAAGAAACTTTTGGTCAGCATTCTGCGTCACGTGGGAATATTTTCATCTCTCCCAAAAAGCTAAATGAAAAAGTAACCTTTGCTGGGCAAGTGTGTGTGTGTGTGTGAACATTAGACCATTTCTAGGACCAGATCTGTTGGGGGGGGGCAGTGTCGGATCCAGAACAAATCCTTCTGTGTAGGCCCTCCTGTTGCCCCCGTCTCTCCTCTGCCCCTCCCCAGCAGGGACTCTTCCTCTCCCCTCCCCTTACTTTTGCTGTTGTTGTTTTGCCACTACTGTAATAGTGGCAGCCTCTCCTCCTCCTCCTCCTCCTCCTCCTCTCTCCTCTGCCCTGGATTACATTTTTCTTTTGCCCCTGAGAAGAATTGTCCTAGACCGGCCTAATGGCCCACCTGCCCTCACATTCAGTCTTAGACATCGGTCAGGATATTGAATTTCAGGAATCTCTCTAACAACATATCATATGCGTTCATTCATTTAGGATATTTCTAAATTGCTCTTCATCCCAGAAGTCATCACAGAGCAGGTTACAACAGAAAACACAAATGCAATAAGTACAGCAACCAATAAAAATAATACACAATAAAGTTTTCCACATCAGCAAAGCAAGGTAGCAGACTGACATAAATATGATATAATAAGGCGGTTCGCTAAGCTCAGCTAAGGTATTAGGCATTAGGATTTATAAGCCCAGAGCCTCTGTGCATATTATTTTAAATCTGCTGCTTGGTAATTGCATTGTGCCTCTTGATTCCAATATTAAGTCTCCCTTCCAAGTACTAACCAGGCCTGACCCTGCTTAGCTTCCGAGACCAGACAAGATCGGGCGTGTTCAGGGTAGTATGGCCGCAGACATTCTGATATTATGTCAAAAGGGAGATGGCGAAAATGTCTTGCGAGTCTTGAGATTTTTTTCCGCCCCCCCCCTTTTTCTAAGCCGCTAAGCCGCTAATAGCCTTTTAGCAGCTAATCCACTAAACCGATAAGCCTTTAATAGCCGCTAAACTGCTAATAGCACTAATCCGCTAAGCCGCTAATAGGGTTGCTTCGCAAGACGAAAAAACCGCTAGACGAAGACACTCACAGAACGGATTAATTTCGTCTTGCGAGGCACCACTGTATTAACTTTTCCAGTCTACTGAAATATCTCAATCCTAATCCCTTTCTCATCCTCCATTTTTAAACTGAAGTTTTGAACCGTCTCAGTAAGGGGGAGTGGAGAGGTGGATTCCAACCTGAGTTAGTGGATTTTCCTTTGCACAGTTTATACCCCCAATGAAGACCATGTTCGGCATGATAGGTCTGGGATATTCAAAAACAAAGTCATAGCGCAGAAGCCAAATTGATGCTTGACTATAAAGGTCTGCTACTGTCACATCTTGGTGCAGGAATTCCTTGTTCAGTGCTCCATAGGGTGAATAAAGAAAATGGCATATCATGAATTCCAGCGAGCCGATTAAAAAATTCTTCACTCTCTGTTTAAAGTTCATGTGATCTGTATTGCCCGAGAAAAATTTTGGGACATAAGAATGTGGGTTTGGACACTGTGTTGCCACAAAGTCTAAACCACATGGAATTCCCCGCAAGTAGTAAATAGAAGGAAGGGATAAATACTCAGCCAAGATCTGCCCACATGGAAACACTGGATCCATAACTACAATGTTGAATTTGGTTTCTTTAAGGTAAGAAATCAGCTCTTTGCTGTATAAAAGCTGCTTGCAATTATTATATAGAAGCATTGTAATATTTCTTATTCTTGAAAATGTCCCAGTCATTCTTTCCAGGAAAGGCTGACGTGCAAAAATCCTGTGACCAAGCTTTTGGAATTCTGCTTTCAAGTATTCCTTTGAGTAGGGCACGGCAAATGTTTTCAATGTATAATGTACAGATGACTTTATCCATAAATTCGTCTCAGGAGCAACGACAACTACTTGGTGTCCTCTCTGCTGAAGATGTTCCATAACTGGATGGATACTGAGCCAGTGACTGCCATCATGGGGTATTACCAACACCTTTCCTCCATCCGTAAGGTTCCAGAAAAAGAGAGTAAGCAAAACACAAATGCCTTGACGCATAGAAATCTTCTTGCTGGTTGCATTGTGGCATAATTCTAACCCAAAATGAAATGAATGTAAAAAAACCATTGCGAACAGCACAGGAAACAAAGCCTCTTGCGAGCCTTTAGCCCTATCTTCTTCTGCAAATATTTATTTTCTGTGACACATTTATTAAGGCAGTGTGGAATGTTTAAATCTTGGTCAAAGGTCGGTTTTGCAAACCAACCTGGATTGGGTGATAAGGAGTCTGCAGGCTAGCCTGTTGCATAAGCGTCTCTACTACCACTTCTGTACTCAGCCAGTGACTTCCATCCTGTGGCATCACCAACAGCTTCCCACTTCCAGCACAACGCCACAAACAGAACCAAAAGGCAAGGCCAGCAGCAGCTGGATGAGACCTTGAATTCATCCTTCCTATCATGGAATCAAGGAGCCCTGAACTCGCTATACGCTTTGTGTGCCTAATGTATGAAAGCAGATGTTGCATAATAAAACACTGGTGCAGCCCACAGGATCACAGATTCTAAGCATCAAGTAAATGTTTAATTTGTTGCCTCTGCTGAACCTCTTGCCAGGACAAATAGCCCATACAGTGGTACCTCGGGTTAAGTACTTAATTCGTTCTGGAGGTGCGTTCTTAACCTGAAACTGTTCTTAACCTGAAGCACCACTTTAGCTAATGGGGCCTCTATTGAAGCACTATTTCTGGGTTAGTGGAGTCTGTAACCTGAAGCATATGTAACCTGAAGCGTATGTAACCCGAGGTACTACTGTATATCCAATTATAAGAGCAATGTCAACTGAGTTGATGTTTTAAATGGTTAAATGGCTCAGGACCACAGTACCTCAAGGACTGTCTATCTCAGTATGAACCGACTCAGATCCTGCAACCATCCTCTGAGGTACTTCTTCATGTACCTCCTCCACGAGAGACCAGGAGGGTGGCAACATGAGAATGGGCCTTTTCTATAGTGGTTCCCTGTTTGTGGAATGTCATCTGGTGCCTTCATTATACATTTTTAGGTGCCAGGCAAAAACATTCTTTATCAACGAGGACTTTGGCTAATTAACAGTCTACGTCCTTTTGTGGAATCAGGGTTATTGGTTTGTTTGGGTTTTGTTCTTGTTTTGTTATGTATTTTGTGGTATTGTTCTGTATTTTTATGCTGTGAACCCCCATGAAGTCTTCAGAAGAAGGGTGGTATACACATTGAATAAATAAAATAAAACAAAATAAAATAAATCCCCAAAACCCTTTAGCCAGCAAATAAAACTATTATTTTTAAAAATCAAATACAGTACAGTGGTACCTCGGGTTACATATGCTTCAGGTTACATATGCTTCAGGTTACAGACTCCGCTAACCCAGAAATAGTGCTTCAGGTTAAGAACTTTGCTTCAGGATGAGAACAGAAATTGTGCTCCGGCGGCGTGGCGGCAGCAGGAGGCCCCATTAGCTAAAGTGGTGCTTCAGGTTAAGAACAGTTTCAGGTTAAGAATGGACCTCTGGAACGAATTAAATACTTAACCTGAGGTACCACTGTACTCAAACTAAAAAAATACTAAGAATAAGCAGTACAATCCAGAGATCACTTGGGAAATACTCAAACAAAGGACTGCTCCACACAGGAGTTTACTGTCAATTTTCTGTTAGTCATGTGTATTAGTAGAGTTTTTTGCAATCTCCATTTGACATCATTCTGAGCAAAAAGTCAGCACCATCCCCCCAATTTCCATTTAATCTAGATTTCCCACTTCCTAAATAATTGGATAAGTAAAAATGACCGAGTACAAAACCACAGTTGCTGACGGCGTGGAAGCTCCTTACTGCACTTGGGGGGGGGGTCACATGGGTGGTTTCCTTATCACTGCTCACCTGAACAATTCTTGGGTTTCAAATAATGATGACTACGGTTCTTGAAGGTAGATTAGCAAAGATACCATACATATGTTTCTCCCCCTGCAGATTGGATGACCTTCCTCACTATCTGTTCAGTTGTATACAGTAAGCCCACAGTTTACGCAGGGGTTATGACTCTCAGAAAGAAAGAAAGAAAGAAAGAAAGAAAGAAAGAAAGAAAGAAAGAAAGAAAATACCTGCATCACTGTAAGCAATGCTAGGCTAGCATTTCTGCTTCTACCTTTGCATCTAAGCAACAGCTCAAAACTCCTAGCTATGTGGGGGACTGTTTCTCCTATCCAAACTCACTTTCTGTTTTTCTCATAGCAGATTTCACAAACCCTCAGCTTGCTGAAAGGTATTTTCAGCAGTTAGGTAGGTGATCAGTACAGCAAAAGACAGTACCATAGCTCAGGGGCAGAACAGATACCTGATGGGGAACATGTCTCCGGCTCAGTCCGTGGCAGTTAGGAGGTAGAACTCAGCTGTAAAAGTACCAGCCTAACCAGTTTCTTCCTTGGGCCTTTCAGGCGAATTCCCTTCCCCTGCAGGTCTGAAGCAACATGGGCACTCAAGAAAGCAGTAAAGCTAACAGGCTTTTCAGTTCTGAACAATAATAATAATAATAATAATAATAATAATAATAATAATGATGTATTGTATACCCGCACATCTGGCTAGGCTGCCCTAGCCACTCTGGCTCTCAAAATGAATATTGCTAAATACTACAATACATCAAACAGTAAGAGCTGTCCCGAAACAGTGGACTGCCTTCAGATGTCTTCTAAAAGCCTGGTAGTTGTTCTCTTTGACATCTGGTGGGAGGGTGTTCCACAGGGAAGGCGCCACCACCGAAAAGGCCCTCTGCCTGGTGGAACAACAGAGTTTTTGGTGCATGAACGAACCGGAAAGTGCCTTAGCTCTTCTGTAAAATTATTATTGCTGGAATCTACCACTTCATTTGCACTAAAGAGTTGGTGGTAATGAAAAAAAAAAAGCTTTGTTCCATCAATGGAGCAACTAGGATGTCTATGTCCTAACACTTAAGTAGATGTACAATAGGAAATATCATTCATGAAGGATAAGGCAAGTGCCAGAAGGTCACGAAAGGCAGCAAATAAACAACAATTTCACCATAAAGAATTGCAAACCTTGGATAATGGCTTCTTCTGGGCACAGTTAATCCCTCCAATGAAGACCAAGTTGGGCATCACCGGTCTGGGGTAATCAAATGCAAAGTCTTGTCTAATTAGCCAAATGGATGCCTTACCAAAAAGTTCTAAGAGTGTAATTTTCCTTTGCAGAAATTCAGTTGCCAGATGTTCGTATTTTCCATAATATGAGTAACAATATAAAGAAGCTAACATCGACATTAAAACATTCTTCACACGCTCAGTAAATGTCATATGATCCGAGTAAGTTGTAAAACCCTCTGGAATATAAGAAATGGGGCTTGGACACTGAGCAGCTTGGAAGTCCAAATGACATGGAAGTCCACGCAAGAAGTAGACTGTAGGCAAGGAAAGATATTCAGCAAGGATTGGAGCACAAGGCAGCACAGGATCAGAAAACACAGCATCAAAGTCGCTCTGCTGGAGGAAGTGGATGAGTTCTTTGTCGTATAAAAGATGCTGACAAGTAGAAACAAATATGGTAGTAACTTGAGATATGTTTATATACAAGTGTACCATGTTCTCTAGGAAATTCAGATTCTTAAGAGCATGCTCAGTCATCGAACTCAGAAGTTCATTCAACTTCTCCTGGCTGTAAGACACGGAATGTGTTCTTACAGTAAAATGCTCAGAAGACGTTTGCATGACCAAAGTGTTTTCTGGCATCACAACCACAACCTCATGTCCTTTTTGCGCAAGCATCTCAACTACCACTTGCATGCTCAGCCAGTGACTTCCATCTTGAGGCAACACCAACAGCTTCCCACTTTCGGCACAATGCCACAAAGAGAACCAAAAGGCAATTCCAGCAACCAGTTGAGACCTTGAATTCAGCCTTGCCATCGTGGTATCAAGAAGTCCTGACTTCCTTACACGCTTTGTGCCTTATATATGAAAGCAGATGTTGCAAGTATAACGTTGGTGCAGCCAATGGACTCACTCATACTAAGCATCAAGTAAATGTTTAATGTGTGCCCTTCACTGATGCTACTTTTATCAGGACCAAAGGCTGTGCATGAAATAATATTGAACAGATAAGAACAGGGCCAACCAAGTTCATGTCGTACGTTAACAACAACAAAAAAGAAAACTATTCAGCCACAAGAGTTGTAGAAGATGATTTAGCACAATTATGTGGTGTGCTTCTGTAACCCTCAGATTTTAAAATGTTAACTAGAATAAGCAATGATGATCTACCAATCAAGTTGGAACATGTCCAGACAAATAAAGGGCTTCTCCCCATGTCCGTTTACTGTGCATTTGCTCTTAGTTATGTGAGCAAGGCTTTTCAACATGTACACATCATCCTTAACAAAATGGCATCCCCAAATTCCTACACATTTAATCCAGATTTTCCCAATCCATGGATAATCCACCAAGGAAAAATGGCCCAGTACAAAAATGTAGTCACTGCTGACAGGGAAGCTTCTTTGATGGAATCTACACACATATAAAAACTGTTCTGAAAATGCTTTTTGAAAAGTGTTTTTAAAAATACGTTGAATTTTCCATAAGGCTCACTATTGCCATCTAGTGTCACATTGTATATTACACTTAAAACACACGTAAATATTTTATTTGCAGCTGTATAGCTGAGTCTTTGGTGCACTTTATTTTTGGGGGAAGGTAGTTTGTCATGTACCCCTCTGGGTAGGAGGGGCTTTTATTTTCATACCCCTTACCTGTATATGCTGCTCAGCTGAATACAATCTAGCCATTTCATTTCCAGTGACCAAAATGCTGCTGCACACTGAAGGCACAACAAAAACACATCTGAAGGCTATAACTACTGTAACAATATTCAACAACAACAACAAGAGCACGGAGGTCTTGTGCAGGCCTGCTCTGGCACAGGAAGCCAGTGTTAATTCTGTTTAAAAATATATACCATGTCTCTGCAAAAAGAAAAGAAAAACACCCCCACAAGCCTCTATTTTGCCCATCAGCAATTGGCTTGAACTGGTATTTATCTGCCCCCCCCCCCCCAGTTTAGCCATCTGTCCCCACCCCCCCTTTGCAGCCACCACAAATCAAGAGCTCTGTGACTTTGCTGCTGCCACTCTCTGTTCCACCTCCATTCCGCTGAGCAGCAGCACTGCCACTGCTGGGAGGGCACTCCCCCCCCCCACAACACAACACACACTGCAAAATAAAAAAATTCCTTCCAGTAGCACCTCAGAGACCAACTAAGTTTGTTATTCGCATTCTGAACCAGGTAACTACATTATCACTAATTTCAAAAGTTATAGCAACCAGTTTAGTAGGCATGTTTGTTAAAAAAAAAAAGTTGGATTTTCAGATCGTCAATTTGTTGTAATTGTTTAAGCTGGTCCTCTCTGTGATTTTTTTTTTTAATTGCTTTGATTTAAACCAGTCCCCTCTGCATTCAGGTCTGTAGTTCAAGTTTGTGAATGTGAGAATGTGAGAAGGAAGCAATCCTCCCCATCAAAAATATCCACCTATAAACAATTGTCCTGAAGCAAAATATTTGGTTGATGAGTTCAAATAAATCTTTAATGCATGTCTTCCTGAGACTCCTGCCCAATTCTGTGGGTTTCCTGCAACATTTCCCTTTTGTATTCAAAAGGGATGTTGAATCCTCCACTGATTCAGCCTCCTAGAGCTCCTGCTCCGTGGCTTCAGGAGCGCCACGTTGCCTCCCACATGGAGGGGGCCCAGTGTTTTGTGATGTCACGTCATGCCCCCCTCTGCGTGTCCCACACGTGCTCGCCTGGAGGTGAAGAATAGAGGGCAGAGAGGGCAATCTTCACCCTCTGTGCGACCTGCCCCCAGCCAGCACTGTTTTGTCTAGAAAAAAAGAACTGCATAGGAATCTCGATTTACTGAGTAAGACCTCGGTTCTGTGTAGCTCAGTATATTCTGCATGGATTGGAAGCTGCTCTCCTGGGCTTCAGAAAGGGGTCTTTTCCTGCCCTACCTGGAGATGCCCCAGGGGACCTGGAATCTTCTGATGGAAAGCTCTACCACTGAGCTACAATAAATTGCTGTAGCTGACATACAGAAAGACAGAGGGCGTAACACCAATAAAATAACTACAAATGTCATGATAAAGTGTTACAAACCTTGGATAATGGCTTCTTCTGGGCACAATTAATCCCTCCAATAAAGACCATGTTGGGCATCACAGGTCTGGGGTAATCAAATGCAAAGTCATACCTCAGCAACCAAACGGATGTTTTACTAAAAAGTTCCAAGGCTGTAATCTTCCTCTGCAGAAACTCAGTAGCAAGCTGTTCATATTTTTCATAAAATAAGTAGCAAACTAAAGAATTGAACTGAGTCATTAAAACATTCTTCACACGCTCAGTAAATGTCATATGATCCGAGTAAGTTGTAAAACCCTGTGGAATATAAGAAATGGGGCTTGGACACTGAGCAGCTTGGAAGTCCAAATGACATGGAAGTCCACGTAAGAAGTAGACTCTAGGCAAGGAAAGATATTCAGCAAGGATTGGAGCACAAGGCAGCACAGGATCAGAAAACACAGCATCAAAGTTGCTCTGCTGGAGGAAGTGGATGAGTTCTTTGTCGTATAAAAGATGACGACAAGCAGAAACATACATGGAAACACTACGAGATACATTTCTATAGAACTGAACAACCTTCTCCAAGAGGTGAGCATTATTAAAAATATTCTCACCTATTGCCCTGTAAAATTCATCCAACTGCTCCTGGGTGTAAGGCACGGAATGTGTTCTTACAGTAAAATGCTCAGAAGACGTTTTCATGACCAAAGTGTTTTCTGGCATCACAACCACAACCTCATGTCCTTTTTGCGCAAGCTTCTCTACTGCTATTTGCATGCTCAGCCAGTGACTTCCATCTTGAGGCAACACCAACAGCTTCCCACTTTCGGCACAATGCCAGAAACAGAACCAAAAGGCAAGTCCAGCAACCAGTTGAGACCTTGAATTCAGCCTGGCCATCGTGGTATCAAGAAGTCCTGACTTCCTTACACGCTTTGTGCCTAATATATGAAAGCAGATGTTGCAAGTATAACGTTGGTGCAGCCAATGGACTCACTCATACTAAGCATCAAGTAAATGTTTAATGTGTGCCCTCCACTGACACTACTTTTATCAGGACCAAAGGCTGTGCATGAAATAATATTGAACAGCTAAGAACAGGGCCAACCAAGTTCATGTCGTACGTTAACAACAACAAAAAAGAAAACTCTTCAGCAGCAAGAGGTGTTGAAGATGATTTAGCACAATTATGTGGTGTGCTTCTGTAACCCTTAAATTTTAAAATGTTAACTAGAACAAGCAACACAGAACAAAAAGGCAAGGCCAGTGGCTCGTTGAGACCTTGAATTCATCGTTCCTGTCATGGTAACAAGAAGCCCTGACTTTGATATACTGTATGCCTAATGCACAAAATCAGATGTTGCTGAGTATAATATTGGTGTAGCCCACAGCATCACTGATTCCAAGCATCAGGTAAATGTTTAATTAATGTTCTCCGCTGATCTTATGACCGGGGCTACATTCAAACTTACTAAATAGATAAGAATAGGGCCAAATGAGTTTATGTTGTACATTAACGAAACAAATCTCTTCAGTAGCAATATTTGCCTGCAGATGATTCAGCATAAGTTTGTAGTTTTATCCTGTAGCTCGCGGAGGTGAGGCAGTATAGTTACCATAATGTCATATATTGTATTCTTTTTTGTGAGCTTCCTATGGAGCATCAACTTTATTGGTGCTAGAAAGGGGACCTCCCTAAACCCAATAAATTAATAAATGGTAGAATTCTGATTATTTGGGATATGAAGGCAAAATACAAGCTGCAGAAGTATTCCTGGGCTAGCTTATGCAAAATAACCTGACAATGTAGGGCCATTAAAAACAACACAGAGCCATTGGCAAGGCAAGAGTCCTTTCCCCTGCCTTGAGGGGTGAACAGATATGGGGAGGTGGGGTTGGAAGGTTGGCAGGGTAACTGGATGTCCAAGGAGCCTCTGCAGAGGATTGGGGGGCAATGCGACATTGTGCAATGTGCTGATGTCCCATGTGCAACACCATCTGAATATTGAGGGTGGCTGCCTCTCAAAAAAAAAAGAAAAAATTCAGGGGGCCGAAACTGCCTTGGCCCCTAGAAGTTGGTGCCTGTGCTGGGTGTGATGTCACAGAAGAGTTTGGGGCCTTTGGCACAAGGCTTGGAATAGCTGAGAACAAAGGACAGAACCATTTGGGCAGGCTGGCTGAAGGGAGGCTGGGAGAGAGGCCTTGGACTCCAGGGCTGCACTGCTGTGGGGAACAAGCCTCTTTTGACGCGACCGTACTATAAGATCTGGACTCCCTCCAGGCAGACTGAAGGTGTAAATAGGTGAATAAACCATATTTCTTAAAGCTACGACAGCCTGCAGTGTGTCTTCAATTCCCCAAAGGAGCACAGACCCTGGTTTAGGGCCAAGACCTCTGGAATCCTGTGCACGGCTCAGCAGGAATTGGAGTGGCCGGTAACAATATTAAAGAAAACATAATCTCTTGTACATATTTCTATGTAAAAGAGAGGACAAGTGGAGCCGGAATATCTTATTTCTGATATCAAGCATTACAGCTAGCAACTCCTTATTGTGAGTTTCCTCATAGAGAGGAAAGGCAGAAATTAAAGGAATTATACAGCCTACCCCCATGACCACCCAGAGCGAGGCAGGTTGCAGAGGCAGCAGCAGATAGGCCTAGCATCAGCACCAGGAGTAGCCAGTGCCAACTGCTGCATCATCCTCTCTTGTTACTTAAAAAAAAAAATTCTTAGTCAGATGGCAGCAAGCCAGTGTAGCATATGGTAACAGACATTCATTTTAATATTTTTATTTTAAATACATATTGAGATGCATTCAATTCTCCCTCTGTTTGCTTCGTGCAATGATTGTTTCCTCTGCTTCCCACATCCATCTCCAGAATATGCAACGGAGGGACTTCCAACCATCTGGAGTTGATTTTGAGGGGTTTTTTGGGGCGGGGGTGGGCTGGAAGGGAATAGGAAAGGACAGAGTTCCACTGCCTGCACAAAGTCCATTGCACTGGTGAAGCTTCAGCACTGGGTATCACCCACTATCCTTTTTTAACATGAAAATAGTGCTTAGCTCCAGACAAACATGTTTGGCATCAGTGGAGCAGAAACAAAAGCAAATCAGTTTGTCAAGGATCCCAACATATTGAGTAGAGTTGCTACCTCCTTAATAACTCCAGTCAAGGCACAGATCATAGCATAATGCAGGTGACGGAGGTCCTGTAAAATTGCAGATATATAGTAATTTCATGAGAAAGTGTTTCAAACCTTGGATAATGCCTTCTCTGTTCAGAGTTTATCTCTCCAATTAAAACCATGTCTGAGGTAATCAAATCCAAATTCATACCTCAGTGACCAAAGGGATGTTTTACTTAAAAAAGAATAAGCTGTGTAAGTTCCTGAGATATAAGGCAGGGGGCTTGGATTCTGGGCTGCTTCAGAATTCAAACCATATGGAAGTCTATGCAAGAAGTAGACTATAATCAAGGAAATATATTCAGCCCAAGGAGCATGGGATCCTAAGATATGGCATCAAAGTTGCTCTGCTAGCTCTCTGTCATACAAGTAGAAGCAAACATGGAAATAATCTGAGATATGTTTTTAAATACTTGAACAACCTTTTCCAGAAGTGAGAATTATTTAAAACATTCTCACCTACTGCACAGTAAAATTCACCTAAGCAGGCAGAGGCATGGTATGTGCCCTGGGGGCATGACACGTTGCCCCCAGGGGCATGGCGCGCATCCCGGGAGTCTGGTATGCCGCCCGCGAGGGCATGGTGCACCGCCCGCAGGGGCGTGGCACACATTCTGGGGGTGTGACGCGCCACCTGGGGGCGTGGCACCTGGCGCACACGTGGGGATGTACGGCGCATGTCCAGGGGGCGCCGCGATGGCACCCTACCGGAATAGTGGTGCCGGGGCAGTCTGCTCCCTCTGCGCTCCCGTTCCTCTGCCAGTGGCCCGGAACTCCTCAAGTAAATGTTTAACGTCTTGACTCTGCTGAACCTATAGCCACCAGCATTAGACCATTATCTAATCATAAGAATTCCAGTTGAGTTATTTACATTAACGAAATCTTAAGTTACTACAGTTATAGAAGATGATTCATCACAGTTAAACACTTTGGTTTTGTAACAAGCGGAGGTCATAAAATTTCATAACTACTTGTTGAAGATGTTAAAGGTTACTACATTCCAGCAAGATGAATATTTTGTTCTTTTTTTCTTTAAAGTTTATTAAATTTCTTACTCCTAAATTTTTCGTCATGTACATGGTGATGTCTAGGTGGTGCTTTTTTATCACCACACACCTTCTGTGCGCTGCTCACCTAAATACAATCTAGCAACAACTCAACTCAAATGATCTTAATTCGTCTATTGCAGGGGTCAGTAACTATTTTCAGCCGTGGGCCAGTCCACCATCCCTCACAGACCATGTGGTGTGCAGGACTATAATGAACAAATAAAATAATGAACGAATTCCTATGCCCCACAAATAACCCAGAGATGCATTTTAAATAAAAGCACACATTCTACTCATGTAAAAACATGTTGATTCTCGGACTGTCCGCAGGCCGGATTGAGAAGGCGATTGGGCCTCATCCAGCCCACAGGCCTTACGTTGCCTACCCCTTGTCTATTACCACTGACTGATGCTCACTGAAGGCATGCCCAAAAGATCTTTGGGGACTGTAACTGCAATATATATGTACAACCCTTAAATAATGTTTTTAACACAGAGGTCTTCTACAAGACTGTTTTTGCACAAGTCCTTTGTATTATTTTTATTTTAAAAATATAGATGTCATTGCAAAAGTTGCAAGCTTCTGTTTTGCCCATTAGCTATTAGCTTGATTTGGTATTTATTTCATCTTCTTTTTTATCTACAGTTTAGACTCAGTGGAGCACATGCTCCTTTTTCTGTTGCTGTTAAAATAAACAACAAAAACAGGGAGAGGACCGGTCTCCCCCTCAAATTGCTTCCTTACAGAATCAAGGGTTTAAGCTTTTCTATCTGGCTTGCTTGGTTTTTTTGAGAAACAAATACAATATAATGGATTCTGGTAGGTAGTCGTGTATATCTGAAGAAGTGTGCATGCACACAAAAGCTTATACCAAGAACAAACTTAGTTGGTCTCTAAGGTGCTACTTGGGAGGGACGCGGGTGGCGCTGTGGGTAAAACCTCAGCGCCTAGGACTTGCCGATCGTCAGGTCGGCGGTTTGAATCCCCGCGGCGGGGTGTGCTCCCGTTGCTCGGTCCCAGCGCCTGCCAACCTAGCAGTTCGAAAGCACCCCCGGGTGCAAGTAGATAAATAGGGACCGCTTACTAGCGGGAAGGTAAACGGCGTTTCCGTGCGCTGCACTGGCTCGCCAGATGCAGCTTGTCACGCTGGCCACGTGACCTGGAAGTGTCTTTGGACAGCGCTGGCCCCCAGCCTCTTAAGCGAGATGGGCGCGCAACCCTAGAGTCTGGCAAGACTGGCCCGTACGGGCAGGGGTACCTTTACCTTTACCTTTAAGGTGCTACTTGACAATATAATTGAATGCTGTAAGGTTTTTTGTTCTTTTAATGCTTTAGTTTTAGTGACATGCATTGCAGGCTGGGAGCTCCAAAGCTTTTGTGTGGCCAAGTGCCCAACGTCAGCACCATGGCCTCCACATACTGTAGCGCTAATTTTCAAATCATCTTCAAGGGTAGCTTCCCACAGAGCACATTACATTCACCCGAGCCCATGTACACATTTGATCAGAAAGGGAATGTAATCACCTGGTGCCCATTACCGGATTTATATAAAGTCACTCAGATTCGGGAAGAGGTAGACTCCACCATGGGAGCAGGGCCAGGGCAGGAGAGTGCTAGAGTCCTGTCTAGTCAAGTTGCTTGGGATCAATTTCAATCTGTTACCTCTGAGGATGTGGACAGGCTGCTTGGACGAGTGAAGCCAACCACCTTGATCCTTGTCCATCCTGGCTTATAAAAGCTAGCCGGGAAGGGCAGGGCAATGAGCTTTGTGGGGTGGTGAATGCTTCTCTCTGTGAGGGAGCCATCCCAGACCTGCTCAAAGAGGCGGTCATTTAACCGCTTCTTAAAAAAACAACTCTAGACCCGACCAATATGGCCAACTATGGCCCAGTCTCAAATCTTCCATTCTTGGGCAAGGTGATTGAGCGAGTGGTTGCTGAACAGCTCCAGGCACACCTGGAAGAAGTGGACCATTTGGATCCCTTCCAGTCGAGATTCAGGCCTCATCATGGGACTGAAACTGCCTTGGTCGCGCTGGTCGATGATCTCCGGCGGGCTAGGGACAAAGGTGAGAGCTGTTTCCTAGTTCTGCTGGATCTCTCAGCGGCCTTTGATACAATCGACCATAACATTCTTCTGGACCGTCTAGAGAGGCTGAGAGCTGGGGGCACTGTTATATAGTGGTTCTGCTCCTTCCTCCTGGGCCGTGTCCAGAAAGTGGTGTTGGGGGATGAGTGTTCAGACTCCTGGGCTCTCACCTGTGGGGCGCCTCAGGGTTCTGTCCTCTCCCCCATGATTTTTAACATCTACATGCAGCTGCTGGGAGAGATCATCAGGAGGTTTGGGCTGGGTGTTCATCAATATGCGGATGATACCCAGCTCTACCTCTCTTTCAAATCAGAACCAGTGAAGACGGTGAAGGTCCTGTGTGAGTGTCTGGAGGCGGTTAGAGGATGGACGGCGGCTAACAGATTGAGGTTGAATCCTGACAAGACAGAAGTACTGTTTTTGGGGGACAGGAGGCAGGCAGGTGTGGAGGACTCCCTGGTCCTGAATGGGGTAACTTTGCCCCTGAAGGACCAGGTGCACAGCCTGGGAGTCAGTCTGGACTCACAGCTGTCCATGGAGGCTCAGGTCAATTCTTTGTCCAGGGCGGCTGTTGACCATGCATACTTGGCTTCAGACACATGCTGAGCGCATGCTAGATGTCATACAGTCTATACAGTCTATATAGACCCCTATCTTTCCACAAGTGGAATTGCTCATACCTCTTCCAGTCTGAAGGCTGGATGATTCCAATATGGAAAGAGCAGAGAGGTGCCCTGGGCCAGAGAACCTCTACACTTCCTCCACATTATCAATGCTCTCTTCAAAAAAAGATGAGATATATCCCTTAATATAGGTCTAGATATACTAAGAAACAGCAGCACACATATTGAAGGACTAGAGGGAATTAATTCATAGGGTCTCTTTGACTATTCTAATTAGCTTCTTTAGATGAAAAGCCTCATGATGGTACTTCAGATCAGGCATTCTCAGTCCTTCCTTCATCCAAGGTCTATAGAGGGTCTTATTGGTCACATGACCACGCTTCCCCAAGCAATAAATCCATTAAGCAACAGTTGCCATTTAACAAAGATATCTGAGGGGATAGTTACAGGGAGGGTTGGAAACAAAAATGGGAATCTTGGTAAAACAGGTCTTAATTGCTGCAATCCAGTCCAGGCAACTAAGCCTTAGGTGTTTCCAAGACTTCAGCTCGGCATCAATTGAATTATGCCATTTCCCCAAATTCCTTGGCCAAAGTTGCTTGAGATCGTTCATGATAATCATTGTTGCAATCTGGCTCATGGAGAAAATTGGAACATGATTTCTGAGCCATTCATGACTTGATTGAGAATGACAATACCGATATTGCTCGTGTTCCTGAAACCTGGGTGGATGAGCTGGGATGAGCTGTTCTGACTCAGCTGTGGCTGCCCAAAAACTAGACACAACATCAGCGCACGCTGCAGGCATGGATGGGGAAAGGGGGCTTGCTCTTGGCCTCATCAAGAAGCGCTGCCTGGTGCCATTGTTCTCCTTTAGGCACCAGGGGAAATCTCATTCAGGCATGCATTTTCAGTTCAGTTAATGAGGTGTTATTAGAAGAGTTCTTACCACTTATAGATATTTTGTATATTTTATAGACTATTTATAGATTATTTAGTGAACTCACTGCATGTTTTCTATTGAGGTTTTTTTTGCTGGGGGGGTGGTGGTGGTTGGAATTAATATCAAACTGTACTACAAAAGAAAAAATAGCACTGGTTGCACCAAACTGGTGATTGACTAGAAAGTCTAAAAATCATGCTTCTACTCATAAAAGAAATTCTACAGAATTCAGAATCCTGTCATAATAAATTTAACAACAACAAAAATAAAATAATAATAATAATAACAAGCAGCAGCAGCATTACCAACCTGAGATAACGGCTTCTTCCAAGCACAGTTTACCCCTCCAATTATAATAATATTTGGCATTAGTGGCCTTGGATATTCAGCCACAAAGTCCATTCTCATCAGCCAGATGGATCCATGACTTAGAAGTTCTGTGAGACTCAGATCTCTCTGCAGAAACTCTGAAGCAAGACTTGCATAAGGAGAGTAGACAAAACTGCAGAGGAAGTATTCTGCCAGGTGGAACAGCATATTTTTCACACGCTGGGCAAACGTCATATGATCTGAGTTTCCTGTCATACCTCTTGGGACATAAGAAGGAGGTCTCGGACACTGCGCAGCTTCAAAGTCAAAACCACATGGTATTCCTCGTAAGAAAAAGACAGAAGGGATGCCAAAGTAGTCAGCAACTATCTGGCCACAAGGCATCATAGGATCTGTAAAGAGAGCATCAAATTTGCTCTCCTTGATATAGCTCATCAGTTCTTGGTTGTATAGTAAATGTGTGCAGGCAGCTAAGAACATAGCATTTGTCTGTTTCATTCTCTCAATTGTTCTAAAAAACCTGACCAAAAAAGGAAGCTCTTGAAAATTGTCATTTCCAAATTCTTTAATAGAGATATCCATTTCTTCTTGGGTGAAGGGCACTGGATAACTTTTCAAAGTATAAACATCATCTGACGCTTTTATGTGCATATTGATTTCAGGTGCAACGACGACTATCTCGTGTCCATTCTTCTTGAGTTGGTTCAGGATGGATTGCATGCTGAGCCAGTGGCTTCCATCCATGGGTACCACCAGGAGTTTCCCACCAGAAACAAAACTCGAAGAATATAGAAGCAGCATGAGGATGGAAACGTATGCCTGGGAGCAGGCCATGGGAGCCATTTTTTTGGTCTGTCTGCTTGCTGCTCTCTCAGAAAGTATCAGCTGTATGCTCCAAGCCAGCCCCTTATATACTGGAGTGCAAAGTTTGCCCTTGTGTGCTCTCTTGAAGTAAACATTTAACTAAAAGCCAAGGCTTCTAGTTAAACATTTACTTTGGGAGGTGCTAAAGCTTATAAAAGGTACTACTGGAATTATACAAAATGTTTAGCCATCCTTCATTTTCTTGTTATTGCTTGCATTGTTACAGAGAATACTTTTGCAGTTGTTATGTTTGAAAACAATAAAACCTTTCCATTGTAATTATAATAAAAGAAGTGAGCGAATGAGTAGTGGTTAGAGCCTGCTCAGCTAAGGAACAGGCACAGAGTCAATGCAGTATTTAATCCCATCCTTGCATCCATCAGATGCCATTGTCATAAATGATGTCAGCCGATGGGCAAGTACAGCTGGTGGGCATCTGAGAGATTCAGGAAGGGGTTGCACTGAAATCCATGCTAAAATGAAGGGGGAATACTTGTTTTACCAGCTTCTTGCAAGGTGTTTTTAAGTCTCAACTTCAGGACTTCAAAGCACCTTGCCCACAGGGTCAACCCTGAGAAGGATCAGGCCAGTGGAAGCAAGATATTTCTCCAACCCTGCTAGGAATTTATCAGTGTGGACTTGATAGTTCTTGTTTTTACATAATGAATCCTATTTATTCTTCAACTGAAAACATCATTGCTCTATAGGATTGTATTTGTGTGACACGTTATTTAATTTAAATGTTCATATTAAATAAACTTCTTGCACAGTTTCATCACCACCTAATATAACACTGTGCTCTGCAGGAGTCTTTCAGCTTCTGAGCCGACTCATCATTATCTGAGCAGTGATAATGTGAGATTTTATCACCAATAGCCTCAGATTTACCCATAATTCCCCTTCGTACTCCTCACAAAGTCTGATACAGTTCTTTTAATTGTGTGGTGCCAGGGGAGCATGTTTGGGATGCAGTTATGACAGCGACACCGCCATTGCCAGCCTTATCATGAGCCATGCTGAGCTACATCTCTCTTCTCCCCATTTGCGCCTATCACTCCCCACTCTTGCTTTCCTGGCCAGCTGGCGGCCTGACACCAGGGATGTGGGAGCTCCTGCTTTCACCCTGAGGAAGGGAATGCTGGACTTCTTTAAAGAACCCATTTATCTTAGCCAAATGGAGCTGTAACACAAACATCGGAGATATCTTAGGTGTGAGTTTGTGTGCTAGTAAGGAAAACACGTAATAATTCAGGTTCTGTTGAATCACAGTCGGGCAACACAGAGGTCAGATAAGGCCAAATTCAAAGAAAACATAGTATCAGCACCAAATTTTATTTCGGCCGCAGACCAGCAAAGACAGCACCTTGGATAGCTCCTTGTGACTCTCAGGCTGAGAGAGCAAAATCTCGGGCAGCAAGATCCACAGGGGCAGCAGTTTCAGTCTCCAAGAAATGCATTGCTGGCTGCTACTTGGGGGCAGATCTACCACCTCCTTGGCAGCCCACCCCCAGGCCACCTCTACAGAGGCCTCTCTGCAAAAAGGAGGCACTGCTCGTCTCCCACCCATAGCAAGAAAATGGTGAGGGTTGCCCTCTGGGGTCTCCTGGGTTCTGCACCCACCCAATGTGATGCAGAACAGCCCCCCAACACAAAATAGTCTTTGATTCCCACTTCAACCATTGGGTAAGGTTGATTTGATGCCCCCCACCCCGCTCTTGATGTAGATCTTTACTTCCTCCTTGTTCTCTACGAGGATCTTTATTACCCCTCTGTTCTCGACTTTCACTGGTGGATTGGGGGGGGGGAGCCATTTTGTGGCTCACCTCAGGTGACAAAATGTCTTGGGCCAGCCCTGGCTCTAACTTACTTCAGGAGCAGCTGAGTGATGGCGCTGGGAAGACCACTGTTTGGCTGGGGCTTCCAGACTGGAGTCCAAGGATGGCAAAGTGGTCTGCTGGGGTTTCAAAGGTGCTGGCAAAAAGGCTTCTCCTATACTGGAGTCTCCAGGACACAGGAAGGGCTTGCGGCCAGTTCAGATCCTCAAGCAGTGAGAGTGATGTTCTCACCTGATGAGGTTTTGCCTTTCCACCCCTCCCAATGAGACAAGAGGATCTGAAACCAAGCTTATTGTACAAACACCAAAGAGAAATGTGCATGTAATTGCAAATGCAAACAGCCAATACTGTAACTTCGAGCCTTGGCAATGTTAACATAAATATGGGGCATATTGTAAATAAATGTATAGATTCTGAGGGAGGATGAGAATGGCTAAGACCAACATTTGTTCCACAGAGACCCCTGACACTGAAGTGGAAGACTTCTCCCAAGCAAAAGCTCCACCTTAACAAAAAGAGGATACTACACAAATATGCCTCCATAAGAATGGAACAATGGGAAGCCATATATATTTACAAAACCACTGCCAAGATCTGTAGCCAGACTCTGCTGCCAGAATCTAGAGCATGGGCAGAGAACATTTTTTAAGTCACAGGTCACAATCCTTTCACAGGCAACTGCCTCATGCCAGTGGTGGGCAAGGCCAAAATCAAAATAAGTTCCAATTAACACATATTTATCCACACATACATGCTACTTTCAGAAAACTTTTACCCATCAGCATCCTCCCTCCCTTCCAATCACAGCAATTTAAAACTCCCGTCCACCTCACTTATTCTTTATTTATTTCTCTTTTCTTTCCCTTTCTCCCCCTGCAGTTAAAAAAAAAAAAAAAGGTCACATTTCCCCATTAGTCTAATTGTTCTGCAGGAAGGGTGTGAATTTGGAGGTAGCTGCAACTGTCTCATAATCCTGTGCCTCATCCTGGCACAGCAATTTGGGGGAAGTTTCCATGTACTGAGACTAATTGCCAAGTGGGGTGCAGTTAGGGGGAGATGGCAACAAATGGGGAGAAAGTTAAGGCTTTTCTCCCCAGCTGCAGAAAACGTGGCCAGTAGACTAGGAGAAAATGTCCCACCCACACTTCTTTGGCTTTCATGCTTCACTTTGCACTTGCTTACATTGAATGCAATCTCTTTTTGTTTTCATCACACTGAAGATTTTGTATCATCAGCAAACTTGCCTATTTCACGGCTCCTTCAATGACCCTCAAAGCACATGTTCTCTGGGTAAGTCTCCAGGACCGGATGGATTGACTTCTAGATATTATAGATCTTTGAAAGAAAGGCTAGTACAACCCTTGAAAGAGGTCTGTAATGAAATAATGGAGGGGAAAAGGGCACCAGAGTCGTGGAAAGAAGCTTATATTACACTTGTACCGAAAACAGAGACTGAAAAGACACAGCTTAAGAACTACCGCCCCATATCATTACTTAATGTGGATTACAAAATTTTTGCAGACATTTTGGCTAAGAGATTTAAAAAAGTGTTGATGGAAGAGATTCATAAAGATCAAGCGGGCTTTCTCCCGGGAAGACACTTGTCTGACAATTTGAGGAATATAATTGATATTTTGGAAAAACTAGAAGTGAACATAAATACTAAAGCAGTTTTGATATTTGTGGACATGGAGAAAGCTTTTGACAACATTTCTTGGCGTTTTATGAAGAAGAACCTACAGGGTATGGGGGTAGGCCAAGGCTTTGAAAATGGTATAAGTGCAATTTATTCAGAACAAAAGGCTAAATTAATTGTAAATAATGTGGTGACGGAAGAACTTAAGATAGAAAAAGGGACACGACAAGGATGCCCAATTTCCCCACTACTTTTTATTTCGGTCCTGGAGGTTTTGCTGAACATGATTAGAAGGGACCAGTTGGTTAAAGGTATACAGGTCGGAGCTAAACAGTACAAATTGAGAGCATTTGCAGATGATTTAGTATTGACGTTACAGGAGCCAGAATCTAGTACCAAAAGGGTTTTAGAACTAATTCAAGAATTTGGTCAGGTTGCAGGATTTAAATTGAACAAGTTAAAAACTAAGGTTTTAGAGAAAAATCTAACACCAATGGAGAGAGAGAGGTTTCAGAATGCGACAGGTTTAACAGTGGTTAAGAAAGTTAAATATCTGGGGATTAACATGACAGCAAAAATGGGAATTTATTTAAAGATAACTATGAAAAATGTTGGGCTGAAGTGAATAAAGATTTAGAAATTTGGTCAAATTTGAAGCTTTCACTGCTGGGCCGTATTGCTGCGGTAAAAATGAATGTATTGCCTAGAATGTTGTTTTTGTTTCAAACACTGCAAATTCTGGACAAAATGGACTGTTTCAAGAGGTGGCAGAGAGATATTTCTAGATTTGTCTGGCAGGGCAAGAAGCCCAGAATAAAATTTAAAATACTAACAGATGCAAAGGAAAGAGGTGGATTTGCCCTGCCAGACCTTAAACTTTATTATGAATCAGCAGCTTTTTGCTGGTTGAAAGAATGGCTGCTTCTTGAAAACACTGACATTTTGGATCTAGAAGGTTTTAACAATGTATTTGGATGGCATGCATATTTGTGGTATGATAAGGTCAAAGCACATAAAGCATTTAAAAATCATATTGTCAGGAAAGCTTTGTTTAATGTTTGGATAAGATATAAGGACTTATTGGAAAATAAAACCCCAAGGTGGCTGTCACCGATGGAAGCGAAAGCCTTGAAAAAGCTCAATATGGAGGTCAAATGGCCGAAATATTGGGAAATTTTAGAACAAGATGGAGATAGATTGAAACTGCAGAGTTTTGAAAAACTAAAAAATAAAGTGCGAGTCTGGCTTCATTATTATCAGATAATGGAGGCATACAATTTGGACAAGAAAATTGGCTTCCAGGTGGAAAAATCAAAATTAGAAACAGAACTCTTAGAACCCAAAACTAAGAATTTGTCAAGAATGTATAACTTGCTGTTGAAATGGAATACTCAGGATGAAACGGTGAAATCTGCTATGATTAAATGGGCACAAGATGTCGGACATAATATTATGTTTGCTGACTGGGAACAGTTATGGACCACAGGTATGAAGTTTACGGCATGTAATGCCCTAAGAGAGAATATTATGAAAATGATATACAGGTGGTACATAACCCCAGTCAAGCTTGCAAAAATCTACCATTTGCCCGATAACAAATGTTGGAAATGTAAAGAAACTGAAGGTACATTCTTTCACCTTTGGTGGACGTGCCCAAGGATTAAGGTTTTCTGGGAGATGATTTATAATGAATTAAAAAAGGTATTTAAATATACCTTCTTGAAGAAACCAGAGGCCTTTCTCCTGGGCATAGTCGACCAATCGGTGTTAAAGAAGGACAGAACTTTCTTTATGTACGCTACAACAGCAGCAAGAATACTTATCGCAAAGTATTGGAAGACACAAGAGCTACCCACACTGGAGGAATGGCAGATGAAAATGATGGACTATATGGAATTGGCGGAAATGGCTGGCAGAATCCGTGACCAGGGAGAAGAGTCGGTGGAAGAAGATTGGAAGAAATTTAAAGTTTATTTACAGAAACACTGCAAAATTAATGAATGTTAGAGTGATATTGGTTTGAAGTTAAGTGGCTTCTAGCTGAACAGGTTTTAAAGCAATAAATGTATCAAGATTAAGGATTAAGACTAAAAAGATTAAGAGAAATGGAAAAATTGGTTCAAATAGGTAAAAATTTAATGTCATAATATATTAAGATTTAGGATTGGAATTAAAAAGGAGGGAAAGAAATTGCTGGGTTTATAAATTGAATTGGAATACAAAAGAGGGAGGTATGAGGAAGTCCGGGAAATAAGTAAACCTAAAAGAGGTTATGAAAGGACGGAACTATTTTTAACTGTTTTTTCTTTCTTTTTTCTTTTTTTACTTTTTTCTACTTTGTATTTTGTATTTTGTTTGGTGTATTGTTTTCTGTTTTGTTAAAATCTTCTTGTTTATTAATGTGATTTTATTCTTTCTGAAACTTTAATAAATATTAATTAAAAAAAACACAAAGCACATGTTCTCCCACCTTGTGAGCTCTAAGTATGCACAGCATAAGCCAAGGGATATAGCCCCATTTGATTCTCCTGTATAGTAAGCCCACAACTTACTCACATCTAACTTGTGCGCATTCAGCTTAATTCACTTGGCAATGAATGAATAAATAGGGGGCAGAGGGAGGGAATAAAAAGGGGAGGGAAAAAGTACTTTGGCAATACCACCTGCCATTGTATATTGACTATTCATGGTTTTAGCTTTAGGCACAATCCCTGAAATGTACCCCTGTGTAAGCTGCAGGCCTACTGTATACTGGTGTGCTGTGACTGGGTGTCAAGTTGCACAATATCCTATCATCCATCATAGTAACACATGCAGGAACGTACTGGCAGGTAGTGGGGGCTGTCACTCCTTATCAGGGCATTAAGTACTTGCTACCACAACTCTTTAAACCAGAGCTTTCCTTATCGGGTATTCCAACACGTTAGAGTCCACCTGATTCTTGAGTGATGTAACATGATTGGCCGACCCATAGTAGAGGCTACAGGTCTGCAGTTAGGCTGCCAAAGTCTAAAATAAAAATTTGCCCCCATTTTCTGTTCCTTCTCACACTATCCCCTTGGTTCACAATTCTCTGTTTTATCTGGAAATGTTCCCCGGCAAGAGCTAACAAGTTAGGACAGGATTCATTTCTCAGTCCCAGTCAACACCCCCTACTGAAATGCAGAGGAGAATGCCCCAGACTTTTCCTGCTGACTTGACAGCTGAACTTGGAAGAGCTAAAGTCATGTGTTCCCTGTTTGATAATTCAATCAAAACCACACTGTATCACTTATCAGTTGGCTACTGAAACCTCTGTGACCTCCCAATAAGGCTGCAAACACAATTAAAGCTCCCCTCACAAAGAATCCTGGGAACTGTAGTTTGTTGATCACAGAGCTACAGCTCCCAGCACACTTAATCAATCACAGTTTCCAGGTTTATTTTTCCGGGGTGGGGTGGGGTGGTGGTGCTTGAAATGTACGCATCCATCTAGAGTCAAGCATTCCCTGTTGTCAAGGACATCTCATTAATTCTTTCCTTTTCTGCACCTTGATACTTCATTGCAAATGCATTTAGTTCGTTTGTTTTTTCTTTCTAAGACTATAACTGAGCTTAGACTTCTGAAACCAGTGTAATTTTAGGGGAGCAGTTAGTGGCATAAACCCAGGCAGGCTGACTTGAGTCTCCCTTCTTTGAGCCCCCATCCCTGTAGCTGCTCATCGTGTGATCCTTGCCCAGTAAAACATTGTGCTCAAGGAATGCCTTCCTTTTTAGATTCACCCAGGCACTCTTGTTCCCCCTCCATTTTGACATGTTTCTCATATAGTTTGTAAAGAAGGCCAGGAATATAACTGCACACATACCCATTTCTTCTATTTCTCTCTCCTCCTTCTCCCTAGCTTCTACTACACTGCTCTTTTTAATTTGATCCAGCTCTGTGGGGGTGTTGGTTTGTATCGTACTCAAATAACACCTTTTTCATTCCCCCCCCACCCTTAACCATCCCTCCTGAATAACAGTGTAGCTTGCATGGGGCCTATTAAAGAGGTTGCAACTAACTTGTGACATAAAAATATAATAACAGTTAAAAGTCACAAATGAAATGGAAAACAGCAGATATAGTTTATACACTATCCCTCAATATCAACAAGCACCAGAAATGCAATTTTGACAAACCCCTGCTGTAACAAGTCAATACGGCCATGTTTCTCAGATCAAATAATCACAGGACCAGGCAGTTTTCTTTAAGCAAAGGTTTATCTCCACAACTGCTGAGCTACAGCCACAAATGTCCCATCTCATGCCCCTACCAAACTTGTTTTCAAACAGGAGTACAGAAATCAACATCTCACTATGATAATTCATTCAAGTGTGGCTGTGTTCGTAGCAAGGAGCATGGCAGCAACACAGATCTAAGCTCAAAACCATTGATACATAGCACCTACCTCTGGCAGGATTTTGCCTTCTTCACAGTTAATTCCTCCAATGAAGACCATATTTGGCATCACAGGTCTGGGATACTCAAATACAAAGTCATATCGTAAAAGCCAGACAGAGCCATTTCTGTAAAGTGTTGGTAAGTGAATGTCTCTCTGAAGGAGTTCTGAAGCAAGCTCTTGGTAAGGAATATACAGTCTCTTAAAAAGTGGCGTCTCTAAGAAGCTAATGAGCTGGTTCAACACTCGCTGGGCAAATGTCATGTGATCAGTGTGGCTGCTATAGCATCTTGGGACATAAGAAACTGGGTCTGGACATTTGCTGATAGCATTCTCTAAACCGCATGGGAATCCACGAAAGAAGTACACAGAAGGGATGGAGAGATGTTCAGCGAGGATGACTCCACATGGCAAAGCTGGATCTGTGAAAAGTGCATCAAACTGAGTCTCTTCCAGGTACTTCATGACTTCTCTGTTCCTCAGAAGGCTTTTGCAATTAATGAAAAACATCTCAATGAGATGCATTAAGCTCCTATATGCTCCTAAAATCATGGCAGGAAAAGAGACTTCATCAAAGGGCTGGTTGCCAAACGAACGGAAACGCTGGGAAAGATCATCTGCTGTATACGGCACAGCAAATATTTTCCTTGTGTAATACTTTGATTCTTTCATGAGCAGATTAACTTCTGGAGCCACCACAACTATCTCATGCCCTCTTTCACTGAGCTTCTCCACTACAGCACGCATGCTGAGCCAGTGGCTTCCATCCTGAGGTATCACTAGCAGCCTCTTTGCCTCTCCAAAGCAGATGAGAACAAAGACAAAACAGACAGCACTGCCATGAAAGCGAGGCACGGCGGAATCCATCTTCAATGACAGCCAACATTTGTTATGTGACGCTACCTTTTAAATCCTGAGCAGCGTGCCGTTAACCTTGGATTTACCTGCCCATATTGTTAATGATTGGTATAAAGCCCAAGGTTGCTGATTAATGAGAGTCACTTTCCCCAGTGACACTGGTGAAATACTTGCACTGGATCAGTTAGAAATTTGGCCTGATTTTGTAGCTCGCACAAAATCTTCTTCAGACATGGGTGCCCAAAAATAATGTACCAGACATCTTGTCTGGAAGTGACCTCCTTAATACAGCATGCATCTCTTCACAGGTTTGTGGCGTGATCTGCTTGCTGTTCCAAATCAATCCCTGAGGGTCAAACTGCAGGCAGCACTACTCATACATATGCTTGCATCAGCTTTTTTGCTTTGCTTTGTTTACCAAGTGATATTTGGTTGTTTACCAAGCGGTATGCCACATGATGTCAGTTACATGAATGATCAAACAGGAGTAATATGAACCAACTTTATTCAAACAAACTTGCTTTCAACTCCCCAACTTTCTCTATCCCCGGTCTGTTTCTGCTAACTCACTTCCTGGTAGCTGTTCCCTTACGTTTATCTCCCTGACTGCTGCCCTAAACCTCATTACTTAGTTCCATTATGCACTTGGAAGCTTCAAATCTGGAGCAGAAAGCTGCTCTCTCTACCCATCAAGCAGGAGCTCTCTTTTTTCTCCATGGAGTGAGAAGCAAGTTGTGGGTCATTTTGACTGGGAAAATGGCATGTTAGTATGGCCATGTTTTAACTCCAAGTAGCTGCATATGTATGGCTACTTTGCACAAAATCAAAAACCATTATGGAATTCTAACTGTCAGGTAATTTAACCTTAAGGCTGTACATTTCACTGTACTGGGCAGGGGTGGGAGAAAAGTGAGAATGAAATTTTGCCATCAGGACCTTGGAGCCTTTGCAAAGGAGCAGCTGCCAGAGGAACTGGCCATTCAGAACAGTTTCTTGTCCCCCCCCCCCACTTGATTTCATCTAATTCTGGAAAAAAGTCATAGCCTTAAAAAAGAAGAAGACCATAGTAAAGAGGGAAATGTGATGCTTCAGTTTTCCCAAATCAAGAATCAGAATCTGACCCAAGCTGAACAACAGAACTTCTGAATTGGGTCAGTTCAAATTGGGCTATTTCAGAAGTGCTGAATCAATCAGGGTCAAACTGAATAATAAACTCCTAATTTATTTATAAATTCATCAAAACTGGCTTAGGATATATTTCATCCATCGGCAGTAAAATACCAACAATCCTCTATTATTTTTTTAATTTATTAAATTTGTATACTGCTCTCAATCAGGGCGGTTCACAGTATTTACAAATGCAACAGTCATCTTTTGATGTCAGAACATGGATTACATCGGTTTCTAACCTGAATGTGAAATAAAGGTTGTCTTCTTCAGTTAAAAATGCGGTTTTCTTTTTTGTGCCCACAACTCCAGCTTAGGTAGAATAAGAAATCCATGTAGAATGAGAACGAAGCCCACCGAGTCATCAAGTCCAACTGCTGAACGCCTGACCTACAGTAGGAATCCAACCTATACCTTATCAAAGGAATAAGAACCACAAAGGAATACAGGGCATACAACTGGAATCATTTTAGCATTTTTAAGTCAATCATATTTATTCATTTCACGTTTATTAGTTCAGAATGTCACTGCTGTTTAGATAGGCTGTATTTCCCCTGGGGCCAAAAACCCAGTTTGCACCCCCTACCCACCCACCCAAGCATTTGTGTACACACACACACACAGGCTGGGAGCCTCTGTGGTGCCCCTCTGGAGGCTTCACCTGGGGCAAAACACCTGTCTAACCCTGCTGCCCCCCCTCTAGCTATGGCACTGCTTTAGGTACCTTTAGCATTACCATGCTTATCACAAGAGATCGGGATAGGTGTGCTCCACCTAAAAAAGCCTCAAGCCCCATTACCTAATTTAATTAAGACATTTATATTTGAGCACTTTGACTGTAATTGGAGAAAGGGAGCCAGAGGTAACTGCAAAGTGGATAGATCAAGAAGTATTATATCCTCTGTCCGTAACAAAGGAAATAGGTCATTTAAAATGTGTGTTTGCAATGGAATTTGTATGTCATTATAATTTGTATCTTCTTCATGGGAAGATTGGGAGAAGAATTTATCTCATCAGACAATGTGAAAAAAAGAGGAGTAGTACTCTACGCAAAGGAAAGCCTGTCACCAAAATTTTTGTTCAAAGATGACCAAGGAAGATATATAGCAATTGAAATCCAGCTTCACGGTCAGAAGTTTTTGATATTAGGAGTCTACGCGCCAAATGAGGGAAAATCAGAATTCTTTAAAAAACTGCATGAAACCCTATTGGATTATTTGGATTACAATAAAATTTTGATGGGAGACATGAACGGAGTAGTGTCTACAAATATGGATAAAGCCCAAAGACAAACGGTGACGAAAGATGGTAGACTACCAAAGACATTTTTTGAAATGACTGACAATATGGACCTTGTGGACATTTGGAGAATAAAGAACCCTTTGGAAAGAGAAGGAACCTTCTTCTCTGAAGCAAAAATGACATGGACAAGAATAGACCAAATTTGGATAACCAGGGGACTGGCTCCTAAGATAAAAAAAGCGGTAATTTGTCCGAAAATTTGCTCTGATCATAATCCAGTAAAGATGGAAATGATACTAACGCCAATTGGAGCTTTCAGATGGAGGATGAATGACTCCTTGCTTAGGAGGAAATAATTAAAAAGGCCCAGAAAAATCTGAGAGACTACTTTGAGATAAATATGAACACTACGACTGAGAAAAGAGTGATCTGGGATGCTAGCAAAGCGGTGATGAGAGGATTTTTGATACAACAAAACGCAATTAGGAAAAGACACCAAAATGAGAAGAGAGAAAAATTTTTGGAGAAAATTAAAGATGGAGAAAAAAGACTGAGGGTGAAACCGAACTCACAGGAGATTTTAAAAGAGATAAAGTTATACCAAGTACAATATATGAAACTGATGAATCAGGAAATAGAATGGAAGATCAAACAGATGAAACAAAAGACATTTGAATCGGCAAATAAGTGTGGGAAATTATTGGCCTGGCAAATGAAAAAAAGACAAAAGCTTAATACTATTACGAACTTGGTAGTAGAAGGGAAGAATATACAGAATCCTGGAGAGATTCGAAAGTGTTTCCAGAACTACTTTAAACAGTTATATACGCAGGAGACCCAGAAAGAATTAGACATTGATCGGTTTTTGAAAATTAATGCTTTACAAAAAGTATCTCAAGAGAGCAAATCAATACTAAACTCTATAATATCTGACCAAGAGGTGGAAGGAGCTATTCAGGATATGAAATTGGGCAAATCTCCAGGGCCAGATGGTCTAACTGCAAAGTATTATAAATCTTTGAAAGAATGGGAACTCTGTAGACATATCTAATGGACATTAGACTTGCAGTTTATTAGGAATTCCAGATGTTTACCATTGCCAGAAACAGACTGGTAGCCAGTGGAGCTGCTGTAACAAGGGTCATATGCTCCTTACTACCAGCCCGTCAACAGTTTGTCTGCACCTCTTAGGGCCAGTTGAAGTTTCTGACTACATTTCAAAGGCAACCCCGCAGTAATCCAAACAGGATGTAACTAAGATGTGTCATTGTGGCCAGATCAGACCACAGGAATGGGCACAGATTGTGCACAAATTTTAACTGTGCAAATTTCTGGCCACCACAGAAACCTGGGTATGCAGACCCAGGAATGAATCTACTCATACATCTGGGTCCACATGCTCAAGTCCAACCGGCTGCAACACATCCAACAAAACATACTCCAACAGCACAATATGTCTATTCAGAATAAGTCCCATTGACCTCTCCCAGCAATTACGCAGAAGACCCTAGCAACTCTGATATAGTTTCTATGCAGCCAGTCATCCATGCAACTATAAACCAGACTTTTACCTAGTTCACAAAGTGTAATCAGAACATTCTTTTATAATATACCCCTAGCATCCTATGTGTGTTTACCTGGAAGTAAGTTTCACTGAATTAAATGTAACTTGCTCTTGAGTAGGTGTGCATAAGACTGCAACATTAGTTTTGGAGCCATGTCTTAAATTCTATCACTTGGTGTATTCTAAACGGTTTGATTTCATTTGCAATGTTAACTGGATGATGTTCCATTCATTATGGAAATAACGCAAATGTAACCCTCATGATTGACGTTCACAATGTGCAATTTATTATTCATATCCTTTACATGTACTATTACATGCATAAGCACTTCTCACTTAAATGCAATTTTTATCCTTAAAGAATTTGTGAATAAAAAGTAATGGACGTACCTGTGGCAGGATTTTGCCTTCTTCACAATTTATCCCTCCAATGAAGACCATACCTGGCATCACAGGTCTGGGATACTCAAATACAAAGTCGTACCGTAAAAGCCAGATAGAGCTATTTCTGTAAAGTGTTGGTAAGTGAACATCTCTTTGTAGAAATTCTGAAGCAATATCTTCATACTTATTATACAGAGTTTTAAAAAGTGATGTTTCTACAGAATTGACAAACAGATTAATCACACGTTGGATGAAAGTCATTTGGTCTGTATTCCTGGTATAGCATCTTGGGATATAGGAAGTAGGGTTTGGAGATTTACAAATCGCATGCTCTAAACTGCATGGGAATCCACGAAAGAAGTACACGGAAGGGATGGAAAGATGTTCAGCGAGGATGACTCCACATGGCAAAGCTGGATCTGTGAAAAGCGCATCAAACTGAGTCTCTTCCAGGTACTTGATGATTTCTTTGTTCCTCAGAAGGCTGTCACAGTTGTAGAAAAACATATTTATTATATACATGTTGTTCTGATATTCTTGAAGAATTGTGTAAGGAAAAGAAACCTTACGGAAAAGGTTGGAAGCAAACTTTCGAAATCTAGCATCAAGATCTGCCTTTTTGTATGGCACTGGGTAGGTTTTCTGTTTATAATGCTTCGATTCCTTTAAGAGCAAATTAATTTCTGGTGCCACCACTGTTACCTCATGACCCTTTTCACTGAGCTTCTTGACAACAGCATTCATGCTGAGCCAGTGGCTTCCATCTTGAGGTATCACCAGCAGCTTCCCAGTTTCAGTAAAGTTAATGATAGCAATCAAAAACAGAAGCCATGCAGTCAAGTGGATAGGCCGATGAAAAAGATAAGCCATCTCTTCATCCAGAAAAAGTCTGTCAATAAGAGGAAACCCTTGTGTATTTCTGTATTGTGTACTTGTTTAGCGCAGGAATAAAAAACTAATCTTGCTTTAGTCTATAAGCCAGATATTCTACCCGTCTGCATTAATCATTAGTCCAACATGATCTGATGAAAGTTCATGGCCATGAAAGCCCTCCTGTTTGCCCTGAGAATGAAGCACCATAAGCAATGGTGCAATGCCACAGCTCATTTATGAACTAACAAAAGGCCCTGACTAGGAAGGATCAGGAAAGGAAGTGATAGGCTAATCTGAAGTGCAAAGTAGTAAAAACAGGTTTTGTAACAGCTAGGGAAAGCTGCTGATAAGAGACATGACAGTTCAGAGACCAGATCAAAATGTGTTTATAAACTGTGGTTTTGTGAGAAGTCTGTAAAGGAAGGGGGGCTGGATGAGAGCCAACAACCTGAAGCTCAGTCTGGATAAGATTGAGGCGCTGTTAGTGGGCGATTCCCTAAACCAGATGGATAGGAGGCTGCCTGCTATTGATGGGGTGCCTTCCATCAGCTTCAGCTGGTAGCCCAGCTGGGCCCCTATCTGGACAGAGACAGCCTAACTCCTGTCGTCTGTACTCTAGTTAGTGTCTTCTTCATTAGATTATTACATGTTATACATAGGGCTGCCTCTGAAGACGGTTCAGAAACTTCAGAATTTGGCAGCTAGGTTGCTCACCAGGGCAAGATGGCTTGAGCATATTACGCCAATCCTGGTCCGACTGCACTGGTTGCCAATTAGTTTCCAGGCCTAATTCAAAGCGCAGCTTTTGGCCTATAAAGCCTTAAATGGCTCAGGACTCCAATTCCTCAAGGACCACGTCTCCCCATATGAACCAACCCAGACCCTGAAATCCTCATTTGAGGCCCATTTTTGTGTGCCCCCTCCATGAGATTTGTGGAATCTTTGGCACCAGCCAAAAACGCTACTCATTAACCAGGCCTTTGGCTGCTTAACATGCTATGCCCTTTTAAGTGTGGGATGGGAGTTATTGGTTTGTTTTTCTTATGTATTTTATGCTCTCATTTTGTATTTCTATGTTCTGAATCGCCCTGTGATTGATAAAGGACGGTATACAAATTGAATAAATAATAATTAAAACATAGCTTATGATCACCAGTAGCAGAAACTGTGATTTTGAATGCGGGTTTAAACCATGTTTTATGCTTACTTTGGTCAGGGGAAATATCAGCGTTATAGCTGTCAACTTTCAGATTTGAAAATAAGGGATCAGTAGCCTCACCTGTCCCGGAGACAGTCTACGGGATATCTAACAATCTGGGATAGCAGCGGAAAACGGCGCTGAAATAAGGGAATTTCCCACAAAAAAGGGGAAGGTTGACAGCTATGATCAGAGTTGATAAGCCATAGTTTCGTCTGTTGGTCTGCCTCTGTGCTAAGAAACTGGAGTGTTGCACAGACAAAAAGCTGTTAACTATGGACATGCTCAGAGGTTAGCTTAAACTAAGTTCTGCTGCAAAATCAGCTCAGCCCAAGGGCCAAACTACACATGACAGTGGGAGATTTGACACACTGGAGATGAGATGTGTGTGTGTGTGTGTGTGTGTGTGTGTGTGTGTGTGTGTGTAAAACCTAAGCTATACTTCTCAAAGTTTAGTAATCTAAACTGGATTTTGAGGGCTCAGGCCTCACTTCAGAGTAGTTGATTGGGCTTGGTGTGCTTATGTAAAAGGAAACAGCTCCCCAGAATAAATTAGATTACCAGTATTGAGCACCTATACACATACAGCTAACTTGTCACTGAATGTGTATGTGTTATATATGAGCAGTGGAGGCAGCAGGGCACATAACCTCAGGGGCTATATCTTTTTTCATGTGTAGTAAACACGTGGAAGCAAAGCTTTAAAAGATCTATATAAAAGTTAAGCAGTCTTCAATCTGAGTTAATGAAATTTCATGGAGTCTAGTGTGTTTTGTGTGCCATGAAAGTAGAGAGATTTCTGACTCCTGCCTTTTCGCTCTTAAAATGGATCTTCTGCATGATATTAGAGGGGAACTACCTACCAATTATACTAGCTAATAGGGCTGTGCATAAATAATAAAATAAAGATATTCACCTTCGAACTCACTTTTGTTTGCTCAGATAACAGGTTGCTGAGATGACAGGTTGCCTCAGCATGATTTGACATTATGTGGTTTGCATCTGAGGTGAAATGTCACCTCATTTTCTGAAGCTCCTGATTACTTCCTCCTGGACTATAATTGGAAAGTTAATAAATATTTATAAACTTACAACATTTCTGATAGAATTGGATGAAATTTGGAGCATAGTACCCATTCAGACAGAATGAAGCCTGTCAAATTTCATATTAATAGGTGGGTTTTTGTTGCTGTATAGGGCATCTTTAACATTTGTGTGTTCCTTAAAGGGAAAAAGCAATTAATTCCTGTAACATTTTTATTTCTTGACAAAATTATTAGAAATAAATAGAAGTTTTTGTGCTGGGTTAGGTGCCTTTAACATTTTTAAAGGGAAGTGACTTTCCCCCCTGTGGTCAATGTTATGTGACTGCTACATCAACATGCAGTGTTTTAGTGTACACAATAAAAATTAAAAATAACCCTCCTCACTTCTAAGCCTGAAAGCCCCATCTACCTACTCTTCATGATAAAGGTGTTTTGGTCTTCATTTCTTAGCCAAGATGGCTGGCTCATCACTTTGGCTTTATTTCAAAAGCAGGTTATTTTTGAGCTATTTCTAGTACGCTAGCAGGTGTCTTTCTCTCTTATGATCCCACTCTCTGCCCTTACCTGCCTGATAGGTCCAGAGGTACTGAACACAGGATTAATGCATTCAAGCTTACCTCTGCATCAATTACTACAGGACAGTATTTTGTTTTTCCCATTACCATCAACTACTCCCTCTTTTCTGCATTTACTGTCCATGCACACAAGTAGTACAAGTGATACTTCCCAGTATAAATGCAATCCTAGTCATTGCTTTCCAATGTCTTCTTTCCAAGTAAATATGCACAGGATTGGGCTACCATGTTTTAAATACTGTCAAGGAGATAAAGAACAATACAACTTTCAGAAGACATCTGAAGGCAGCCCTGTGTTGGGAAGTTTTTAATGTTGGATGTTTTATTTTGTTTTATACATTCTGTAAGCCTCCCAGAGTGGGGAAACCGCTCTTGGGCAGGATATTGTTGTTGTTGTCTTTCTAATCCTGTCTGTCTTCTGTTGGCCAGCAATGATGAAGAGGACATGTCTTAAAAATAAAGCAACTTAAAACAAACGGTGCATTAGGTAAGACTAAATTCTTGAAGTGACTATTTTGCAAAAGAAGCCAGCAGTTTCTGTATCTGATTAATTAATATCAATCGTTCGTACAGATGGGAGCACATGGCTGGTCCGGAACATTTTGCTGCCTGAATTGAAGGGCAAAATGGCACTCTCTTCATTCATGCTGCAGAATAGGCACAAAAGTTATAGTTCTTTTCAGGTGAGCATATTTCAAAGGAACGGTATAGATAAAAGGTACAAGAGTCCTGTCCTCTATTTACCTCTGACTGTACTAATATCTGACTAGCAATTAAACATTGGTTAGATATCACATTGTTGCCTTGCATCAGGACTTTAGTAGATATCTCCCTGAAATTGGATCAAATGTTAAAACAACAGACTTTGAACTGATTACCTCCCTATGGACAGGAAGAAATGCATTTAAAATTCAAGCTGATTGTGTTGATTCATGCTAGGTTAATCTGTTAACTCAATTTTATAGTGGCTGTTCTCAAGCTATATTAACTAGAACTTGTTCTTTCATCATCCTGTTCTTTATTGTTTTAAACAGCTTTTGTAAAATGTGCTAAAGTACCTTCACCTCTAAACTGGGTAAACAAGCTAGCTCCAGAGCTATCTTTTATATACAACACCCCCCCCAACTGGAGATTGTTAATCAGTAAGAAATTGTACCAGAGTTCTGAGAAAAATAAAAAAAGTTGCTGAATATTTTATATACTGTATAGAAAAAGAGATGTCCAAGTCCCAGTGCTATCTAGAAACAATGTGTTCTGATCTGAAAGTCCTGGATGACTTCACTGCCATGCAGTAAGTACAGCCAAGAGCACCAAGTAGGGTGCCCCCATCATATTTTCAATGAAGGGGCTAGGCCCTTTCAAATTTATGCGGTGACAGAACAAGGCAGCATGCATGGGTACAGCCAGGGCTTTTTGGGGGGCCATAGCTTGCCAGATCTCAGTTCCAGCACTTCTCAGCTGAGCGCCATTGCCATTATAATTACTTTACAGTAATTACTTTTTACATTTTTTTTATATTAAAGATTTCTGGGTTTACAAAGGTATGCCTAATGTCTCTTTTTTCAAGTTACATTTAGAACAAGGGTGAGTTCATGGTGAGTTCTGGCACCTCTTTTTCTAGAAAAATTGTTATGTACTGAAGTTCTCACCCTGGGCCAGCAGGGGGATACTGTAGATAGTTTTCACTCAGGTCCACATATGCAAATAAGGGATTGAAAATGACGTTCAGTGATTGGATAGTTACAGAAAGTGGTTACTGTTGTGTTGTAGTGGAGCGCTATATAAGCAGGCTGGCTGAACCCTTCAGTTCAGTTCTGTTCTGGCCTGTGAATAAACAAGAGCTGTTTGAAGAATCACTGTGTCGTTCACCCACAACTTAACAAAAATAGCACTGGATACAGCTATATGATCTAGTGTGTGTCTGAACAGCTTCACATGGAGTCTTTCACTTGTGCTCTAGCTTTATATCAAGCATCACTCAAGCAGAATGTAAAATGCTGGTTCTATCCCGTGTCTTTTTGCACATGAAAAATGTGATTTTAATTTGAAAGGGAAGAAACCGTATCCTACTATGACAAAATAGCAAAGCAAGGAAATCGAGAAAAATTCACAGCCATTCTTTGAAACACACAAAAGTTAAAATACTGAAACATATGGAATTACGCGAACCGGCTAAGCACTTGGAAGAACTACAACTCCCACAAGCCATTGCGGCCAGCCGGCTGGGCGGCGCTCGGGCGAGAAGCCGGGGGGAGACTACAGTTCCCAGCAACCTCTGCTGCAGGTTCGAGGAAGCCCAGCGGCCTTGGGGCGGCTTTCGGGCTTCTTCCTCAAGGCGCCGTCGGCTCCGCAGGCGAGAGGGAAGCGGCCGGGCTGGGCCGGTGGCGCTGCTGCTGCTGCTTCTGAGGTGCGCGGCGGCTGCCCCCCCCCCTCAAGCGCCCCGTGAAACGGCCTTTCGGAGGCTGGCGTTGCAGCCTCGTCACGGGCCTAGTCCTCAGTGAGGTGCTTGCGCCGGGGGCCTGGGCCCCACTTCTTCGGGCGGTGTGTTGTTTGCCTGTCGCTTTTCACGTAACCGAGCATTCGCACGGAGAGGAAACGCGTCAGGGAGAAGAGTCCCGGCCGGATCCTTCCCGGCCCCTTTGACAACGGGACTTGTTTGCTCCCCCAGGCAGCCGCGAATCGGGGCCCTCGCGTCGCCTCTTGCGTTGCCCGGGGAGAGGAGGCCGCCTTCCTGAGGACCCAGGACCGTTTCCCCGTGGGAACGCGCAGGCGGAATGGTGGCAGCCCCCGCAGGGCAGGAGCGCGAGGGGGATCAGAGGCAGGTTTCTTCTCCAGTGTTTTTGGGCCTGATACTTGCACGGGGGCCAAAACTGACTTGCGCATGTTGCCCGTGTGACTAACCCACCTGCTTTCCCCTCCGCGCCGCTTAGGGCAGCTGGGCTGGCGTTAGGCGGGTCCCGATGTGGGGCGTGGAGTGTTTTCACAGGCAGGTGCTGCCCTGGCTTCTCCTTTCCTTCTACCTAGTTGCCCTTGGGCTACGCCTCCTCCCCCCGCTTCTGTTTCCTGATGGAAATCTCCAAAACATGTCTTCTCCCACTTGGAGCTGCTCAGAGTTGCTTCACAGTGTGGGTATAAAGGACTTTCCAGGTACAGTGGACGCTCGGGTTGCGAACGTGATCCATGCGCCGTGTCTGTGCACACCCGGGTCGCAATTCAGTGCTTATGCGCAAAGCACGATTTAGCACATCTGCACATGTGTGAGCGCTGAAACCCAGAAGTAACCCATTTTGGTACTTTTGGGTTCGGCACAGTGTGCAACCCAAAAACGCGCAACCTGAAGCGTCTGTAACCCGAGGTATGACTGTACTTGATAACTCTGTCCTAAGTGGCATATGTAATGTTCTGACAATATATATGCTGGAGGAACCACAGCCAGCTCCCATAGTGGTTCCTTTCTCCTCCCCACAACTGCCACCAAGGGGGCAAGTCTAAATAGCCACCATGTCCTCAGGGGGAATGAAAAAGATGCAGTAACAGCTTTTTCTAAACAAGTTAATCCCACCCTGCCATTTCTGTTATAACCTTTTTAAAGCAATGCTTATCATTGTAATCACTTTTTGAGGTCTGCCTGAAAAGTATATGAAATAAGTAAATAAAATAAATGGTTTAGGATAAATCTGCACTTTAAGTAAAAATAGGTTGGTTAGTGGAGCAGTAAACTTCCTCTTGCCATATGTCAAGATATTACAGATCATCAGTTTACCAGGTATTTCCATATATGCCTTGATAAGTTACTGCTTAGTAAAAATACCAATACATTTATTTCCATATGGGGTGGGGCTCTATACAGGGCCCATCATATGTAACAAGAGATATGTTGTGTAAACTGGACTAACCACTTTCCTTGACCAGTCATTCTGTCCTGATTTTCATTCCATACTTATATCTTTGAAATCTATGCATAGTTGTAATTTATCCCCCCCCCCCATGTTGTGAATGGAGTCATGTCAGAAGGATAGGAGTCTGAAGACTTCCAGCCATATAAATGGCAATAATTTCCTCCAGTCATTAGCAAACCTCAACAGAGACATTCATTCAGTGCTATCGTTGGCTATTTTCAAAGGACAAATATTATCTAAGCATCTTTCTCATTGTTTTAATTGTACTTTAAAATATGGATATTTTTTCAGATAACACCAGTGTAACATAATTGATGAAAATAGAAAGTTCTGTAGTAAAAGATTATTTTATCTTCTTCTTTAAAGGTCTGTGTTATAATTTCACAATGTTTGGAAATTTATTTGATGAAGACTTCTCCTTTTTGTCAAACAATCAATGTGGGAAGCAAAAATCAAAATGCAAAGATGCTGAGCTGCTTGTTCCTAGAGAAAGCACCAATTTAAGTGGAATAAAAAATCAGGGTGGAACCTGTTACCTTAATTCACTTCTTCAGACTCTACTATTCACACCAGAATTTAGAGGTACTGTACAGTATTTTAACATTTTAAAATAGCTTTTTCTGAAAGCCGGATTTTGTGTTATTTCACACAAAGTAGTTTACTTTACTTTTCTTACTATATAACCTAGGAATGAATGAAAAAAAAACTTCAAAAATGTATTTCTAAATGTTGTATTGGATTATAGACCAGAGTATCTAAGGATTGAGTAAAATTCACAATGAAAGATACAAAGGTTGAAAGTAACAAAAAAGGCTTGTGTGGCATAATGAAAGTTAACAAATGTATACTCTGTAAAGTATATTTGGGTAAGAGTGTTGATATTTTTCCAGCATCAATTATTAGGCTAGTTGGCTAACTGTTGATCCAGAGCTGTAGCATAGACTTGTTTTATTCAGAATTGATTTGAGATTTTGCCTGTTAATGTAAGTTGGTCATCACCACAGTGCCTGATCCTGAATCCGAATAATATTTCTGTTTCATGTCTGTGTGCCTCAGACTTAGCTTTTCCTTATTAGATCATCTCATCTTTCTGTGGATGAATGGGCAGGGCTCGCTTGCTTCCCACTGTATTAAAATGGTCCTTTTTGTCTGCTTTCTTTGAACAGACATTAAACTCTGCAATCTCACTATTTTTTTAAAAAGCCAAATTGTGCAAGGACCAACACTGACAACTTCCTCAGAATAAATAAACCTTTTTTCCCATGGGGAATGGACAAAAGCAAAATGATCATGCTAGCTCGTGCCTATGGAAATTGTGATACAAACCCATTTGGAGGGCAAAGGAGCAAAATAAAGACTGATTTAGAAAGTTAACATTTCTATTTGCACACTTCTTTATAATTGTGGTGTTGGTAGGAGATTTGTTCTCATACTGGTATTTTTCATTTTTGTTGTAGAAGCACTGTTTTCTATAGGCCCTGAAGAACTTGGTTCTTTGGAAGACAACAGTAAGCCTGAATCAAAGGTATTCAATTCTATACTTCAATCAGCTCAAAGGTTTATGATGTTCACTAGGTTAGCTTGGGCCACTCATTCGCAGCCTAAACTACATCACAGGATCATCATGAGGATGAAATGGGGAGAAGTCTGTATGCCACCTTGATCTCTTTGGAGAAAGGTGGGGTATAAATGCAATAAATAAATAAAATATTTATGAAGATGATGGATAATGCAAAGCTGGGGATGCACACATTACTTCATGTGCTCATATAATCTACAAAGCAGGGATTTTCCTGCATAGGTTCTGGTGCAGTGCTTTCAGAATACACACAGGTCCTGTTGTGCAAACACTCATTACACAAACCTTTAGTTATTTGCGCATGAAGAATTTCTACCCTAACATCACTACATGAACATCTACTTTAGATATCTGAGCATGTTAAACAGTGAGCAGTTGTTCAGTGTCTAAAAAGATTCTCTGACCAAGTGCATTCTCTGTAGTTGGAGTGACTAATCAATATAAATAATATCAAATCTGTCTTAGCTCTGTGCACTTAAAAGCTGTGAGGCATTATTACCATGCACAGGGGAAAGCCTGGACTGTCCCTTGATATATTCTTAAGAAAAGTAATTAGGTGAAATTGGGTTTAAGCAAAATTATTTTTATATAGTTGTTTCACATGGAAGAGAGAGCAAGTTTGTTTTCTCCTGCTCAGGACGGTAGGACTTGAACCAATGGCTTCACGTTACAAGAAAGGAAGTTCCATTAGGAAGAACTTTCTGGTGGTAATAGCTGATCAACAGTGGAACAGAGTCCCTCATGAGGACTCTCCTTCCTTTTAAAGCAGAGGTTGGATGGCTGTCTGTCATGGGTGCTTTGGTTGAGATTCCTGCATTGCAGGGGGTGGACTAGATGACTCTTGGGGTCCCTTCCAGCTCTACAATTCTGTAGTAATGACTTGTAATTGGATACCTCATTTATATTTGTTTAGTTATGTTTGTTACAGGTTCTTTGCTGATTAGCCAAACCTTCTCTTCATTGAAATGAAAACATTTAAAAAGCACTTTGGGGCTAAATGTTTTCATAAGGCTATTGAATAGAGATGGGGAATCTGTGGCGCTCCATATGTTAGGCTTCAACTCCCATCATACCTGATCACTGGCCAGACTGATGGAAGTTGTAATCCTAACATCTGGAGGACTACAGGTTTCTCACCCTACTATATAATATTCAACTAAACAGATGTAGTAGTTTGCTAAATGCATGATCCAGCCAAAGCTAAGCAGACTTCAGCCTAATTGATATAAATGGAAGAACTGAACTGTACTTAATTCTTTCCCACTGAAATCAGTGTAAGTTAGAAATCTGGTTGAATCATGCCCTAATATTTTTTGAGGAAGCACAGTTAGTTATACCGTAGCCTGCAGAGGTTCATCTTGAAGCAACTTGGAGGAGGGCGTTCTTTGTTGTGGCTTCCAGGCTGTGGAGTGAGCTCCCCACTGAAATAGTGCAGGTATCTACTGTGGTGAACTTCTAATGGGCTGCTTAAAATATATCCATTTACTCAATTTTTGCCTCATCTTTGATTACAGCTGGAAGATTTCTAGCTACTGTAAATGTAATGTTTTGTTTTTATTAGATTTTTTTATTGTACATTGAATTGTTTGGATTGAATTGTGTTTTTGTATACTGACTTGGTATTTAATGAAAGGCAGTACAGTGGTACCTTGGGTTACAAACACTTCGGGTTACAGACTCCGCTAACCCAGAAGTTGTACCTCAGGTTAAGAACTTTGCTTCAGGATGAGAACAAAAATCGCGCACTGGCGGCAGCGGGAGGCCCCATTAGCCAAAATGGTACCTCAGGTTAAGAACGGACCTCCGGAATGAATTAAGTTCGTAACCAGAGGTACCACTGTATGTAATTTTTTAAATTTAATAAATATGTTCCTTGAAGGTTAATGGAAAGTCAGCTTCTTAAAGTTTATGATCATTTCTGTTTAGGTTCGAATAATCCCATTACAGCTCCAACGGTTGTTTGCCCAACTTCTGCTCCTAGATCAACATGCTGCATCTACAACAGACCTCACTGACAGCTTTGGATGGAATAGTAATGAGGTACAATATAGTATTCATTGATAGCATCGCTCGCCCTGAAGGTGGTTTTCCCCGTGTTTCCTTTTCCTTCCAGAAAAAAAGGAAATAAAAACGGTATATTTTGTCAAACTACTTTTGTTCAGAGCTTCACTGAAGGTAAATATCAGTTTCCTTCATAAAGGAAGGGAATATGAATATTTATATGGTATCACTACATTTGCCAAATAATTTATTAATAATGTTGACAATTTTTAAAACCTTTAACATTTGTATGAAATCCCTCCGAAGTATTTTACTAGCCTGGCTGCCTATATTGTCAGCCATATATTAGCCTAGGGTAGGGATGGTCCACAGCTCTGCTTCTCGACCCACACCCCTATAATCCACCCCATTCATCATAGTCTCCTGACCCTCAGGAGAGGCTCGGGGTGGCAAGATACTGGGAAGGATCCAACCCTTTGAGGTGGTTCCTCCCTCCTTCCTGCTTAATATTTCATAGGTCTTCAAACTTTAATTTCATTGGTAGTTTATTAATTTTAATTGGTAGGCATACAAGTTATGGGCATAATTATTTTTGAAGATTCTTTTGTTTCAGGTATGTTTTTGTAATAGGAAATGAAAGGCAAAATATTAAAATTGTATAATTTCCCAACAATTAGTGGTAGTTCATGACATGTTTGCGCTCTTAAAATGCTTTCATATGTTGCTTTCAATATAGCTTCATCTCGCCTTTGGAACGCATGAAAGATGCTCAGACAGTTTAAATGGGAATTGTGCTTTAGGCCACAGTTCCATTGCAGACCATACTCTAGCACAGGAATGGCTAATGTGATGTTCTCCAAATGTTACTAGATTTCACCTCTCATCAGCCCCAACCAGCAAGGCTAATGGCCAAAAGCCAGTGGGAATTGTAGTCCAGCAACACCTGCAAGTCACCACATTGGCTGTCCCTCCTCTAGTAGATATGAGGACATCCCATAATGGGAGTTCATGTTATATAGCTATCAGTTGGAAAGACCACAAAGATTCCAATTTAGTGGGTGTCCCTGACACCAGAAGAACAAACTAAAATGACAGATAAGCAACCACAAAAAAGACACTGCTGGGTTAACATGACATCTGTTGAGCACTGCTGTGGCAAGAGCTTTAGGGACGTTGTAAATTAGGTTAATTTGCATAATTGGATCTTAATTGAAATGAAGAGGAAAACTCTTTTCAAGCAATGTCAATTCTTTTTTAAAAATAATCTCTTATCTTGCAGGAAATGAGACAACATGATGTGCAGGAGTTAAATCGGATTCTATTCAGTGCTTTAGAAACCTCCCTTGTTGGGACCTCTGGTCATAATCTAATAAACCAGTTATACCATGGGACTGTTGTTAATCACATTGTCTGTAAAGAGTGCAAGAATGTCAGTGAGAGACAGGTAATTCCATGGGCAAGTTTCAGAACAGTATTCTGTGCACTCTCTTGTGTTTCCAGTGACAAATTTTTAACCAGGAGTCCTCTGCAGCTTCACATTTAGCAATGCAGTCCTGTTAGAAATGTGCAGATCAAATTTTAGTCAAGTTAAAATTTCTCAATACAGCTATCTGTTGTTCAGAACTCAATGTGATGATTAGAATTAGTAATGTTTTTAAAATAAACATTATGGTACAAATGTAATCTTAGAAACTAGTCCAGTTCTCAACCTTTGCCCAAAATTTCAAAGATCTTTGGGATTGCAATGCAAATCACAATTGTATATTTTTAACTTTTGCTATGCATAATTGACACAGCTTTTGAGCCAAAATAACCTTACAATAAGCCAAGGTATGAACAAGTCTTTCACCCCACACAGCCCTAGCAAGCAGAAAAACAGGAAAATTTCCATTTAACAGTAGTTTCCCATTTTATCGACACCAGGAAACTGGTTGCCATATTCAGAACAGGCCAGGATAGTAAATCAAGATTTGACGTTAGCTTGACTTGTTCTGAACCTGTTAACCATTGTTTCCTGGCATTGGTGGACTCGGGTTGTAGTTTTCTTATGAGCTATACAAATAAGTCCATAATGTCTTTAAAATACATTTTTAAAGGAGGGCTTTCCTCTCTGCTCGGCTTTGTAGGAGGATTTCTTGGACCTAACAGTTGCTGTCAAAGATGTATCTGGCTTGGAGGAAGCCTTGTGGAATATGTATGTGGAAGAAGAACATTTTGAGAAAGATAACTTGTATCGATGTGGAGCATGCAATAAATTAGTTGAAGCCACAAAGGTAATATTTTACAAGTATTGTTTACTCAGATGTTGAGTATATAACATCCTAAAATAAGGCTAATTATCTTCTGTGCAAAATTCATTTAAATGTAAAATCCATTCATTGTGTCATGTGCTTGGATGGTTGCACTCTAGATGATGGAAACTTATTCTTGTTGTAATTGGAAGAAATGGCCAGTGAAATGTTTTGTAATCATGGGCAGAGCTATGGTAATTCTTCCAAGATGCTCAAGTCACCCCTCTTCAAAATGGTGCCCTGGATATGTTTTGGAGGGCTTCAGGTTGGGGAAGGCTGACATAGATCGTGGGAAGGGCAAGTATTCTATTGCATTTCTGAAAGTCCTACTTCCCTTGAAATTTAAAGGAGCTTCATGAAATAAATATATTGCAGAACTATGATCCTCCTGCAAATGTAGGGACTTGGTGCAGACCTGCTTTCAGTTCTTATTGTCGAATATGGATTACTAGAGTGTGAAAATATGAGATGATTTTAACTTTTCCAGAATGTTTAAAATATATTCTCTTGTTAAGTACTCTTAATGATTATGAATAAAATCTGTATGTTTTAATTTATATATATTTGCTTGTATAATTTTACCTTGCAAAATTAGGCTAAGCTGTCTACTCTTTGGATCCCCCCCCCCGTGTATTTTGTCTTATTCATGGACTATCATTATATTTGTAAAATTTACATTCCACCTTTCCACCCAATTGTACTAGTAGCAATAAGATACAAATAAAATAAAATGCATTAAAATGGGAATAAAATAAAATTAAAAAATAGAAAAACATAGCTTTGGTCACCAAAATATGATCACTTTCCTAAAAACGTTTTACTTATTTTACAGTCTGCTAAACTACGCAAGTTGCCTCCGTTTCTCACAATCTCCCTCTTGAGATTTAACTTCAATTTCGAGAAGTGTGAACGATACAAGGAAATAAGCAGCTATGCATTTCCAATCCGGATAAACCTCAAGCCTTTTTGTGAGCAGGTTGAACTATTTTTATGTGTCTAAATTTTCATCACTTTGAATCATTAATGTTTTATGCTGGGTGATTTGGGGATAATTGCAGAAGCTGTGCTCTTGTTTACTGGTACAATCTTCACTTAATTCTATGTCCAGTTTCTTACTGTAAAGGTTAGAAGAGGTACATATCTTATTATAGTATCCCTTAGGGCTGCTTGGTCAAACATTTATTTATTGCACTTACACCCCACTCTTTTCTTTAAGGAGCTCAGGGTGTCATACATGGTTCTCTGCATTTAATCCCTACCACAACTGTCTGAGGTAAAGGTAAAGGGACCCCTGACCATTAGGTCCAGTTGCGGACGACTCTGGGGTTGCAGCTCTCATCTCGCTTTATTGGCTGGGGGAGCTGGCGTCATGTGGCCAGCATGACTAAGCCGCTTCTGGCGAACCAGAGCAGTGCACGGAAAAGCCGTTTACCTTCCCGCCAGAGTGGTACCTATTTATCTACTTGCACTTCGTGCTTATGAACTGCTAGGTGGGCAGGAGCAGGGACCAAGGAACAGGAGCTCACCCTGTCGCGGGGATTCGAACCGCCAACCTTCTGATCGGCAAGCCCTAGGCTCTGTGGTTTAACTCACAGTGCCACCCGCATCCCTGTCTGAGATATGTTAGGCAAAAAGACAGTGACTGTGCACAACCGTGCAGGAGTCTAACCTGGAGTAAGTAGGTTGTCCACACCATGGAGGAATGGATGAGAAGAGTTCCTGATGGTGGCTATTTATATTGTAAATGTTCAAGTGCCCCAAAACACTCAGCTGTATCTCTCACATTGGAATATCCATGTAATGGCCTGTACTTTGATATTTCCAGTTCAATGCCTTCTGTTTTTCTTGCTCTGTCTTTGATTGTTTTTACCTTACTTGTGGAAATAGCTTTTGATTATTGTTGTTTTGTTTGTTTGTTTTTAAGACTGAAGTGGATGATTTCAAATACATGTATGAGCTCTTTTCTGTTATAATACACAAAGGTGGCTGTTATGGAGGACATTATCATGTTTACATCAGAGATATTGATGAACTAGGAAACTGGCAGGTGCTAGTAAGTTGATTTCTATACTTGCATACTTCGCAAATAAAGAATTAAGGCATTTTTATATGAACACATACTGGAGTGAAGCATAAATCATCATTCCTCCAAGGAGCTGATGATCACATATATGGGAGTTATCTCACTGTATCTTTATGCCTAAAGCATTGTTTGGAAGAGAGTTATGACAAAAGACTGTTAGATGCAGTTCCTGTTGCAGTGTATAGATGAGTTTCCCCTTTGTTATTTTCTCAGTTACTCTATATAAAGAGACGAGATCATATGCGTTTTGATTTGATTATTTACTTCCCTCCTAAAGCATCTTATGTGATTATTTAGATAAGTAAAAATGATTTCTAGTATTTAAAGGTTCTGAGTTCTCTGTATCAGATTTTACATGATTTCAGGACCGAAACTTCATCTCTGAGGCCAGGAATCTCTCATATGTTGCATTGTAAGAGCACAATTTTACATGAAGGTTCAATAGTAAGCCTGGGAAAAGCTCTTGGGAGGAATTCAGTGTAATGCTATGGGAACTGCTTAATCAGTGCAAGCATTTTAGTTTGTTGGAATGATCCCCCTCTTCTCCCCTGCACACTGATTTTTGGGGAGTCTCCTGACACACACCCTTAGCCAGTATGGGGGCACACACGGGGAGGAAGCCCTAATGCACTAGTGGAGTCTTTGCATGGACTTCCACTAGTGGGAGGCATTAGTTGAATCCAGGCCCTTGAAGCCATGGAGAGCTTCTGCAGGTCACAATGAGCAGCACTAGTTAAGAGGAACCAGTAGCTTAAATCACTGTCAAGCTCTTGTTAACATGCATTTATATTATGTTTACTATTCAGGGGAATCTGCTATTGTGCAGAACTATATGCATGTTACACACCTGAGATACACAAAGCCAAGTTTATTTGGTGAATGAAAATTAACACCAAGTAGTTTCTCTAACACATATAATCTAATATTTGCAATCTTTAATCTCATGTTGTGGGCTACAGCTAATGGCAGAGGAGGAGGAGGAGGAATGGTGAGAATTGGTATTGATATACATTAATAATACATTTAATAAAAAGCATGAAATAATGACAGTTGAGTCCTACATGATAATCAGTGGAAGGCAGATAGACGTTTTAAAAATGCTAGCCTTCCTTTGGCATAACAGAATGCACAGCTCTCTCTTTCTAGTTCTTTTTTCTTTTTTGAAGTTATTTTTGATCTCTTGGAGGAGGAAAGCAACATGAATGATGAAGATAAGGATTTGAAAGATATTGAAAATGCAAAAGAGAAGGAAAATCCATTACGAATTTTAAGAAACATCTTATTGGAGGTAGAGTACGCCAGAATACCTTTCATGCTCCTTAATTATATTTAAGCTGATATGTATTTAAACTGTACATTTCAACACTGCTGTTTTAAATTCAGCTCTGAGACTGAACATTTCAGATTTTTCTCTTTAAATATTGAAGTTCAAGATCTGCTGGAACTTTATGTGTGTTAAAATAATTTTCTTTATGTGTGTAAAAAAAAGTCTGTTACACAAGTTAGCAAAACTGAGAAGCAAACACAAGATTTGTCTTTGAAACAATTTCCCACTTATGTCCTTCAGCTGCTGACTCTTATACATGAACCAAGACAGTCATGGAGTCAGTAGTTGGTACATAAAGAGGAACTTTTTAAAAAGCCACTTTGGTGCTCACAGTTCAGAGGGTGTGTTAAAGGATCTGTTTGTGTTTGGGAGTGATTAGGTGAGCTGTATTATAATGGGGGAAGGGACCATGTTTGGGACCCAATTTGGCCCCTCTGCTAGCACTTGCCTGTCCCATTTTGAGTAATAATTAATTTTAGTGTCTGCAGATCAGTCAATAGTTATCTAATCTTGTAGGAAGAGTCTAAGGAAATTGCTGTGGATCGGTTGGCACAGAAACTTTTGGAGAAAAAAAGTGTGTCCTGGAACAAGAAATACCGTAAACAGCATGGACCAATACGGAAGGTATTTGAAGATAATTCTGTTTTATCTCTGTTGGCTTTAATCCTTTTGCACTTTACAATATGTCTTACACAGTTCAACATAGAAAGTGATACTACCTGAGTTAGTGGTGATTTTCCTGTGGCATGAGTGGCCATCCTGTTGTTTTACACTTCCCAGCAGGTCTTGCTCCTACGGAGCAGTTGCCAGGACTGAAGGTCCCTGCTTTCCACCCTTTCTCAGGCTCCTCCTCTCCCAGATGTTTCCCAAGCAGACTCAAATTGTGTCTGCACACCTCTGGTTTCTGTTCTGCTCTCCTCATTATTCTCTGTGTTCTTGAAGATCAGGGAGGAGGGGAGTTTGTTGCAGCGGGAAAGTCCCTGGATTCTTCAGCAGCCTCTTGACCCCGCAGCCTCGGTGTCAGCCTCAGTGTCTGAACTGCTCCCTGTTGCTGGCTCTTCCTGCTCACTGAACCCTGTTGCTCCTTCAGCATCCAGCCCCTCCTCCCAATCCTCTCCCTCTGACCTCTTCTCTGTGTCCCACTACCAATCCTCTGGCTCTGAGCTTTTGTACTTTGGGCTTTCCCTTGGTTCCCCAGCTGGTGCTTCCCACCACCCCTCTGTCTAGCCATTCCCTGACAAATAGGTATGCCAGAAGCATTGATTTAGCTAAACACAAAGCTACAATATTTGATTTTTATATAGGGTGGTGTGATTTTTACGTTGTGGTCAAACCAGGAGCATATGCTGCAACACTGAACAAAGATTGTTAGCTCTTAACTTTGTTACCTTTGTTCCTGTGAAGCTGTGATCTATTTTTATATTTTGTTTTTTCTTTAATGGTTGGTTGACCATATTGAGTATTTGATTGACTGATTCTATCAAAGCCTTTCCTCAGATTATGGAAAAGAGACTAAGTACAAACTAATATAACAATGAAGTATACAGAAAATCTCCAAGTTTCCAATGATTCTTACATATGCTTCCCTACATATAAAGAGAAAAAATATATTAAACACATTATCTTTTTTTTTATAAGATATTTATTAAAGTTTCAACATATTACAAAAATAAAAGAAAAAAGTTTAAAAAAGAAAAAAAAGAAAATGAAAATACAAGGTAAAAACAGTTAAAAACAAATCAGTCTTTCCATATCTTATCTTTCATTTGCTTGTTTCCCTGACCTCCTCCCACCTCCCTTTTTTGTATTCCAGTTCAATTAGTTAATTCAGCAATTCCTTTCCCTCTTTGATTTTATCTTAATCTTTTATCTTAATATATTATAACTTTAGATTATCACCTGTTAACAATCCATTTTTACATATTCCTTTATAACATTGCTGCTAAAAACCACTTAACTTCAATCCAACATCATTCTAACATTCATTAATTTTGCAGTATTTCTGTAGATAGTTTTTAAATTTCTTCCAATCTTCTTCCACCGACTCTTCTCCCTGGTCTCGGATTCTGCCAGTCATTTCCGCCAGTTCCATATAGTCCATCACCTTCATCTGCCATTCTTCCAGAGTGGGTAAATCTTGTGTCTTCCAATACTTTGCAATAAGTATTCTTGCTGCTGTTGTGGCATACATAAAGAAAGTTCTATCCTTCTTTAACACCAATTGGCCAACCATGCCCAGGAGAAAGGCCTCTGGTTTCTTCAGAAAGGTATATTTAAATACCTTTTTCATTTCATTATAAATCATCTCCCAGAAAGCCTTAATCCTTGGGCACGTCCACCAAAGGTGAAAGAATGTACCTTCAGTTTCTTTACATTTCCAACATTTATTATCGGGCAAATGATAGATTTTTGCAAGCTTGACTGGTGTCATGTACCACCTGTAAATCATTTTCATAATATTCTCTCTTAAGGCATTACATGCCGTAAACTTCATACCTGTGGTCCATAACTGTTCCCAGTCAGCCATCATTATGTTATGTCCAACATCTTGTGCCCATTTAATCATAGCAGATTTCACCGTTTCATCCTGAGTATTCCATTTCAACAGCAAGTTATACATCTTTGACAAAATCTTGGTTTTGGGGTCTAACAGTTCTGTTTCCAATTTTGATTTTTCCACCTGGAAGCCAATTTTCTTATCCAAATTATATGCCTCCATTATCTGATAATAATGAAGCCAATCTCGCACTTTCTTTGTAGTGTTTCAAAACTCTGCAGTTTCAATTTGTCTCCCTCTTGTTCCAAAATTTCCCAATATTTCGGCCATTTGGCCTCCATATTGAGCTTTTTCTGAGCCTTCGCTTCCATCGGTGACAACCACCTTGGGGTTTTATTTTCAAGTAGGTCCTTATATCTTATCCAGACATTAAACAATGCTTTCCTGACAATATGATTTTTAAATGCTTTATGTGCTTTGACCTTATCATACCACAAATATGCATGCCATCCAAATACATTATTAAAACCTTCTAAATCCAAAATGTCTGTGTTTTCAAGAAGCAGCCATTCTTTCAGCCAGCAAAAAGCTGCTGATTCATAATAAAGTTTAAGGTCTGGCAGGGCAAATCCACCTCTTTCCTTTGCGTCCGTTAGTATTTTAAATTTTATTCTAGGCTTCTTGCCCTGCCAGACAAATCTAGAAATATCTCTCTGCCACTTCTTGAAACAATCCATTTTATCCAAAATTTGCAATGTTTGAAACAAAAACAACATTCTAGGCAATACATTCATTTTTATCGCAGCAATGCGGCCTAGCAGTGAAAGCTTCAAATTTGACCAAATTTCTAAATCTTTTTTCACTTCAGTCCAGCATTTTTCATAATTGTCTTTAAATAGATTCCCATTTTTAGCTGTCATGTTAATCCCCAGGTATTTCACTTTCTTAACCACTGTTAAGCCTGTCTCATTCTGAAACCTCTCTCTCTCAATCGCTGTTAAATTTTTCTCTAAGACCTTTGTTTTTAACTTATTCAGTTTAAATCCTGCAACCTGACCAAATTCTTGAATCAGTTCCAAAACTCTTTTAGTACTAGATTCTGGCTCCTGTAATGTCAATACTAAGTCATCTGCAAATGCTCTCAATTTGTACTGTTTAGCTCCGACTTGTATACCTTTAACCAATTGGTCCCTTCTAATCATATTCAGCAGGACCTCCAGGACCGATATAAAAAGCAATGGGGAGATTGGGCAACCTTGTCGTGTCCCTTTTTCTATCTTAAATTCCTCCGTCACCACGTTATTAACAATTAATTTAGCCTTTTGTTCTGAATAAATTGCACTTATACCATTTCCAAAGCCTTGACCTACCCCCATCCCCTGTAGGTTCTTCTTCATAAAACTCCAAGAAATATTGTCAAAAGCTTTCTCCGCGTCCACAAATATCAAAACTGCCTTGGTATTAATATTCACTTGTAATTTTTCTAAAATATTGATTATGTTTCTCATATTATCAGACAAGTGTCTACCCGGGAGAAAGCCTGCTTGATCTTTATGAATCTCTTCCACTAGCACTTTTTTTAGTCTTTTAGCCAAAATATCTGCAAAGATTTTATAATCCACATTAAGCAGTGATATGGGGCGGTAGTTCTTGAGCTGCGTCTTTTCAGTCTCTGTTTTCGGTATAAGTGTGATATACGCTTCCTTCCACGACTCTGGTGCCCTTTTCCCATCCAATATTTCATTACAGACTTCCTTTAAAGGTTGTACTAACCATTCTTTTAAAGATCTGTAGTATCTAGAAGTCAGTCCATCCGGTCCTGGAGATTTACCTAATTGCATATTCTGAATGGCACCTTCTACCTCCTGTTCAGTTATTTTATAATTCAACATTAATTTGTTTTCTTGAGAGATTTTTGTAATCCATTTATTTTCAAAAATCGATCTATATCAATTTCTTTCTGTGGCCCTTGTGTATATAATTGTTTAAAGTACCTCTGGAAACAGTTTCTAATCTCGACTGGGTTCTGTATGTTCTTTCCTTCCACTTCTAGATTTATAATAGTGTTTAGTTTTTGTCTTTTTTCATTTGCCAGGCCAACAATTTCCCACATTTATTAGCCGACTCAAATGTCTTTTGTCTCATTTGTTTAATTTTCCATTCTATTTCCTGATTCATCATTTTCATATATTGTACTTGATATAACTTTATTTCTCTCAAGATCTCTTGCGACTTTGGTTTTGCTCTCAATTTCTTCTCACTTTCCTTTATTTTCTCCAAAATTTTATCTTTCTTCTCATTTTGGATTCTCTTCTTTATTGCATTCTGTTGTATCAGGAACCCTCTCATAACCGCTTTGCTTGCGTCCCAGATTACTCTTTTTTCAACATTAGTGTTCATGTTTGTCTCGAAATAGTCTCTCAAGGTTTTTTGGGCCTTCTTAGTCACTTCTTCATCTCTAAATAAGGTGTCATTCATCCTCCATCTGAAAGAGCCAGTTGGTGTTAGTTTCATCTCCATCTTCACGGCATTATGGTCGGAGCAGGTTTTTGGACAAATTTCCACTTTTCTTGTCTTTGGTGCCATTCCTCTAGTTACCCATATTTGGTCAATTCTTGTCCATGTCATTTTGGCTTCAGAGAAGAAGGTTCCCTCTCTACCCAAGGGATTCTTTGTTCTCCAAATATCAACTAAATCCAAGTTGTCTGTCATCTCAAAAAAGGTTTTCGGTAGTCTACCATCCTTAGTGACTACCTGTCTTTGTGCCTTGTCCATATTTGTAGATACCACTCCGTTCATATCCCCCATCAAAATCACATTATAGTCCAAATAGTCCATCAAGGTCTCATGCAACTTTTTAAAGAATTCAGATTTCCCCTCATTTGGTGCATAAACTCCTACTATCAAAAATTTCTCTCCTTGTATTTGAATTTCAATTGCCACAAATCTTCCTTGGTCATCTTTAAAGATAAATTTCGGTGATAAACTCTCCTTTGCATAAATCACTACTCCTCTTTTTTTAACTTTGTCCGATGAGATAAACTCTTGACCCAGTCTTTTGTTGATCGATACTTTTCTATGTAGCCTTATCACATGTGTTTCCTGTAAACAAATCAAGTCCAATTGTTCCTTTTTTAATAAATGAAAAACTCTTTTCCTTTTCTGGGGGGAGTTGAGACCATTAGTATTCCAGCTTAATAGTTGCAGAGCCATGATGTAGTTACTTTGCTTTTCCTCCAACTGCGCCAAGTGTTTGTTCTTGTTCCGTCGGGGGTATCACTTTCTCTAAGCAGTCCAGTCCAAAAGGTAGTGTTGCTATGTCTAGTATTCCTCTTTCTAATGCTCTTAGCTCTTCTCCAGATTCTTTCTGCAAATCTTCTTCGTGATCTTTCAAAAATCTTTCTTTGTCGCCCACTGATCTTATTTTTATCTTTCTTCCTTTGAAGCTAAAAGATAGGCCTTGGGGAAATTCCCACCTAAAGATAATTCTGTTGCTTCTCAACAGGGCAACCAAATCTCCGTAATTGGACCTAAGGTCCAAAAGATGTTTCGGGATGTCTTTAAATATCTCCACTGTTGACTGATGTATTTCCAGAGTCTTCTGAAAGTGCAGTCTCAAGATTTTGTCTCTCTCCTCTTTTGTTCGGAGGGTGATCAAACAGTCTCTCACCCTGTTCTTCTTCCCCCCTCTTCCAAGCCTAACAGCACTCACTATCTTAAAATCTTCCTTCTCCAAATCTAGGTTCCAAAAGTCTGCAAATTCCTGCATAAGAAAGTCAATCAGATTGTCTTTCTGAAGTTCAGGTACGGCCCTGATCCTCAAATTCGTTTGTTTCTCCTTCAATTCAATCATAGACAACATCGACCTGTGGTCCTCGAGTTGCCTATGTATCGGTGGTATCTTCTCCTCTACAGCAACTGCTTTTTCCTTTGCTTCTTCAGCTGTCTTTCGGGTCAAAGTAGATTCCTGTAGCAGTTTCTCAGTAGTTTCTGTGTTAGTATTCACCTTCTGTCCCAAATTATTAATGCTTGTAGTATTTTGATCAATTTTAGTTGATGCTTCAGCTACTTGTTTACTTAATTTTTCCAAAGATTTATTAATTTTGCCTAATGCCAGAGCTAAAACATCTTCAGATGCCATTCCTTTTCATTTAAATTGTACAGAAGCAGCCCCTGATGGTGCAGAAGGGCCAGATGCTGATGCTCTTCGCGGCTGCCAAGATTTACCAGACCTCGTTTTTTCTTGAAGCAAGTCTATTTTTTCTTTTCCATCTGCCATAACACTCTAGCTGAAGCCCAAGGTCAATCCCACGGCCAGAATTTGTTTTGAAGTGGAAAATTCCCCTGGCCCAGTTGTTGTAACAATTTCAAACTTCCTCTAGGGGGACACAGTAACAGTCAAAGCTTGTTGCATTAAAAAAATAACTCTTTTTAATCCCCCAATTCACAGAATAGGCAACAATTTCAATTTCAGTTAGTTTCCAGTTACTTTAAAATCAAGAGAAGCCAGCCAGAAACAATGTATCTCTCTTGCAGAGTTAGCTGTCAAAAAGTACTCTATTCACAAGCAGCACATTTCACAATACGTCAATCTTATTGTCCATTGGCAGCCCGTTCCCAGGTTTTAAGCGGTGGATTTTTATTTCCTTTCCTCTCTTTTTGCAGGAAAATATAGTTCACACCTTTCCCCCCTCCTCTCCTGCAACCAAGGGGGGAACCGCTTGTTTTGATGTTAGGATTATAGTCCTTTTCAATCGACTTTCCAGGTCTTAGCTTACAACTTCTTTGCTTTACTCTATTTACAAGAAACGGAAGGCGGACTTCCTGTTTATGCCTCCCCGCTTCGGTGCCGAATTGAGTCTTTATTTTCCTTTATTTCCAAATTTAACCTACTCACGGGTAGTTGTTTTGTAGCCAGATTGTCACAGGAAAAAGTCAGCGCTCTCTGGTAACGGCTGTGCGGCTTTGCTCCACGGAAGAAGCAGTTGACTCTCAGCACCGCGCCGCTTGCCCCGCTTCGCTCCGGAGCCCGTAATTGGGTTCCTTTACAAATTGGGGGGGGCGCGAAAGGTGCTCGCCGAGTCCCACGGTCACAGGCTTCACCCGCCTGTGATTTTTTAAAGGGTCCCCGCTTCGCCGTAGTGGAACAGACCCGATTTCCGTAGAGCCAGTCCTTCCGGATCAGAGGGAGTCCGCCATTACCGATGGCGCCACCCCGGAAGTCTAAACACATTATCTTCCATTAGTAATGATAGGTAAATAAAAGTTGGGGAAGGCCAATATATGTTGAACAGCCCTTTTCTTTGCACCTCATAAATCTTAGGAATTGTTGGGAGATGGAAATTTTGCCTTTGGTTTTGACTAACCAAAAGTTAGCATTAACATCCAAATATGAACAAACTAGTTAGGCATAACTATGATTTTTATTTTTATGCCAGCTTCAAATTTGGCTTATGATACTGACTTGTTTTAGTTACTTTAAGCTGCAGCTAATTTTAGATATGGTTAAGGGTGTAACACCAAATACAGTAGCAGAAAACAGAAGAGTGAACTTCTGAAGATACAGTGTGAGAGAATAGGTGGGAGCAGCTCAGGCAGCCAAATTCAGAAAAATGCAGTTCATATCTGAAGGAAGTTAATTGATAGTAAGTATAATTAATTGATAGTTGTAATATTTTAAACTGGATTTTAATAAGACCTTTTTGTCACCCCCTTTCTCTTTTACCCTTTAGTTTTTGCAGAGTCATTATCCAACATTTCTTCTAAGTTCTGATGAAAGCAAAGTTAAGCTGAATGATCGTCATAAACTCCATTTTGGATCAGCACCCCAAAGCATCCCTCAGAACCATGAGGTAAAGATGTCATCAGAAAAAGCAACAACAGGTTTACGGGAATATTCATCCGAATCCCATTGGTTTGATTTGAATGACTCCAAAGTCCAGCCAATCAGAGAGCAAGAGATTGAGAAACAGTTTCAGGGGAATGAGAGTGCCTACATGTTGTTCTATCGACAATCCCAAATGACAAGACCATCTGAAGGTACAAAACGTATAGTGTGTGGTTTGTGTCTTCATATTGCTTTTGGTTATTTCCTCTTTATTAAACAGTCATGAAGTACCAGTTTGTACAAGGCTTAAAAAGACAAAATTTTAGAGACAAATGTTGAAATAACAGATCAGAATGTTCCACTGGCTTCAGTAGCAAAACTTGTTATTAAGTGTTGTGAGGATTGTATTCTTACCGAAACAGTTGTTGTGTTCTGAGCAGTTAGCTTTAGGGATTTCCATGATCCTTCAGCATCTTTTTTGAGGAATGGAAGTTTTTGAGTGACTTTCTCTTAGTTTGTAGTTTAATAAACTGTAAGCCAGAGGAAGAGTACCCTAGTGATGTAAAAAGGATATGCATGAAAATCTGAATTTCAGCACTTCCTAGCCCTTTTAATATGTGTTTTCAGTTATTCAATTAATCAGTTTATTTTGACACAGCTCGAGGAAATCCAAGATACCGGGTCCCCATCCACCTCTTGAATGAAATGGATGCCGCTAATATCAAACTGCAGAAGAAGAGGTAAGTCAGCTCTGATGACAAACGTGTGGTGTGTAGTTCATGCAGGGCTTCTGATCAGGATTGCAAAGATCATACAATCATCTTGCAGTCTTGGAAGCTTTTTGTTTCGGTGCAGGCTTCTATGAACAGAACGGGAAGGGAAGGGAAGGGAGGTGATAGTTGCAAAAACAAGCCACCCACAGCTTTCTTCTGCAAGCCCCCCACATCCTTTGCCACTTTCCATGTTGTTCCAGAATCTCCCCCAATGTTCTTGAGCAATTGGATACCTGTGCAGGGGTGCAGAAGGAATGGGGAATCAACCAAATTACCTTTCTCCATTGTAATCACAGAAGTCTTCACTGGATCAGAGAGCCTTCTCTGATCAGAGAATCAATTACACTTTTTGAAAATATTAAATTCCTTATAAAATTCCAGCACAGTGCAACATGCATAATTAGTAAAAAATAAATAAGACTTTTAGAATGACATTTTATGAAGTAAGATACAAATTAAAGAACTTGTCTTTACTGTGGGAAGTTTCTGAAGGTATGATTTGTAAGAAAATTAAGTTTTTTGTTCAATTGTGCTCAGATTTTTCACTGAACATACTCTTCTGTTAATACTTCTTAAAGGGCAGAATATGACTTGGCAAACAACAATATTGATTTACAGCTCCATATATTTTCTCACTATAAATTTTACAATGGAGCTCTGCACCCAGCAGTTTCTCAGAAGGAAAGTGTTCTAGATCTTACGATTGATAAGAGAAAAACACTGGGAGAACTTCAGCAATTGGTATTTCAGGTATTTGCTGTTATTCTATTTCCCCAAACTTTCACCGAGTTTAAGTTTCTTTAGTAATAATAGGCTTGTAGAACAAGCAAGATTGTTTGCCTACATACTTTGATATGTACTTTAGTAACTTGTAGAGTGGATTACTATAAGATGACCCTTATGTATTATAAATTATTTAGTACTATGGCATCCTTCAGGAGAGCCACAGCTACTTGTGTGAATTGTTTATAAACAACATGATTTACATAGCCATATCTGCATTTCTGAAATATATTCACTTTTTGTGAATAGTTGTTGGAATTTTGGGAAGGAAACCTTGTTCTCAGCCTTGCAAAGCCTCTTCCAGCTGGACTGCATATATACCAAACACTTGAAGGTAAGATATCTTTAAAATTACATACATGTAATTGTAAAAACAATCCCCCACTCCAAATACTTTTAAGGAGATTATACGTATTTATTGGATTATGCTGGAGTGACCAGTTAATCCTTTCTTCAAAGATACGTATGCATCTAAAAGCATCTTGATTGCTATGGTAGACATCTTCACTAATATCAGTTACCATAGAATTAAAATTTTATGTATGCCACATTTCTAATATGCACGATTACCTTCCTCTTTTAAACATGTCATTGACACAGCATTGAGTCAATGAGGCATAGCAATAGTGGGGAACCTTTTTCAGCCCAGGTGGCAGTAGTGGGTATTTGTGCAAGAAGCCAAAAGTGGGTGGTGCAATGGACACGACTTGCCTTTGATATAGTAGATTACATCCAAAAGTCAGAAGGTTTCTACACACACATAATCTCTTTTCCCCATCTGCAGAACAAGGATGCATTCCAGCTACGGAAAAACAGCTTGAGGAATGCATGGAGCAGCAGGGCTGATGAGTGGTTTGGCCTGCCCTGGGGAGAGAGGGGGTGACCCAAGGGCTGGAAAGAAAACTGAAGGGCAATAGCAACTGGTCCATCAGGGCAAATGGGGCACTACCCAACCAAACTCACCCTGCCCTTAGTCAGCCCCCTCTTGCCTTCCTCCCATAGCTGTCAATGTTTCCCTTTTTAAAAGGGAAATTCCCTTATTCTGAATAGAAGAAGAAGAAGAGGAGTTTGGATTTGATATCCCGCCTTTCACTCCCTTTAAGGAGTCTCAAAGCGGCTAACATTCTCCTTTCCCTTCCTCCCTCACAGCAAACACTCTGTGAGGTGAGTGGGGCTGAGAGACTTCAGAGAAGTGTGACTAGCCCAAGGGCACCCAGCAGCTGCATGTGGAGGAGCGGAGACGCGAACCCGGTTCCCAAGATTACGAGACTACCGCTCTTAACCACTACACCACACTGGCTCAATAGGCTCGCAAGAAAAGGGAAAAGTTGACAGCTATGCTTCCTCCTTACTTAGAACCAGCCCAAAGGATGGCACTGGCTCCTCCTTAGTCTCAGTGCTGCCTTCATAGAATTCAGCAGGGTATAAGAGGGGAATAACGCCAGAAGTGGTTGGCTCTGGCTTAGCCTACTGCCTCCTTGCCTTCCACCCTACCCTGTTGCACCATGCTCCACAAAAGGCTGCATCTGGCCCCTGGGCTTGAGGCATAGGCATGTTGCCTTGTTTACATAAATAGCTGTTCCTGACCACATGGTTGGATGTTTTTCTTTAAAATTCTTTGGTGTTCCAAACGTCGTATAATAATGGGAGGGAGGGTGAGCTAAACTTACTCTCTCTAACTATTTTTCTATGTGCAATTATTGATCTGGAGGAGCATTCAGTCATGCAATTCCCTCACTTGGCAGTCTAAAATTTGCTTAGAATGGGGTTGGGAGAACTGAGTGACAGAAAAAGAGCCCCCAAAGGGAGACGCACTCATTTCATTGCATGGAGCCACGTGATCTGCATAAGGCTAAATTCAACCTGCTGCATCTAGTAATCGAGTTTGTGCAAAGATACAATGTGAGGATACCCTTGTGATGCAGCTTTGCACCTATATGGTACAAGTAGATAAATGCTCACAAATTTGTTTCTTCAAACTTCTTATGCCTGGCAGATTGGGGCTCCTATCTGCAGTGATTTCTGTGGGCATCCAGACTTAAAGAATATGCACATGAAGTAGAAGTCTCTGGAGAGGGGAAATTAGCTGATGAGCAAAGATCTGTTAGTAATAATAATAATAATAATAGTTTTTATTTATACCCCGCCCTCCCCAGCCAAGGCCGGGCTCAGAGCGGCTTACAAGCAATAATAAGAACAAGATGAATGATTACAACTTAAAAACAAAAATAAAATACAACATTAAAATAATGGAACATTAAAATATTAAAATGTAGCCTCATCGCAGGAGGAGAAGGAAAAGAAAGAGGGGGAGGGAATCAAATTGGCTCCAAGCCAAAGGCCAGGCGGAACAACTCTGTCTTACAGGCCCTGCGGAAAGAAATCAGATCCTGCAGGGCCCTGGTCTCATGAGGCAGAGCGTTCCACCAGGCCGGAGCCAGAGTTGAAAAGGCCCTGGCTCTGGCTGAAGCCAATCTAACTTCCTTAGGGCCCGGGACCACTAGGGTGTTGCTATTTATGGACCTTAAGGTCCTCCGTAGGGCATACCGGGAGAGGCGGTCCCGTAGGTACGAGGGACCTAGGCCGTGAAGGGCTTTAAAGGGCTTTTTTAATAGTAGAGAGGTGGTAGCTTTTATTAGTTTGTTGGGCCATGGGAGAAAGGTGGCATTCCTACTATTCAGACTTGTAAAATAATAAATTTTAACACAGACATTTCAGAAGCAAATTTAAATAATTTTTATATCACTGTACATCACATTGGCAAAGACTTCTGGGCATAATGTTTCCTGGGCAGGTTAAGTGGTTACACATGTGTTGCCACAAAGCTCTCTTACCCCATTGCTGCATCTGTTGGGCTGGACGAGGATCAGCTACATAGTTGCAGCTGGAAAGGCATGCAAGTAGTAGGTTTTTTTATATATGTGATCCTGTTGCAACCTTCCAACAGTTTGACTTCATCCCCAAAGGCGCAGTTCTCCATACTGTCTCCTGAGACAGACGTATGTCAACAACAACATAAACATACATGAAACACATCAAGGAAATACATTTTCAAAGATTCTTGTGTGGTGCTGATGAAAAATACCGTAGATTTGTCCTTTGTCTTGTTTACTAGTAAATTTTGGATGGTCCTACTATTTCTTTCCTATGTGGCAGAAGTATTAGACTGGCAAAAAGATACAAATTCTTTCACAATAAATAACTTAGAACAAGCCTAACTAAAGAATACAGATTAATTAACTTAATGCTGTAAATTGGCTTTTGGGCTGCATAGTTTGGGGGTTTCCTCCGTTTCAGAAGGAGAAAGCGTTTAGCTAATAAAGTTACACTTTACAGTGAAACGAAGTCAAATGTTGTTGGAGATTCTTTAGACATAATTGGCTTATATAATTGTGAAGGGCCTTTTTACTTTTCAGTGTGTCTTTTTGGAGTTAAAAAACTATTTTGTTTGTCAGGGGATGATTCTACGTTGAGTGGCATTGGACTTTCTGATGGAGCCAATATATTCGTGTGGAATGGAAAAGAGGTACAAAACTATCTACCTTGTGAATGGGACAAACACATTTTGTTGTTTTTAAAGTTTATTTTCACTTTAAAGCTCATTATTTGTTGAATTGCATGCCATGTCTTAATTAATGGCTAGAGTCTGTTTATGCCTAGAAGAAACATTGGTTTCGTTTCCTTGTGGCAGGATCTTGTTGTTCTGCTATCATTCTTGTGTCATTTGCTTTTCTTGTTAGGAGTTTGCTTACCTGTGCCAGCTGTGTGCATATTATTTCAATTTTCACAAAGCTCAAAAATTAAATGATAGCCACAATAGTTTCCTACACAAGGGCGCAAGCACACACAACTGGATATCCCTATCAACCCTGTTGCCCCCCCCCCCCCCCGGCAATTTTACTGTTGTATAACTAACACTTTTTCTCATCTAGTGGCCAAATGCATTTTTTATGAGCGTTCTGTGTTTTCATAGAATCATAGAATCATAGAGTTGGAAGAGACCACAAGGGCCATCGAGTCCAACCCCCTGCCAAGCAGGAAACACCATCAGAGCACTCCTGACATATGGTCGTCAAGCCTCTGCTTAAAGACCTCCAAAGAAGGAGACTCCACCACACTCCTTGGCAGCAAATTCCACTGTCGAACAACAACTATTATTATTATTATTATTTTTTTTTATTTGTGGTTGAAATGGACTTTGTTGTTGGGTGTTCATGCTATGCATTTTAAACATTTGTGGTGTGATAATGTATTATGTTTTTACCTGTAAGTTACCTAGAGGCATTTCACCCCCTTCTGAATAGTTGCATATGAATGGATACTAACATCTATTTGGATGCTTTAGTTAAGATTCCTGCTTTGCAGGGGGTTGGACTAAATGACTCTTGGGGTCCTTTCCAACTCTACAATTTTATGATTCTAAGATCTGACTTGAATGATTTACTGCTTTGTATGTTCTATGAACATTTAGTGATTTAATAAGAATACAGTAAAATTACCTGCCTTTGAAATCAATTAAATATTTCAACACAGAGGCTTGCCAACTCCCTGATTAAAGCCTTCACATTTTATTACACCTTAACAAATTTTTGAATATTAATTCAGGATATTGCTCATAGTATACTGCTTGTGGCATACAAGGAAGATCATGGTTTTACAGAAACCTGCACTTGAAGCATTAACTAAATGTTCTCTCAGCTCATTATCTGTGCTCAAATAATTCTGCTTTGTTTCTATAGGTTGATGGAGTGGAAGTTCTGACTGGCATTGACCATGAACCTGTTCTTATAAACATTCTGCGTTTAGCTGGACATAACGAAGGACGAGTGGGACAGCAATTTATGGAATCCCAGCATGTATTTCCATGTAGTTCAAACCTGAGAGCTATTTGTGATGCTTTAATGTCACCCGAAGGGATTGTCTTAAAGAACCATTCAGGGTCTGAGAAAGACTCTGAAAACTGGAAAGTCATTCCTGAAGAAGATATGAAACAGACGCTCAGAAATATTGGACTCAAGAATGGAAGCTCAATCCTAGTTTTAGACAGCCATGACCAAAGGTAAATCTTGTGAATTGAATTGAGATTAAGTATTTATTCTCCTTTGATGTTTCATTGTGTAATTCAGTGGTGGAAAGCTATATGACAAGCCAGTTATGTGTTTTGGTGATTTTAAAAAAACCTCTAGGACCCATGCAATATTGAGGGCAGTTTATGTGGAAAGAATGGGAAATGGCCATCTCAGTGCCCACTCACGCAGGTGTCTCTTGACTGTGATCCAAGTGAGACTCAGCAGAGGTCCTAATTTTCCCGTGAGGCAGTTTTCCCTAAGCCACACCCACCTGTTACATATTTACCTAATATGTAACATTAAGTGTGGGACAGGTGTTGATGTGACGGCAAAGAAACTTCCTATAGTTTCTTGGCAAACTGGGTTTGTTATTGGTGCGTTTTAAATTTGGCACCAAATGCAAGCCGTACTGGGACTGGTTCCAGTTGGGAGCTCCTGATCAGAATTCCCAAGTGCAGCCAATCCCTGCCAGAAGGAAGGTTTGTAGGGATTTGTTGGTGATACCTGCAATCCCCATTTTGATAGGGGATTGCAGCCTGTCTGGAGTTTAAGCCAGACTGCAAAGGAAGAAAGGAAAAAATTAGAGCGCACTTAAAAGTGCCGTCCCAATACTTCCCTTTGAAGATTGGCCACCTGAAGCCATGGTGGCACCAGGTGATTGACAGGTAGGCACCCCACCCACCTGTCAAAGTGGCCCACAAGGGATGAAGGAGCCTTACTTAATCCCGTTTAACCCTAAAGAGGCTATTAGGGTTGGGGGCTGTGCCTTGCACTGTACCCTGCATTGCACAAGGAGGCTTCAGCAGTGGGAGAGGACACTTTTTTCCTTTCTTGTACTCTAGAAATGTCTTGCGCCATCCTGCTAAGGCTTTCAGGTTCAAGCTGACAGTGACAGGTTGTCTCAGAAGAGTGAGAAATGAAATATTTCAACCCTTTCTCCTCCCGCTCCCAGTTTTTTCTCCCTTCCCCCTCCCCCGTGTGCCCTGAACAGTGCTGCAAGGCACCTATTCCAGGTTACCTGGGACCATGAACAGGAATTCTCCTACTAGTGGCTGTGACAGTAATGCTTTTTTTTTTTTTTTGCACACGCCACCACTTTATAAACATCTTTGATATAATTCAAGTGGGATTCTGTTGTCCTTCTTCTGCCACCACCTCTTTTCACTATCTCAAGGACTCACAGCTGGTAACAATGTTTTTGCAACCAAAAGCATAAATATAATGAGCAAGGTCCATCAGTCTGTAGCTGCAGCCTGGTGTAAAGCTCAGTGGAGCCCCTTTTCTTTCCCTCCTCTCTTACACGATTTAGGGCAAAGAACATGTAGGCAAGAGATTTGTTCTCTGTTTAAGGGTATTTGCTAAAAGTCATGCCAGCTGAGAAGTTTTATATGAAAATGATTTATCACGGTAAATAATTCTGAATGTGACTGGGATGTGTATTTCAGAATCTGCTTTCCTTTTCAACATTTCCTTCTAATCCTTTTGTGCTGGAGCTCTTTTTCAAGATGCCTAAATTACACCGCCACCTTCTTTTCTGTCTCTTTCCATAGCTCCACTTCTGTGAGAGAACCTAAATTTAATTAGTTTCATTCCCACATTTATTACCTAAACCCACCAATGCAGAGAGTTCTTGTGTCATTTTGTATAGTTTCATTTCTGTTGTTGTGGGAATGCATATTTCCAGTGTACTTTGTTAGAGATTCTGTGTTGGCCCCAGCACATTAGTACCCATATACATGATGTCAGCAGGCTTTGACTGGATCTAGGTCCTGGATTATGTGCAGTCAGACTGGAATTTTAAGGCATCTGAAGGGTTTCTGTGGGAATAGGATTCATAGGGCATACTTTAAGAAATATATGGGTGGATGTTCCAGTATAGGAAATTAACATATAGACAACGTTGAAGTGTTTTATCAGCTGTGGTCTGAGCTGGCCATAAAAATGCCAGCATTGCATCCTGAGGTATAGCAGTCCATCAGATTATCCGAAACTAGTGTTGTTGTTAATTATGCAGTTGGCTCAATCAGCAGCAATGTGGCTAAAAATCGCCACCAGCAGATTTAAACCACAGCTATCATGGATGGGTTCCAAAGCTTCTGCAGGTTCACTCAAGGACACTATGCCATATAAAAAACTGCTTTTGAAAGTCTCACTGATTTCAAAATATGATTGCTCTGCACCACCCTTTTCAAGCAGTCAGAAGCCCCCAAACCCTTTGGACCCAGAATTCTAAGGGATCTGTAGCCCATGGGTTGAAAGGTTTGAACGGATTTGCACTAAGTATATGTATGTGCAACTGCATTCATCTTGAAATGCAGCTGGTTATCTTTTTTCTTTGGGCTAAACTCTAGGTTGAAATCTGCTTGGAGCAGACATTAAGGCACTAAGATTACTTAACTTAGAAGTGTGCCATACATATTCATTGCAGTGTTTGAGTAATTAATAAATAACCAAAAGAGGAGAAGGATAAAGAGCAAGAAATGTAGTAGGCACATGATACTGACTAAAATCAGATTTACCACCTGGTGTTGTGACTTCTGACACTTGCATGTATAGTACTGCCCACCACAGTGTCTCCTTGATGACAATGGGGGATTGGGGTTGTGCTGTGACTGATATTTGCAATATTAGTTTATTACATAAGAACGAGACCCTACCTCGCTGGGTCATTTAGTTGCTTAGATTAGTACCATTGTTTAGAATTCATTTCCCTGCATTTTGTCTTACATGTGGTGCACAATTATGCATTCTAAGCATGTGTTGTTTGCAGCATGGTGAATGTGGCAGGCGGCAATTTGACTGCTTTTACGCATGATATCAGCTGGTTACAAGTAAAAAATTTCTGTAGATTGGAGGCTGAAGAGATACAAGTTAAAATTACTGCAACTATTGAAACAGTAAGTAAAGCAACTGTGATTGCACGGCTCTGAGAGATTTCATCTCCACTGATTCATTTCCTTCCATTCAATTCAGCTCATCTACTTTGTTTTGCTTTCTAAATTGTCCAAGTCCAGAAAGTTGTTTACCTTGTTACTTTTGCCTGCTTGTGTTTTAGATGCTTATAGGAAAGTAGGAAGATGTGCATATATTTGTAACACCCCTAGTGTCAGCTGTGAATGTGAGGACTGATTCACACATTGCTTTTTAAACTAGGGCACAAAAACACACGTTTAAAGTGCTAAACACATATGGCAGACATACATTTAAATAGCTTTGCTTGTCTTCAATAAATGGGTTGTACTCAGTACAGCGTTAAACAGATAGTACATCAGCACAAGAATTTCTCCTTGCACGGCGGAGCAGTCACCCCCTCTCCTCCCTGTGCACCCCCTAAATTTGCTGTGGGGTTTCCGCCACCCTCTGGAGCAGTTCAGGGGATGATGCAAGGGCACACACAAGGGAAGGAGGGGAAAACCACATTGCGCTAGCACTTTGTGCTGTTTAGTTTCATACAACCTGAAGTATTTATGTATTTACTGTTTGTACTTGGGCACATATGTTTGGTATTTGCAGCTGACTCCTTGCATAATTCCAATACATGTGTTACTGGACATCTTGCCCTTTACCTGCATGCATCTTAAGAACACAAGTTGGGAAATGTGATGTAGGAAGTAGTCTATTACAAAAAAGGACTGAAATACAATTAAAATAAACAAGTTCCATATTACACACTTTTTGTGTCAAGGAAGTTAAAAATGTTTTAGTAATAGCTCATTAGGTTATGGAGAAACATAATTGATGCAAGTTGGGGAGATTCTTTTAAAATGCAAATAGCTGCATTTTATGGCTCAATAATACATTTAAGTCTATATTCATAGTCAACATACCTTATTGACTTTTCTATATTTCCTGTTCAGCTTATTCATCTGAAAATATACAAGGTTTTATAAGAGTAAAAGAAATGCAGTAAAATGAAATTTTTGGCTGCTAATAAAAATGTTTCAGCCATCAGCTGTTAAGGGGGTACTAAAACATAAACATTTATGAAATCTGCATTCCTTTGCTGAATCACATTTGCATTTAATTAATGGTTTTTATTTTAGGTGATGGCAGACATCAGGATTAAAGCAATAGAAGAAATGCAGTTGGACAAGGAGCTAGGTAAAATAGTTCTACAAAATTTAATTTTGTGTAGTTGGTTATTTCAGAGTTGGTGTTGAAGATATCAAGTGGTATCAGATCCAACAAAAGCTGCTACTAGAGGAATTTTCCTTGATTTCTTCCTTACCTCTGTGGCAGCTTTTAAGAGGATATAGGCGGCTGCAGGAGGAAGGATGAGTAGGTGAAAACAGCCTCCATTCACCCTGAACTGCATTTCCTCCAGCAGGTGCAACCTTGGGAGCAGAATTATATGCATGGGACATGTTAATCCAACCCATTTATTCTTTTGTTTAAATCGTAGATAAAACAATAGGCATGTGGGTTTCTATCAGTTCTAACAGAAACTGCTAACAAAATGTATTTGTGTACATACAAAAGCTATCAAGGGAAGATGTATGGACAGAAGAAATAGTAATTGCATATTATTATACAGGCATGAGAGCACCTGTGTGATTAAGGCAGAGGGATCAAGCACTTTCTACTACAGTAAGTCTACAACATACACAGGGGTTACATTCTGAAGATCACACCTAAAGCCAAAATCACATAGAGACAAAACTCATTAGATTCAGTGGCAGGTGGGATTGCCAAAGTCATCTTTCCCAGAACCCTGCCCCCTTTCCATTTATATTTTTGCCACAAACATAAAGCTGAATGCACACGAGTTAAATGCACATAAGTTGTGAGCTTACTGTGTTTCAAAGACTGAACATTATAATTGTTCTAAAAATAAGACAATTTGCCCCAACCACACAGTTCATTTTCTGGAAATGTTTACACATGCCCTTGAACATCAATGTATCTATTTTTGTAAATGTTTCTAATCTCAAATTAATTTAATCTCATTGTTTGAAATTTGTTTTTCTATTTTGAAACACATATACTCTGGCTTGGAAGGGATAGCTCAGTCAGTAGAGCATGAGATTCTTAATCTGTAGGTTGTGGGTTTGAGCCCCACACTGGGCAAAAAGATTCCTACATTGCAAGTGGTTGGACTAGATAACCCTTGTGGTCCTTTCCAACTCTACAATTCTGTGAAACTAAGACCCTGATGTTGGGAAAGATGAGGGCACAAGGAGAAGGGGACGACAGAGGACGAGATGGTTGGACAGTGTTCTCAAAGCTACCAGCATGAGTTTGACCAAACTGCGGGAGGCAGTGGAAGACAGGAGTGCCTGGCATGCTCTGGTCCATGGGGTCACGAAGAGTCGGCCACGACTAAACAACAACAACAACAACAACATTTTGTTCTGCATTCCAACCTGGAGGAGCAATTGGCCATTCAATTAAATTGTCTTTCTATTAATGAGGTGAAGAAAAATTAAGGCAAATGAAACTTCATAGATTTGTATTGATTCCATCTTTATTCTCTTTTTTCACGCTGCAGTTAACAATAGCTGTCTCAGGCCCATTAGCAAAAATGGAAAACTTCTTTGTCCAGGTAAGCTCATATATCAGTCCTCCAAATACAGCTTAATGCAGCTGTATGTTTATGGTTGTGCTATCGTTTTTTTAAACAGAAGTAGGGTTTATGATCAGGCAACCATTTGTTTTGTCTATGTTATTTGCAGCTTTTTTTAATTAGACATCAGATTCAGCTATACAGCAGCAGATAAAAAGTTTAAAGCAGGGGCCAGCAAACTTTTTCATCCGGGGGCCGGTCCACTGTCCTTCAGACCTAGGCGGGGGGCGGGAGACTATATTTTGAAAAAAAAATAATGAACGAATTCCTATGCCCCACAAATAACCCAGAGATGCATTTTAAATAAAAGGACACATTCTACTCATGTAAAAACACACTGATTCCCAGACTGTCCGCGGGCCGGATTTAGAAGGTGATTGGGCCGGATCCGGCCTCCAGGCCTTAGTTTGCCTACCCATGGTTTAAAGTGTGTTTTGGGTGCAATATACAGTGTGACACTAGATGATGGTGGTGAGCCTTATGGAAAATTCAATGTGTTTTAAAAAATGCTGTAAAAAAAGCATTTTCAGAACAGTTTATATGTGTGTAGATTCCACCTTATGGTTGCATTGCATATTATATCATAGAATTGTATAGTTGGAAGGGACCCCAGGGGCCCTCTAGGCCAACCCCTTGCACTTCCCTTCACTTTGCCAAGCTACATAGACATTAGTTTATTCTTGTTGGTAAATAGGGGAAAGGGTGTTTTGATTTTTAAACTTTTAACATTTGCAAGGGAATAAAGACTACCCACCCCCACATGGAACTGGGTAAGAAAGAGGGGATTGGTGTTGTTTTTTACTGAAGCCAGGAGGCTAAGCATGAGAACAGAAGCTGGGGGGGGGGGAGAAGCAAGAATTGCAGAATGTTTTAGCTGGAGAATCAGCATAAAAGGAATCTTTGAACTGTTGTGAATTGCTTTCACAGAAAGAGGAAATGAATTAAATCTGGAGAAAAGGATCAAAGGATTTGCCAACAACAATAAAACAATTGGAACTTTGCATTTGCATGTTACCAGGGGATTAAGTTCTTTGAAAGAATAATTATTTTAAACTAACATCTATGTAGGTTGGCAAAGTGAAGAGTAATTATATTGGATTTATCAAAAATACCTTATAGTTAAATAATAGTACAAGCACTAACTGAAATATGAACAGCCAATCGAAAAGAATAAAGGAAAAAATAAGTAATGATAAAATGTTAAACTATTTCAAGTAAAGGACTGAGAAGCAGAGGCTCCTGGGTGTATCAGTGCCAACTTCCATGGTGTTATTAGGTATCATCTATAGCAGGCATGTCCAACAGGTGGATTGTGATCTACTGGTAGATCACTGGACGTCTGCGGTGTGTCACTGGTAGATCATTGGCTCCTCCAAAGAAGCTGAACAATTGTGACTCCCCTAAAAACAGCTCAACATTTTACCTCCTCCCTGAAAAAGCTCAACAACTTTGACTGCCAGTTTTTAACTCTGTGAGTAGATCGCAGTCTCTTGTGAGTTGGCCCCCCCCCCCGATCTATAGATAGGTTTCAAGGTGAGTTCCCTTCTTTTGGCTGAGATGGATTTAAAGGGAGGTTTAGACTACAGTTCGGTCCATTGGGTAGGGTCGTGCTAAACTCAGTGCCCTGCACCCCTGCCTCCGGTGAAGTTTTCCACTTCCATTGACGGCAGAAGCTGGCTGCAGACGGCATCCACGGGCTCACATCATCCCTCCCCTCCAAATTCCGGGGGGGACCGGGACCGGATAAGCCTCCTCTGGCCCCCCTCCCTCCCTCAGGCTTTGGAAAGCCTCAGGGGAACTACTTCCACGTTTGTGGCCAGAAACAGAAGTCTAAACCCAGTCTTTCTAATTTGTATGAGGTGCGGTGCATTTTGGAGTTTCCTGATTAATTTTTACATTACTGCTTTAAGAAACAAAGCATGATTCTTTGTTCCTGTTTTGGACTACTTAAGTGCCTGAGGATTATACTGTTAAAGAAGCAGAGCTGAAAATGGGAAGCCTTCTAGGACTGTGCTCTGGAAAAGCTCCAACAGCCACTGAGGTAAGACAAACTGTATAAGAAGGTTTCACAAGGGCTTTTGGAAACATTTGTCACTATTTTTATTCTTGTCATTTTGTTGTTGGCACTGTTAGTGGCAGAATGAGATAAGTGTACCTTTGGGTGAAGCCCACGCCTTGCTGAAGTTTAATCCAATGGTTTGTTCCCATGGATTCCTCCACTAAAATAAGCTGAGTGGAGGCAATTTTCTTTCATTTCCCCCTCCCAGATTCAGTTTCTGCACCACCTTCCATATTGTAGAGGGTCTCCAGCTCTCTGGAGCAGTTTTGCAGAGGGCTGCAGTGGGTAGGGTGAAAATCCCCTAGCTTCCTCTTACATAAGCAGAAGCTTCTGTTGGATGAAAAGCAGTCATGCAAGCAGAATGGTTGTGTTAGATTCCACCCACAGTGTGTTTAAGGCATGTCACTGCATTGTTCACAGCTAGTGTACTGAATATTACTAGTTTCCTTTGAAATTTCCTTAAATCCCAGTGCTGGGTCAATCTTTTATTAGCAATCAACAGAACCTTTGGTTTGTTTGGGTTCAGAAAACTGTGATCTTATAAGGGGTAACAGTAATGTATTGAACCATTGCTCCCTAGTTATTGAACATAGAACTAAATGAAACTTACACTGTCAGGGTTCAAAATAGTAGCCTGAATGACTAGCATCAGTTCCCAATAGTGTCTGGAGGGGGAAAGTAACTCTTAACCTTCTGCTTTAGATCCTTTAACTGAAGATACCAGAGAATGAACCTTAAATCTTTTGTATATGTGCTCTGCTATTAACTTTTGCCCCTCCCAAACTAAAAATACAGTTGAAAAAAGGAATTTACAGAGCAATCCTATTGAGTTGGGGAGAGGGAGGATCAATGGTGGATGAGCAGTCATACACTAAGCTTTGGTGGGCTCAGGCTGACAGGGTGGAAGGTAAGGGGAAGGCATATTTTCTTTCTGGTCCAGTGGGAGTGAAAATAAATGTACTTTCTTCCAGCAGTGTGTTTGGCGTATGTGAGAGCTTTGGATCCAGTGGATTTGATCTAAGCCTTGGGAATGCCTCCATTGTGCCCTCTGTGCTATTGGAGCATTAATGGCAGGGAAATACAGATGGTGGTTCCCCCCCTCTCCCATACTGTCTGAGAAGAGGCTTACAAGGGCAGATCATCCAGTCTGCAAGTGGATCTCCTCCTCCTCCACCTGTGGAGAGAGAGATCCACTAAATTCTGTAGCTCCTGGGACGCCATCCCAAAGAACATAGGATTGTGCACTTACACTTGTTTTCAGCCACATACTTTCATTTTAAATTCAAAACACATTATGGATGCTTACATTCAAATATTCATATTTCAGACATAGAAATATTTCCCCTCCCCCCAATCACCTGTGATAAGCAACATTCTTCCCCAGAGGATTAAACAGGGGAGCTTTTGTTAATTGAAAGACTGTTTTGTTACTGTTTTAGGTCATTGATATGTCACTAAATGCCAAACTTTACAAAAATTACAAACTGATTTGATGACCTATTTTCATGGCTGCCATATTCCGTATTGGATTATGTGTCCATAAAATGCTTTAATCTTAAAATGTGAAGTATGCTGAGCTTAACTGTATATGGAGCAAGAAACCTGATTAATCATCTTTCTTCTAGCTTTTTCTGTATTATATTGTGGGCCATGAGCTTCAGTCTAGTCCAGAGATGGAGATAGTGGTGGAGGAAACTACAACTGTAAGAGAGGTAAATACAGGAGCTATAAATTCTGTGTAAACACATTGCTGTAGAGATATTTCAAAATTCTGGTATGGCCACTTTGTACTCTAGTACTACCACTATAGCACTGTAGTGCTGTTGTAGACAGTGGTTCAGAATTGAATGTTCCTCTGGAGAAACCAATCTTAAAATGCAAAAATGAATTGGCTTTTTAGGTTTACGTAATTTGATCAGTCTAATCAAAGATTAGCAAACAATAATAATAAATAAATAAATAAAATGAGGCTATGAGCAAATGACATATCTATTTTGTTCTGTGTGGTGTAATAGGGAATGAGAAACAAAGTCTTAAACATGGCCTTTTTAAGGTTGAAGTGGTAGTTTTTAATTTAAATTGTATGTTTGCTGTTAGACTTATGCAGACAGTTAAGAGTACATCTTCCCACAATACTGACCTAATTCCTGGTTTTAACATTTTATGTGTGTGTGTTTTTGTATGGTTCTATGTTCTGTTTCCTAGTTCTTCTGGATCTCTCAGTGGCGTTTGATACCATCGACCCTGACATCCTTCTGGACTGTCTAAAGGGGCTGGGAGCTGGGGGCACTGTTATACAATGGTTCCGCTTCTTCCTCCTGGGCCTTGTCCAGAAAGTGGTGTTGGGGGATGAGTGTTCGGACCCCTGGGCTCTCACTTGTGGGGTGCCTCAGGGTTCCGTCCTCTCCCCCATGCTTTTTAATATCTATATGAAGCCGCTGGGAGAGATCATCAGGGGGTTTGGGCTGGATGTTCATCAGTATGCAGATGACACCCAGCTCTACCTCTCTTTTAAATCAGAACCAGTGAAGGCGGTGAATGTCCTGTGTGAGTGTCTGGAGGCAGTTGGAGGATGGAAGGCGGCTAACAAATTGAGGTTGAATCCTGACAAGACAAGTACTGTTTTGGGGGGATGGGGCGGGCAGGTGTGGAGGACTCGCTGGTCCTAAATGGGGTAACTGTGCCCCTGATGGGCCAGGTATGCAGCCTGAGAGTCATTTTGGACTCACAGCTGTCCATAGTGGCACAGGTCAGTTCTTTGTCCAGGGCAGCTGTCTACCCTCTCCATCTAGTACACAGGCTGAGACCCTACCGGCCCACGGACTGTCTTGCTTGGACTACTGCGATGCGCTGTAGTGACCCAGAAACTACAATTAATGCAGAATGCGGCAGCTAGACTGGTGACTGGGAGTGGCCGCTGAGACCATTTAACACTGGTCCTGAAAGACCTACATTGGCTCCCAGTACATTTCTGAGCACAATTCAAAGTGTTGGTGCTGGCCTTTAAACACCCTAAACGGCCTCAGCCCAGTATACCTGAAGCAGCGCCTCCACCCCCCATCGTTCCGCCCAGACACTGAGGTCCAGCTCTGAGGGCCTTCTGGCAGTTCCCTCACTGTGAGAAGGGAGGTTACAGGGAACCAGGCAGAGGGCCTTCTTGGTAGTGGCACCCGCCCTGTGGAACACCCTCCCATCAGATGTCAAGGAAATAGACAACTCTCTTGACTTTTAGAAGACATCTGAAGGCAGACGTTTGACGTTTTATCAGGGGGTTTTAATAGTTGGGAGCTGCCCAGAGTGGCTGGGAAAATACTTAGTTTAGAAATATTTTTATAAATAAAATAAATTGTCATGATGTACCACAGTGAGTGCTGTTCATCAGTATTTAAATTTTACTAACTTTGTTTATGGTGTATTTTTCTTTCAGTGTTTAAATTTAATGTTGAAGAAGTCTGGCTTAGCTGGTTAGTATAAATTTATTATAAATGTTATTATCTTTATTTTAGTTCTTTATTGTTATTAAATATTACTGAAAATTTTGAAGCCAACAACAAGAATTGTGCCATAAAGCGGTCTTTACAGTGGCAAAATATTGTTCGTGATTTTAGTGCGCTTTGGCAGGAATCTAAAAGTCACCTAGTCTAAGGAAAAATCCCCCACATCTAATTATTTGCTAAGTTGGTATAATTGAAATACAATATTCTCAAAATGGCATCTCTCTTGCTACACCACCTCAGACCTCTATATTGAGTGATGACCCCACGTTAGTCATACTCTGAGTAGATCAATTACATTTAATAGACTTAAGTAACTTAAGTGTTGATTATCAACAGATGCTCTGTGAGTGTGGCTTATGAGGCAATGCAAGCCCCAACTGGTGGGGTTTCACATAGCAGGAGGGCCACCCCTACACCTGCAGCCCTGCTCTGTACAGCAACCAGGGATGAGAGAGGGGGGGCAGGATTATCCAAGCTGGAATAGTGATGAGGTCTGCAGATGCCAGCTCAGACCTTCCCTGCCTCTGGAACACTGTTTTTATTCAGTGGGCAGAAGGGGAAGCTCTGCACATGACTCTGGAGCCACTCTGGTGGTGGCAGCCTGCAAGATGCCAGCCGAAGAGAGTGAAAGGACATCTGCTCAATCTCCGTGTCCCTAGCCCAGCACAAGGAGGATTTCGATTGCTCTGCCCGCTGTATTTAATAAAATGATAAATATGCAGGAACAATATTCATGATGTGACTCTTGTTATTTTTTATGTTTCACTTTGATGATTTCCTGGTTTCTTTTGCAGGGGACAACTGGCACTTGAGAAAGATTGACTGGTGCTATGAAGCTGGGGATGCGTTAAGTGAGGAAGTAAAAAAGCTAATTTTTTACATTGATTTTTTACATTCATTTACATAAGTATTCCTTTTGATATTACTTCTATAGGACTTTGTAAATACTGTATAAAGGTTATAGCTCCTGTGAACATACTTGTTAGTCCAAAATACATGTGCAACTGTAGCCCCATTATTTAACCCATTACTACTTCAATACTTTTAGTGCCCTTTACAAATTGGAAATCAGTTATTTAAAAATGGCATTGAGATTCTGCTATAGGCAGATAGGGTATACTGCTTACATTCCCCTCCCTTTTTATTTATTTATTTTTTCTTGTGTGAGCTTTGGTTAGGTGCACTCCTTTCTTTTGTACACAGGTGGGTAATACCGTTACTAGGACAACCAAAAGGTCACCAAAAATGTGGCAAACTTTCAGGCTTTCTAGAGCTCTTTGTCAGGTAGAGCAGGATGTAGTGCAAGAAGGAAAACTGAAATGAAAAGAAAAGTAGGAAATGTAAGTTACCGTGTATCTTGTAACCATGAAATCAGCATGTAGAGTTGATTTCCAAGATGGAAATTGCAGATTAAGTTAGCCCCTCCCAAAAGTAATGAGTAGTATTAACCATTAAGTAATACTACCATATATGACTTCAATTGACTATTTTACCTAATACAGCAGGCTTCCTCAACCTCAGCCCTCCAGATGTTTTTGGCCTACAACTCCCATGATCCCTAGCTAGCAGGACCAGTGGTCAGGGATGATGGGAATTGCAGTCTCACAACACCTGGAGGGCCAAGGTTGAGGAAGCCTGTAATACAGCATCCAAAATCAATCTCTGGCTTTGCCAAGGCTACAATGTTTCTCATTACTTCTGCAATCTTCTTACCCAGGAATCTGTGTATTTTCTTTAAGATGTGGGTCAGATCTGGAATACAAGTCAGGCTGTGTTTTCTCAGACCATGGGAAAGGGTTTATTCCAGAACCCTAGGACGGCTGTGTGGGACCTAGCCTGCAATTTCCATCATGGAACTGAGTACATGTTAACCTCACAGCAACAGCATCTAGTCAGTGGGTGGGGAACAGAACCTGGCAGTGACCTGGATGCTCCGCTTTCTCACCTCCAGCAGGCCCACCTGTTAATCACCTAACACCACCCTGAGTCAGGTGGCCCAGTCTACCTTTGCAATGCAGCTTGAGTTGAAGCCACTCTGTAAAGAGAAATCCTAGCCAATCCAAGCAGGACTTGAAGTCCCTGATAATCAGCTGATTGGCACTGACTTTGAAACCTCACTTTTGACAAGAATCAGCTCCACTCGGGATCTCGGATTGGAATTTCCTGAGTGGAACTAATCCCAGAGGAGTTTGCATTTGGTGCCCTTTTTTCTCTTAGGTGTATTGTTCTAACCAAAGACTTGTAGCAATAGTATTAATAAAATAATACAGAACTTACACCTGTAATGTAAGCCAACATCTATTTTGGAAGAGAGAGAAGATACCAGACACCCCAACAAGCACTATACTTGCCAAGGAACAATCAGGAACACATTTTAGGGTTCCCAGTTGTTCCTTTGCAGCCATGTTGGTACCCACTCCACACCTGAGTTGTTGGGGGGTGGGGGGCAGGCTTGGGGCAGAGGATTTCCCATTGCTGAAACAAACTTTGGAGGGTTTTCCCCCTTATGGATAAAACATTGCTATCTTTTGCGTTTTCTGTATTCTCTTACGTGTTTACTTTTGTTTCCTCAGGCTGCCACACTAAAAGAACTAAATATCTGCAGTGGGGATATACTGAATGTTGCTGAGGGGAAGCTTCCGCCAAAGGTGAAATAACATTTTTTGTATTAAAGTGTAGTATTTAGGAAGCTGGCCTTTCAGTTTCAGCATAGCAGTGACAACAGCATGCTGAAGTAATGTAATCAGTTTTCCCAGAGAAAACCTGGTAGTTAAATCTGAAAAAAATATGTTTATTTTCAGTAAAGGCTGGGGGGGGGGGGGGGAGACGACTGTGTGCCATCCTAACACTCCATCCATCAACCTGGGCAGGGCATTGGGATTTATCTGCAAATCATAGACTACTGAGCACTCTGCATTGTTTTTGTTTAATCCTTTATTCAGAAGTATTACAATTAGTATCTGTTCTAAAGCCAAGACTATTTGTTTCTTTGTAGCAGGAAATTATAGAATGTCTTTCATTAATTCCCAAAGGGGTTCCTGAAAGTGTCTGTCTGGTGGTACAAAGCCTTCTCTCAGTCAAGGCACAAAAGGAACAGGCAAGACCAAGGAAACTCTGTCTGCAAAAAAATGGAAGCTCTGGAACTGTCCACATCTGGAGGTAAGTTATAGGTCTCCAAGCAATACAAACAAAAACAAAATATATTTTCAGCCCTGGAAGTAACTATTTAGCCATCCCCATATCACCATGTCAGCAAGAGTTTGTATTTGAATTATTATTATTAATTATTTTTTGAAGTTCAATGTAAATAATCATTTCTTGGACCAGACACTTGCTTAAAAAGAAGCCGCTGAAGCCCTTGTAAGGCAATGAGAGAGGGCTTTTTATTTCTCTTTTAAGTAGGTGAGGGAGAGCACAGAGCTTGGAGCTCCATTTTAGTTTAGTTATTGATAACACAATTCATGTTTTACTAATTGTGTAACTGAAGAACTCTAAATTTCATTAAACTCTGACTCTTGATGTTCTTTAAAGATACACCAACATTTCTACAAAGTGAAGTTGACCTATGTTATGTGGGTGATATAGAAATCTCAGGAGACGCTTTCCTGGAAGACCTAAAGATGCAGGTTAGATATTACATTTTGTTAAGCGAAGACAAATCTACTCATTAAGTAAGATCTATTAATATATATTTTTTATTTCCTTTCCTCTGTCTCCAGTATGTTCTGATATGGCATTTGCTTAGATGCCATTTTCAGTGGTAAGTACAACCAGGGACTTTTGAGACACTTCCTAATATCCACTTCTAGCAGTTTGTCATCTGTTTCATGTGTCCTTAGCTGCAAGACTCATGTTACACTTTCATCAGAATTACAATTTCTGTATGTGAATGCAGAATATGCAGTCTCATAAGAACCACTCTGCATTTTGACACGAGTTCCTTTATTTTTGTGTATGTGTCCTTCGTGTGTGGGGTGTAATAGGTTGGTGGTAATATTTGTGAAATTAACTAACGGGAAACTTTTAGGTGAGGTGAAACATGAGCATAAACAGTTGCTTCATAATGAATCAGGCCATTGCTCCATCTAGTCCAGAACTGCCTTCTTCAACTGACAGCAGCTTTCTAAGATCTCAGACAGTGCTTTTTCTCAATTTTGCTATTTGAAACCCTTTTTAATAGGTTTAATCCTGGGCACCTTCCCAAGGTCTTTTGCGTGCTCTACCACTAAGTTCCTGAACAGTAATTGAATTCTTAAAGGGGAAAAAACAAGACATACAACTTTCATTGAGATTTCACTGCATTGACAAGGAAAATTGGCTGTAGCCCAGTTAAGACATAGTTTAATACAAACTATGTTTTAATATGAGTTTTTCTCCAATCGAATCATAAATGTTAAAAAGTTCTGATCTTGGCTTATCACTATAAATTGTTTGGAGAACAGAAACCATAAGCCCCGTTTGGACAACAGATTCTGGCCTGTGGCATGGCAGGAAGGGCGTTGCCCAAACCCCTGTTTGTGATTAGTTTCGTCCAAACAAACAAAGCCATGTTCGGATGAAACAAGCCATGAGCCAGTTTTAGGCAACACAACAAGTCAAGACTCCGGTTTCTTTTTCTGCAGTGTAGCAGGCGCAGGGGAGAAATGCTGTAGAAACTTTTGAGCAGCCTGCAATGGCCTGCTACTCATTTACATTACGGGTGAACCAGGCCTGTGTTACATCCCAGAGACAACAGTTGTTTGGTGACACTAGTGTGGATTAGTAAAGGAGCCTCTATGAGCCGCTACACACTGAGATGACTGGGGGAGGGTTTTGGACTAGTACACCTTCCTCTGCCTTTCCTTGTATCTAGAATGTAACGTGAAAGCCAGTTGTGTACTGACGTTTCCATGCTCAAATAAGCACTGTTCCACCTGATTCTGGTGTTAAGCTTTAGGCATAAAAATAGAGTGGGTATAAGTCTGAGATCCGCTCCCAGTAGCACTGCATATAGAGGTTGCAGTGTGGGGAATTATCTTTTGAAGATTTTATGTGATGTAGATTTTGACAGAAAATAAAAAATTCCCTAGGACCCTCTACAACATTGCATTTCAATAATATTGGGGGAAATAGTAAAGTTACTAAAAGAAATGTGATGTGGTGGTTAAAATTTATGCTTACATTTGTAGTCCTGCAAGTTAGAAAATTATTAGTTTTCTGAGCTTAAACTAACATTTATTCTAAAATTGCTAGCAAAGTGCTTTTCTTTTCAGGTGATGACTTTGCCATTCTCTGAAGAGTTTAGTATTCCGCTACCTGAGTTTCTCAGAGTTTGGACCATGGAAAATAAGTGCCCTTGCAGGCTTTTACGAAACAATAAGCAGCAACTCCAGTAGGTTTCTATGTATAGCATTCAGTTAAATAAATGTTAATGCAATATATTTTTACCATTATTTTTAATTAACACTGCAATCCTACACACTTAACTAAGTAACTAAGAGTAAGTTGCTTTGAATTTGGTGGGATATACTTTGAGACTGAAATCCTGTATCCAATTTCCTAGAGGAAAGTTTTCAGTAGGTTTTACTTTTCGGTAGGCATGTGTATTGTTGTCCTGCAAGCATTCATTCAGTTGTTCTTTACTATCGTAAGCAATTAAAACAAACTAAGCATCATTGATTGTGGCCTAGACCTCTTTTTGATTAATTCTTTTCAGGAAGGTAATCTGTTCTGTCTGTATAAATTAGGCAGAGGATTTCTAACTACCCTGTGTATAAGTGTTCTGGCAACAGTTAAATTGACAGTCTATGATATTTCAAAATCCAGCTTCTAAATGTGGAACTTGTATTTTTTAAAAATTATTTATATCCTGCCTTTCCTATTCTGAATTTAAAATATTTACTATGTTTCTTTTTCAGTAAATTCAAACTAGGAAACAGAGTGGAAATTTGTATAGAGCCTTTACACAAGGAAGAGAATCTTGGGTAAGATATTCAGCCACAATTCATCAAAACAGGTTTTAGAAAACCTTGTAAAATATTTATTTCAAATCCCAATTATTCTGAATTTTCCTTCTATGGTACTTTTTTTTTAAAGAGTAGGGAATCTATGGAGTCTCCGTGACATTAATGTAGACATATGTTTTGAGAATGTTAATTGCATTGTGTATGTTTCTTATTACAGACCAAAGGATTTGCTTCTGCGAGTGCAGATGGGCATACCAAGGGAAAGAGATTATTACCACCCTGTGGATTTGGTATGGGATATCTCCAAAGAGTGTACAGCATGTGCATTGAGACAGAGAATTGCTTCATACTATTCATTACCAGCAGAGCAAATTGAAATTGCTAAATATTCTCCTGAGAAGTTTGAATGGATACCAATATGTAGTTGGGTAAGCTAAGAGATGCCAGAGACATGGAACAATATTGTCAACAATTCTTTGAATTGACATTTCACATTATCTAAATAAAAGATGCCTGTGTAACAATGACATTTAACACAGGAAGGGTTGAAAGAGAGAGAAACGGGATAAGTTCTTCTAATATTGTTCTTACCTGTTCTTTGTGCTGACTGACACTACTGTGCTTACTTAAATGTAATGCGCCATCGAATTTAATGTGCACCCTAAATTTCACAACGTAATTTGTCAAAAACAGGTGCACATTATATTCTTTCTTCCATCTGATCCCTCTTCCCTTCTCTCTGGTCGGGAAGGGAAAAGAAGGAAGGAAGGAAGGAAAGGAAGAAGGAGAGCAGCTGCGATCTGGGCTGGAGAGGGAGAGATGAAGGGGGAGAGAAGAAGGAAGAGAGCAGAGTAGTGCAGTGGGCAAGGACTGCCACTGGGGCAGGGAGCAGAGCACCAGGAAACAGGGCAAGCAAGGCACTTTAGGCACACACACACTGGCAGACGCAGCCAGCTCCTCTTTGAATTGTTGTGTCATCCTCATCATGGCAATTAGTAGTAGTATAGGGGTTGTTTTCTTCTTCTTTTCTTTTCTTTTTAAAGAAAGCAATAATGCACCAAAAAAGACAGAGAAAAGATTCACAATGTAGAGGTAAAAAGTTAAGATTGGGTGATGGGAACAGTCAAGGAAAATTAACATACTGTATTTATTCGAATGTGCCATTGAATCTAATGCGCACCCTAATTTTCATAACGTAATTTGACAAAAAAAGGGCGCCTTACATTCAAGTAAATATGGTAATTCACTGCCTTTTCTCTCCCTGGTTTACAGCTTTGGCACCACTTCTTTTTTAAAAAACAACCAAAAAAACCCTGGCTTTCTTCGTGAGGTAGTCTCATCCTGTCAGTGATAAGTGGGTGGCGCTGTGGTCTAAACCACTCAGCCTCTTGGGCTTGCTGATCGGAAGGTCAGCGGTTCGAATCCCTGCGACGGAGTGAGCTGCCGTTGCTCGGTCCCAGCTCCTGCCAACCTAGCAGTTCAAAAGCACGTCAAAGTGCAAGTACAGTGGTACCTTGGGTTAAGAACTTAATTCATTCTGGAGGTCTGTTCTTAACCTGAAACTGTTCTTAACCTGAGGTACCACTTTAGCTAATGGCGGCCACCACGCAATTTCTTTCCTCATCCTGAAGCAAAGTTCTTAACCCAAGGTACTATTTCTGGGTTAGCAGAGTCTGTAACCTGAAGCGTATGTAACCCGAGGTACCACTGTAGATAAATAGGTACCGCTGCGGTGGGAAGGTAACGGTGTTTTCATGCGCTCTGGTTTCCGTCAAGGTGTTCTGTTGCGCCAGAAGTGGTTTAGTCATGCTGGTCACATGTCCCGGAAAGCTGTCTGTGGACAAATGCCTGCTCCCTCGGCCTGAAAAGTGAGATGAGCACCACACCCCATAGTCCCCTTTGACTGGACTTAATTGTCCAGGGGTTGTTTACCTTTTACCTTACATTTTATTACATTTATGTTCTGTCCCTTTTCCAAGGAGCTTGAGGCAGAGAACGTGTTTTCTTCTCAAAACAAAACTGTGCGGCAGGATAAAGACAGTGACTAGCCCAAGGTCACCCAGTGAGCTTCAAGGCTAAATGGTATCTCCCTGAGTCTCATCAGTCCTAGACTTAACAGTCTAACTGCTACACTACACTGGCTTTTAATGTGATGCTGTCATCCTCATCCTCATCCTCATGCAGCCAATCATATTTGTGTATGTGATAAGATTACAAGCCAAATGGGCAAACCCTGAAACCCCCACTAAAATGGGAAGTGGCACATTTTACAGGGGGGCAAAATGTATCTCCCCTCCCCCATTTGTATGTGTTAAAATTACCTCTCTCTCTCTCTCTCTCTCTCTCTCTCTCTCACACACACACACACACACACACACACACAAACAAGCGTGTGTGTGCTTAATATTTGTGACATGGAAAATGACAGTGGATGAGATCCAATGTGGTGTGAGTGGTTTTCTGCTCATGAAGTGAGACTTGAGCTTCATCTCCTCTCCTCTGCTTCACCCCACATCCCCGAACCTGTTCTGGAGGGTTGGGCACCCCTCTGAAGCAGATTTTGGGGTGCCCAGTGGGCTGGAGGTGTGGAATAGAGAAACAAAATCCCATTGCACAAGCATTTTTGTTTTGCAAAAGCTCAAGATGGAGAACGTAATCTATTTCTAGTGCTCCTAAGCAGGGAAGCATTTACACTTAGCAATAAATATGAATATTTATCCTCAGAAGTTTATTGAGGACTTTTTTTTTTTAGCAAAGCCATATATCTTCACCTCTAATCAGTTTTTGTTTTTAAAATTTTAAATTACCTTTCAGTTGTAAAAACATGTTTTATTTTTTACCTGGAAATACAGGGAATATAAAATATTCTCACTCTCTGCACCAAAATCACAAGTAACCTCTGTTAGTTTATGATGCTTTTTTCATGTTAGTTCTCATTTGCATTCAGACACAGCAAGTTTCAAAGCGAAAAAAGAAGAAGAAAGGTGACAGTTTACAATTAAGCCCCTACAACCTGAAGGATGGAGATATTATTGGTGTGAAGGTAAATAAACTGATTTATCAACAAAATTCCTCTGCTTAATTCCAAGTGATTTCTCCTCCACCACCACTGCATCCCCAGATAACAGAGCTCACAAGTTTTAGCAGGTTTTCATGAACCACTGAAAGAGGCTTTTCAGGGAGTACAAGTTGCTGCAGGCAAAGTTGGAAAAGAGAAAGATCCACAGTGTTGGATCTCCATACAACCCAGATTTAATAAGCTGTGAATTACAAAATCTAGGTGAATGTGTGCAGAAGTGTACAATTATGTGCTTTTAAATTGTGTTTTGGGGTATCTTGCAGCCATAGATAATGAGGCCAGTTCATTTATGGTAGCCTATCTTTTGTTTTACTTACGATTTGAGATTTTTCTTTTGGGAGATCTGGTTTTCCATCACTCCCCATTTCTGTCAGGGGCATTCCTATTCTGCTTATAACTTCTAGCTGTGTTAAGAGGTTTTGATATGATAAAGCAGGATAGAAGTTTTATAAATAAGCACTGTGGGGTAGCTTTGTCCTCCTTTCCAACTGAGGAAAGTGCTTTCGCAAGAAATTTTTGGAAGAAGGTCATGTAATTTCTTTTCTTTGTAGCGAAGAATAGCGAAGAACTTTAATTCTTAATAACATTACTTAATGCAGTTTAATGTCATTAGTAAAAAATACCACTTGTAAAAATGTATCTGCCTTTATAAGGAGAGTACTATTAGGAATTGTTTTCACAATTATTTCATTAATTTGCACAACAGAATCTCCTGCTTGATGACAGTAAAGACTTCAGTACCATGAAAGATGATATTGGAAAACAAATGCAGAAGCAACTTGCTATGGAAAAAACAAGGTATATCTTAGTTTTTTATAGAATTTATACCATGCCTTTCTCTCAGCAAGAAGCCCATATAAATTGTCTAAACACAGAAAGCAGTAAAATGAATCCAGTTGTGTCCTCAAATGTGGTGATTGGATTATTTTATGTAGAATTGGAATTGGCAATTGGAAAAGAGGCCTGTTAACAAAATGAAGAATGTTATATAGAAATGTTTCGCATTTCTGTTGACTGGCCTCTGCACATACATCTGTTCTAGAACAATGTAACTCTGGTTGTTGTCTCACTCTCTCCAAAACATGTGTTATTCAAGACAGCAACATGGTCTGGAAGAGATGTTAGGGTTACAAATGATTATTGTAAAGCATCTACTTGCTTGCATTGTTGGGCAATGACCAGTTTGGCATCAGGGAATATGCAGGGCTAGAAAACAACTCAGCGCTATTTCCATATGATGTTCAATGAGTCAAATGAAAGATTTAATTACAACAAAGTATTATCTCAAAAGTTAGTAGGATGAATTATGATTTAGATTTTAATGCCATAAATTCAAGGGCTATTCAGTTGCACTTGTTTGCACGTTTGGTCTGCTGCAAGGTAATAAAATTGATTTTGAAAGAATGTGAATAATTGAAAAATGAAATTTTAAACCACCATATTATAGGACCTGATCTAGTTAAAGTTAATCATAGCCAGCATTAACTAACACCACATGAATGTGCTGGTCTATTTTTGTTTGAACTCTGGGTTTGAAGGAATGCTTCTATGGCATCAACCAAGGAGCAGAACAGGCTGTTTTTATCCAACCCATTGATCTGTAGTGACCTTGCCTTTTTGGAAATTAACTCATTTATCCACTATGATATGCTGGGATTCTGCCCAATTTTCTAATACAGGATTCAAGTTTATGTGTTTTACAGCACATTTAGGATACTAATTATATACACTTCAGGGTTTGCATATTACAAATGTGCAATAAAGAAAAACCCTGCAGAAAGAATTTATTTGCAATGGATTTCTATGATTCACCTCCCAGAGCAGTTCATCAAGATACTATTTCACATTTCTCCTTAGTAGAAATGCCCATCAAAATAGCCTGCAATTGCTGGGAGAGCTCAAGCTGTGGCCTGCCAGCCAGATCCTGTTACTCACCCCAGCTTTAAGGAGCTTTGTGTTCCAGACTCAAGCTTGCCTTGCATATATTTCTAATACTTGATTGACTAACTTTAATAGTGTATCTGCTTTTTGTTTTCCAGTAGCCAGAAGCCTGACTGTGTGCAGAATGATCATTACTCTGAAAAAAAGATGGCTAAGAATCGTAAACCTGAAGCAGCACTCTCCATCAGTGTAGGGGTTTTCAGCTGACTCCCTGGGTCTAAACAAACCTTGTATCTTACTGAATAGAATGGAGTTGCCTCAGTTTGGCTAGCCAAGGAACGGTCTTCCTTGAGACAAGCGCTCTATCCTATTGTGGAAAAGTGCTTTAATTCTATTATAGTTCAAGCACTTACTATCAGGGTGGGTATCTGCACTTTAATAATGAGAACATATACGAATATCTTAATCTTTCAGTGGTTGGTTGTAATAACCATGTGCTTTAATCTGATCATACGCCGTATTATCACTGCAGTGATTGCTTTTCCCCTTACGGATTTATGTACGTGAAAATATTTATGAAAATGTAGCCTGAAAAGTTAACATGTGCAGTGAATTCAGAAGGAAACTTTTGTCACCCATGGGAGTGACTCTTCAGACAAAATGTGAGAACTATTAGTTGAATTTAATGCATCCCCCTTTTCACACCATTTATTATGGCTGGAAAATCTGTGAGCTGCAAAGCAGCCTATGGCAAAACAATTACGTGCTTAGAGAAATGCTAAATTTAAAATTTCAACACACACTTTTCTGTGCTGTAATTTGGCCATTAAGTATTAACTCCAAACTTGATTAGCTACCAAGTAATTAGATCCAAGTTTGTTTTGGGGGGGATGCCAAAATTTACAGGGTTAGTCTAAAAAACAATATAACACGCAGAAAGAAATAGCTGTAGCCTATGGCTTGGATCCAAAGTTCCCACTGTTCAAGTGGAAGACCTCTGTGTGTGTGTGTGTGTGTGTGTGTGTGTGTGTGTGTGTGCGCGCGCTTGCATGCATGCATGCATGTGTGCACATATGTGTATTGCATATTCCCCTGCCCCTTTGTTCTTGTTTACCATATATTTTGGCCTGGTTCAAAATACACCAGCCCAAACGTCTCTCTATGCACATTGGGTGAAGTGAGATTATGTCTTTTAACCCAACTCAGAAGGAATTCCTCTCCCACCTGATAACCACATGTGGGAGAAATGTTTGCCTATGGCTTAAATGCATACAGTGTAACATGGCATAATCTGGGACATTCTTCTTCTTTCATACACCTTCCTGAAACATTGCCCACATATATCGACAGCTGCTATCCTAAAGGGTGGAATCGGTGTGTTGGGTGGACTGTGAGGGCAATATACTCTTGCTCTTCACCATGTATGAGAGAGAGAATGGAGGAAAATATGGTCTAAACCAGGCCTTTGTGGAAATAGATTTTTCTGCCAACATTCTGTGCAATCCTATCTAAACAATACGGCGTTCAGAAATGTGTACTACTGAAGTAAACAGAGATTTAAATAAATGGGGAAAGGGTACAGGTAAATATCAGGATGTTTGCTGACCTTTTTTGTATATCATTTCCTAAGAGGCAGCCTGTATTTCTCATGTCAATGTATGTCTTTTGTTCATATAATTGCTGAAATGCCTGTTGGGAACCATCTATCGTGAATGAACAGAATCCACCAGGATATAGGTGCATAGCATATTTAACATTATAGAAACATTTCTCCAAGAGTCCCCCAGAATCATTTTTTAGGAAAAAGCGAACTGTTCCAAAAAATGTTTTTGTCAATAGTCCTCCATAACTTATTTCCACAAAGTATTTGTCCCAATGCACACTGTACATTTTCACCCCAGTATGAACTCTAGCAAATAATGGTCTAACCTTAAAAATTGGTATTCGAATATATATTTTGGAGAACAGGCCTGGGAAAGAAAGGCCACTGAGAGTGTAAATTGAAATAATGAATGATATTGGGCGGGGCGGGTGGGGGGAGATAGAGGTAACTGGGATTGATCAGGGAGAGGTAGCTGTTTGTGTAAGCAAACTTTGTTGTCATGGTTTCAGTTTACTAACTGATAGAACTATTAGCAAGTTATCCCTGTTCATTGGGTTTTCACATTTTGAAGGCCATTTTGCTGTTTGCATTCTTAACTGAAGTATAGATTTAAATTTATCACCTATCCAGACACTGTACTGACATAGGATTCTCCAGAACCAATTATCTTAACTGACATATTAAAAGATCTAGTGTGTTGCAAGACGGAAACACAAGTCATAGCATGCTGTATCAGAGGGTATAAATAAGTTTAATAAAGCTTGTACAATCACACCTGGGGGTGGGGAGGATCCTCCTTAATCCTTCATGTAGTGATCACTTGGGATTTGAGCAAATGCTGAATCTTCAGCATCTGTCCACCTGCTATGGAACCCCGATCGCATAAGGCACCCAAGATGTAGAAAAAGGCTGCTAGTTGAGGAATCTGGGAATACTGCCTCATAAAGCAATCCCATGGGAGATTTTTTTAAAAAATTATGAAGTTATTTAATGAACATGAGACTCAGACACGTTTATATACAAAAAGGAACTATGTGCCTTTAATAAACTGTAATGCAGTAATGGCTGCAGGAAGCCAATACCAAGTTGCTTGTGATGTTGGCTTGATTATTTTGTTATAAAATTATGGGACGTTCCACAATCGAACATTTTGTGAAAAGTTATACCTTTATAATGGAATGTCCAGGATTCCGCAGTTCTGGTTGTATTACAATGCAAGTAATTTTTTATAGTTAATTTTTAATAAGTCTGATTTTTCTTGTACTTGCAAAAGAAATAAAGAGTTTAAATGTTTTGTTTGTACTGTATTTATAATAAGGTATTTTTATTTATTTATTTATTTTTATGTCAAATCAACCACTACAAACAATAAACACAAATAAATATCAAAAACAAACTTATGGACAAAACCCCCCGACATACCTTTACTGCAACTAATATTTCACCCACGTGACTTCCCTCTACCACAACTTTACACCCTTAAGCCAGTATTTTTATTTTATTTTTATCATCATCATCATTCCCCAGCCAGCCACTCTGGGCAGCTTCCAGTACATATGAAAACATGCTAAAACATCAGACATAGTTATTTATCTCCTTGACATCTGATAGGAGGGTGTTCCACAGGGAGGGTGCTACTGCAGAGAAGGCCCTTTGCCTGATTCCCTGTAACTTCACTTCTCACAGTGAGGAAACTGAATCCCAATTGGAAGGGATCTAAATGGTTCACATCCTCTAGGCTTGCCTGGAGTTGATCAGTAATCACGCAATCGCCTCGCCCAGGAATGGAAGATTTGAGACTGGTCGATAGTTGGCCATAGTGGCCGGGTCCAAAGAAGTTTTTTTAAGAAGCAGTTTGATAACTGCTTCTTTAAGCGGGTCAGAAAAAACTACCTCACAGACGGAAGGATTCACCACCCCACAGAGCTCTTTGCCCAACCCTGCCCAAGCAACTTTTTATGAGCCAGGTGCTTTGTTTCAATAATAGATTAATAACTGCCTTTTTAGGTAAAGGTAAAGGGACCCCTGACCATTAGGTCCAGTCGTGACCAACTCTGGGGTTGCGGTGCTCATCTTGCTCTATAAGCCGAGGGAGCCGGCATACAGCTTCCGGGTCATGTGGCCAGCATGACTAAGCTGCTTCTGGTGAACCAGAGCAGCGCACGGAAATGCCGTTTACCTTCCCTCCAGAGCGGTATCTATTTATCTGCTTGCACTTTGATGTGCTTTCGAACTGCTAGGTTGGCAGGAAACTGCCTTTTAGGTTGAAACAATTTATTTGATAGTGAAGTATGTGCAAAAGAAACCATGAAAGGTTGGCAAAATCCAATTTTGAAGAAAATGTTAAAGTGCAAATGCACAATGTTAATATTATGTTGTGTTAAACAGTATCCCAGCATCTCCTCGGAAGAGCCAGTGGCTCGTGAAGAGTGGCTTCACACTCTGTTCTAAAACAGAGGTGCCAACCCAACATTGCATGATAAACTGCTTTGTGTAATGGAAAGGGGTTTTAAAAGCAGCTTGATATGGCACATGGGTATGCTCAAAGATAATGAAAGCATGTTCAAAGAAAAGGAAAACATTCCAGTTAAGTTAGTGAAGACCCTCATATAACCAAGAGCAGCCATGTTAAGTCAATGTTATTGCATCTATCTTGGGCTTCTGTAGTCTCCAGAATGTTTAGAATAACTGGTTCCCTCATTGCAGAGAGCTGGACTAGATGACCCCTTGAGCACTTCCAACTTTACAATTCTATGATGAACAGTTTTTGTACCGAGCCTAAAAAATTGAGTGCATGCACATTGATAACAGATTAGTACAGTCATACCTTGATTTTTGAACAGAATGCATTCTGGAAGTCTGTTCCGACTTTCGAAACGTTCAGAAACCAAGGTGCAGGCGCACCAGAAACAATAGCGGAAGCTGCATTGGACATTCAGCTACCAATTTTTTCCCCAAAAACTGGAAAACTTCCAGGTTTCGATCTTTTTTGGAGCCGAAACGTAGGAGTACCAAGGCGTTCGACAACCAAGCTCTTTCTGCATCAACCAATAACATGGCCATCTTTTTACTTGGTTTCATTTCCACATACTCCAAAAGGTCAATTATTATTCTTGTATATGTCTTTTATATTCTTTTATATGTCTATCCGGTAAGAAGTCCGCCTGGTCTCTGCTGATTATTTTGTTTAGAGTCTTTTTAAATCTATTAGCCATCACTCCAGCATAGATTTTATAGTCTGCATTCAACAGGGAGATTGGTCTATAATTTTTCATGTCTGTCAACTCCACTCCGTTTCGGGATTTGAACGATCAGTGCTTCTTTCCATGATTGTGGTATATCTTTCCCTCCCAGTATATTATTCATTATTCTTTGTAATATAGGGAGGATTACTTCTTCCAGGTTCTTATAGTACATTAATGAGATTCTCTCAAGACCTGGCAATTTGCCACTTTTCATTTTTTTTTTTATTACTTGTGCTATTTCATCTATTTCTATATTGGAGTTTAGGGCCTCAACTTCTTCTTTTTCAATTCTTGGTAATTTAGTTTGTTGTAAATACTCTTCCATTTTATTAACACAAATCTTTATAAAAGTTTAAGAATTTTATTTTTATTTTTACTGGGTTGGTTATTTCCTCCCCTTGGTCCATAATTTTATATATATATATATATATATATATATATACACACACACACACACACACACACATATATATATATATATATATATATATATATATATATATATATATATATATATATATATATAAAAAATTTGCTTTTCCTTTATCATCCATGCTAACAACTTACCGGGCTTATTGGCGGACTCAAAATACCTTTCTTTTGCCCATTTAATTTAATTTTCTACTTCCTTATTTAATATACTAGAGATATGGGATTGCAATATCTATTTTTTGTACTATTTCATGATTTTTTGGATTTTTGATCAACTCTTTTTCATTAATTCTTATCTGTTTAGTTAGCTCTTGGATATTATTGTCTTTTATCTTCTTCAGCCTAGCCATTTGTTGTATTCCAAGACCCCTCATGTACGCTTTACTTGCGTCCCAAACTACATTTATATCTGTATTTTGTTTCTCATTTATCTCGAAAAATTCTGCTAACTTGATAAATGGTAAATGGTGTTTCCGTGCGCTGCTCTGGTTCGCCAAAAGCGGCTTAGTCATGCTGGCCACATGACCCAGAAGCTGTACGCCGGCTCCCTTGGCCAATAAAGCGAGATGAGCACTGCAACCCCAGAGTCGGCCACGACTGGACCTAATAGTCAGGGGTCCCTTAACCCTTTACCTTTTAACCGATATATATTTCTTAACAGATATGGTTAAGTGTAAGAAGGAATAAAGTATGTCAACTAGCCTAGAAGTGAATCAACTACAGTATATTTTTAACTTACTCTCCTAATAATTTGTATATAAATTATAAAAGTGGTATATAAATTTTGTTAAATGAAAAGAGGAAATGTTCAGACTTTCAAACAGTGTGTTATGCCTGAGCCTTCATTGCTGAAACTCCCAACAGCATTTTCGTGCTCACAAACACCTGATGAAGGAACCATTGTGACATAAACCATTCAAGCAGAGTTAAAAGGGGCAACAGGCTGTCAACAGTGGCAGTAGTTGGGAGCTCCCTGCTATTAAAAAGCCACAGGAAGTCTTTTCGTACTGCCTGAGGAATTAATCCCTTATTTAACATTCAGAATTGCTGGATCGATTTAACAGGACTGGAGCTAACATTTGCTTGGATTTGGCACCATTGATAGGGAACTGCCTGCTGCGTCCTCCGCTTTGAAGTCACCCTGGTCTTTGGGCCTCCAGCACTTTCTTCAGCATGTCCAACCCATCTAAGAGGCGTATGATAATGGTGTTCCACTGGGTTAGGAAGAAGCCCCTGACAGAGAAGCCGTGCTCTAGCACCTCGGCCAGACCTTCTGCCTCTGCACCGGCTTGCAACACTCCTCACATTTCACCCTACTTCACGAGGAGCAAGACACAACCCGCTCCGCTCAGGAGGTCCAGCAGGCGCAAGGTGCCGCGATTGCCGAATCTCACCGACCCCAAGTTTTTAAGATCGGTCACTGGCAGCGTTGGCCGGAAGAGAGCCCGCAGGCGTGGCAAGCCAAAGAAGACTCCGAGACTTCCAGTTTAACCGTGGACATCATAGAAGCGCGGAAAAACCTCTCTGAGGCTTTCCGAGCGGCGCGGGGGCTCTGAGGGTGGCGCAAGGGCACTGCGCACCTCCAAACCTCAAGGGGATCATCTTTGGGGGACAGGGGCACCCAGCGGCGCCACAGCTGCTCCCCTGTTTTCTCGGGGTTTTTTTTAAGGCCCGAGAGTGGGACGGAGTGGCAGGCGCGAAAGGGAAAGCACCACCACCCCCGCGCTGTGCTGTCTCTAGAAATGTATAGAAATGATGAAGAAACTGTAAGAGAAGATGTATATTAAGAAAACCGCAACTGGGAAGGAAGGAAGTCGAGGCGTGATTTTACGCAATGTAAATAAGATGATATTAAGAATGATTGTAAAGACTGTTTTATTTTGTTTGTGGGAAAATTCAATAAAAAATATTATAAAAACAAAACAAAAGAAGACTCCAGCGGGAACAGGAAAAGGGGTGAGGGCTAGGCTAGAGGCAAGAAGGCTCCAAAGCTATTTGCGGGGTGGGATTGCTTTGGAAGATGCCTTCTTACAATCTCTCCCCTTGAACCACGTAAGGACATAAGAGATGCCTGCTGGATGAGGCCACATTGGCCTGTCTAGTCCAGCATGCTGTTCTCACAATGCCCAACCAGAGGCCTGTAGAAACAAGCGCGTTTTGTATTCCCTTCCTATACTTTCCATCAACTACTATTCACAAACATTACTGCCACTGACTGTGGAGGTGAGAGCATAGCCAGTGTGCCTAGTGGCCGTTGATAGCCTTCTCCTGCATAAAACCATCCAAGTTGGTGGCCGTCACAGCTTTCTGTGGGATTGAGCTTCCAGAGGGGTAGCTGAGCATGCCTGCTGCAGCAAAAACAGGAATTAAAAGCACATTTCTCCCAAAGAATCCTGGGAACTACAGTTTGTAAAGGGTGCTACAAATTGTAGCTAGGCGGTAGAAGGGTAATCTACAGTTCCCAGGATTCTTACAGGGGAGAAGCAATAATGCTTTTAATGTATGGTGTGTACACAGCCTCAAATTAGTGGAGCCATCAGGGCAGGAATCTGGGGCAAATGTCCATGGGCCCCACTTGGCACAATGACCAGGACCCCTCCCCCCAAGTTAACTAGGCTGGCGTACCACATTTTAAATTTCATTCTGAAAACTCAGTATGCTAAAGAATTTTATTTCATTTTTAAATGGGATGAGGAAGGGATGTATGTAGGAAGACACTCTTGGGAAATTTCCCAATGCTCCAGATATTTTGGATGTATTAGACTAGGACCTGCAAAAGCAGGGTTCAAATCCCAACTCAGCCATGAAGTCCACTGGGTGACCTTGGGCCAGTTCCTCTCTTTCTCTCAGCCCAACACAGAGTAACACATGAAACCGGTCCATTCAGTTCATACACCACCGGTCTTCAGCTGGTGGGTTGGCACCCACTAACATGCTGCAGCCCGATCCAAGGTGGGTTGCAACCAGAGAGCTACCACCCTGCCAATATATGGGGAAAGATTAAGAAATGGGTCCCCAAATGCATGTATGATTCAAAGTAGGTCCTGGGTCTTCAAAGGCTGAAGATACTTGGTTTGCGCTGATTGGCAGCAGCCCTCCAAGATTTCAGGCAGGATCTCTCCCAGTCCCACCAGGAGATGCTGGGGACTGAACCTGATGCCTTCTGCATGCTAAGCAGTTGTTCTACCACTGAGCTATGGCCCTAGCTCACAATATTGCTGTCCGGATAAAATGGAGAAGGTGGAGGCTGAAGTGTGTATGCTCTGTGGAGGAAAGGTGGGATAGAAGTGTAAGAAGGAATAAAGTATGTCAACTAGCCTAGAAGTGAAACAACTACAGTATATTTTTATCTTACTCTCCTAATAATTTGTATATAAATTATAAAAGTGGTATATAAATTGTGTTAAATGAAAAAGAGGAAATGTTCAGACTTTCAAACAGTGTGTTATGCCTGAGCCTTCATTGCTGAAACTCCCAACAGCATTTTCGTGCTCACAAACACCTGATGAAGGAACCATTGTGACATAACCCATTCAAGCAGATATAAGGGGCAACAGGCTGTCAACAGTGGCAGTAGTTGGGAGTTCTCAGCTATTAAAAAGCCACAGGAAGTCTTTTCGTACTGCCTGAGGAATTAATCCCTTATTTAACATTCAGAATTGCTGGATCGATTTAACAGGACTGGAACTAACATTTGCTTGGATTTGGCCCCTTTGATAGGGAACTGCCTGCTGCGTCCTCCGCTTTGAAGTCACCCTGGTCCTTGGGCCTCCAGCACCTTCTTCAGCATGTCCAACCCATCTAAGAGGCGTATGATAATGGTGTTCCACTGGATTAGGAAGACGCCCCTGACAGAGAAGCCGTGCTCTACCACCTCGGCCAGACCTTCTGCCTCTGCACCGGCTTGCAACACTCCTCACATTTCACCCTACTTCACGAGGAGCAAGACACAACCCGCTCCGCTCAGGAGGTCCAGCAGGCGCAAGGTGCCGCGATTGCCGAATCTCACCGACCCCAAGTTTTTAAGATCGGTCATTGGCAGCGTTGGCCGGAAGAGAGCCCGCAGGCGTGGCAAGCCAAAGAAGGCTCCAGTGGGAACAAGAAAAGGGGAAGCGGCCTACTGGAGTCGCCACTGACATACACTCTCAGCCAGAGCCAGTTTGCCAAGCAGAAAAACTCCTGGCCGGCAAGGACAACGTCCACGGCCAGGCCAAGAACCAGCCAGCAGCCCATCTTGGAGGAAGGAAGATCACCCTCCGGGGAGCGGGGCCAGGTGACAGCGGCGCCTGCGCAGTGAGGGGGCAAGCGGGCTTCCCTGACGAGCTCGAGGGAGCTTACAGAGAAAAACAAGCTCAAAACACAAGAAGAAAACAATTTTTAAAATAATAAGAATTGAATATGGATAGACTTTATAGGCTGCAAACCGCCCCGAGGCCTCCAGAGGAAGAGCTGTATATAATAAATAGTTATAACATACATAAATAATTACAATAAAAACGACACTAGCAAAAAATACATTCCCTGTTTTGTTTAATATTTTTATCTGCCGCCCTTTTCCTTGACAGGAACTCCAAGTCAGCGGCTCAGCGCCTCCGGGGGAAGCGGTCCGGCGGCACAAAGATTCCTCCGCCTTCCGGCCGGGCTCCCGGGGCCTCCCGACGTCACCTTCCCGCGTCGCCCAATGCGGGCGCCGGATGTGGAGGGGCGGGGCAAGCAGGCCCCGCCCCGGAGCGGCCTTCTGTTGCTAGGGCCGCGGAGTCGGGTAGCAACGGCGAGGAGAAGCTGAAATCAAACTGTTTGAGATTTACAGCGTCGGCTGTGTCTCTAGAGACTGATATGGAAGAGAAAGCTGGGGCAGATGAAAGCTGAAAATGCACCATGGTTTTCTCTCTCTCCAGGCCTCCCAGCAGTCATTCTTCCTCTAGTCACTGCTGTGGATACATGACCTGACTATCTGTCTACAAGGGATTTCCACATGGCAGGGTTTATGTTGCTAGCCTTCATGTTACGTTTGCAGACATAGTTGTAAGAGAGTTGGTCTGCCAGCGGGTCTGGTGCCTGAAGCCAGCTCCCCAAAGAGCACATCCTTGAGGATCCTGCTGTCTTCCATGTTGTGGACATGATCAAGCCCGTGTAGATGTGTGAACATGCTGGGAATGTGGGCTTGTGAGAGCCCATATTGGATATTCTGTCCTACCATGTGATGCCCCAAAAGTTCCTGATGCAGCACATGTGGAAGTCATGGAGGCGTTGCTCCTGGGGGTGTAAGTTGCCCACGACTCCCAAACTACTATTTTTACAAGGCATGTCCTCCTAAAATGCATGCATATTAAGAGCAAACAGAGTATGCCTTTTTCATTGCAGCCCTTATGGAAATGTATGCAGATTTAAAACTTCTAACCATTCAATGAAGATTTGAGTGACAGCCCTCCTTTTGTTTTCTTTACTCTGCTCATTTTGAAGCTCTCTACATCTATGGTACAATTTTCTCACATAGAAGCAGGTCAGAGGATGACAAGAAAGGGAAGGTGGAAGAAGACAAGTTACAAAGCAGAAGCATCCAGTAGCAGAGAACAGTAGCTGAGAGTTATGTAGAAACGGGTGGAAAATCCTACCCATTCTTTCTTTTATTCTATTTACCGTATTTTTCCGTGTATGAGATGCCCCCATGTATTTTGGGGGACTCCTATTTCAGACAATGGGGAGATGGCCCAGAGTTGTTGAGCGTTTTGGGAGGAGGGAATGCCCAAAATCACCCACCATAATGATAAACGCTGCCTATCGCACGCGTCACAAAAGCAGCAAACCGACGGCCCGATCGCCACCACTAGCCGGCAAGCGCACGCACAATTGACGCAGCGGAAGCCAATCAACAGCAGCCCTTGATGCATCCAAAAATCAACAACCCAATTGCTGCCGCAGCAGCCAATCCAAACCAGCCATTGCCACAGCCACCAAACACCCACCCCATCGTGTAAATGTTTTATAGTCTATATTTAATAAAGATATTGGCCTGTAGTTTTTTATAAATCTCAGATCTGTGCCTTGCTTTGGGATAAGAGTTATTAATGCTTCTTGCCACGAATTGGGTATTTCTCCTTTATCTAGAATTTCATTCATGATTGATTGTAATTTGGGTGTTATTATTTCCTCTAGTTTTTATAAGATGTTACTGAGATTCCGTCTGGTCCCGGCGATTTCCCATCCTTCATATTTTTAATCACTTTTTTAATCTCTTCAAGTTCAATATTTGAATTTCAATTTGCATATTCTTCTTCTATGTCTGGTAGTCTATTTTCTAATAGGTATTTTCTCTTCTCCCTCACCAAGTAATGCATTGTGCAAAGTACCCTTGTCATGTCTCTGACTTTGACAAGGAAACACTGAAATTAAAGAAATTCCCCAAAGAAACAGGTAAGTACGGCAGTATTGCAAAGTCAGTATTATTTCCTTGAGATGGCCAGAAGACAATGCTGATGGACAAGTGCTGTTAATTATTAAGGGGTTGAAGCATGTTGCTGCAACACATTGGGGTGGGGTGGGGGACTGATGAACGGACAGAGCATCAGGAAGTGGTACAAACGGTGAGCAAAATTTGAAGAATTCTTGGCTGGGCAAAGAGAGCAAGTTAGCCACAGTGGGATCTGCTCACGAAATAGGTTTATCTGGGAAGGGTAAAATGCTGACTTGGCTCCACCAACACTCTGCCTTTAAGGGTTCTTGTGGGGCCAGGCCAGCTCCAGGATCTGACGGTCCTCTCAGGCAGTGGAGCCATCAGGGCAGGAATCTGGGGCAAGTGTCCATGGGCCCCACTTGGCACAATGACCAGAACACGCCCCCCAAAGTTAAATAGGCTGGCATACCACATTTTAAATTTCATTCTGAAAAATTAGCTACGCCAGCTCTGTAATACTAGAGCAAAGATTATAATGCATATTGTTGTTGTAATTTTATAAATATTATAAAACGCATTCCTGCAAGCCATGTAGTCTGGAATAAACTCAGTCACCTCTCCCATCATTAATTGTAGTCATAGGAGTTCCTACATGCAAATGGAGTTCATTAATAATAACTAATAACGACTTGGAAAAGAACCTCCTGAAGCTTCGGAAAGACCAGAAAGGTTAGTTGGGATGCTGCAGGGACGACCTCTAAAGGTGTGTGTGTGTGTACTGAACTTAATTACCCAGCAGGTGCCCTTTCGCAAAGTCTTTTTTTGTTCTTTTGAACAACAGCCATGGGAAAGTTGCGAGTTTAAGAAGAAAGACGGGTGAGAGGAGAGGTTACTTGACCCTGCGCCCTCCTGGCATTTTTCTGATTCAAAACCTCCCACCAACACCGCAGGCTGCTTTTCTACTAGGGTGGGGAGGGGTGTTGGATCTGCTCCCCTGCCCTGAAGAAAGGCGCAGGTCAGATGTGGGCCCAGACCTGGCCACGCTTCGCAAGAGAGGTGTGTTGGTTCAAGGTGGCCACGCTGCCTGCAACTTGCACTCCTTCCTGACATGTCTTCCCCAAACCCCTTCTTCCAGAGGATGTGCTGAAGATTTCTATCACGTGGAACACAAACTCGTGGAACTACCTCGAGGCTCAGGCAGTGGTGAAAACCCTCCTCAAGCATGAGACGGCAGAGAGCCTCTTGCAATACGAAGGGATCAAAGCAGCTGTGGAGTCTCTCCTACCATACACGGCACTTCCAGAGGCTGGGCCGGTTACTGCAGGCCTCCATGTTCCTCGATTTCATGTGGCAAAACATGAAGCTGCCTGACGCCGCCAAGTGGGACGAGGAGATGGACACCTGATGAGCTTCGGGTGCCAGCGGCATGCAGGGCAGAAGAAGTGGACACTCCTGCCAAGTTGGCACTGCTCTCATCTGTGGAATATGTTGAATTGGTTTGTTAAAAAAACTCCCACAAATGCACGTTTTTCATTTTGTAAAGGCATAAATCTCCCAAGAGTGTCTTCCTACATAAATCCCTTCCACATCCCCGTTAAAAATGAAATAAAATTATTTAGCATTTTTTTAAAAAAACAATTTTTATTAATTTTTCAGTTTATACATCTCAAAATAAATTTTTTGCATAATATGATGTAACAATTGACTTCCCTCCTTCCCCTTTCATGGTTCATTTTACTTATCAACATTCCTGCGTATTTTACTATAGCAAATCTAATCATTTCTCCATTTGACATCCTTCAGATATTTACCATACTGTTGAATTTATCTAAACACTACCAGCGTTTTCAATTGTACACAATTGTTTTCTAAATATTCAGTTAAATTTTTCCACTCCTCTTTGAATAAAGATTCTTCTTGCCCTCTTATTCTATGTTAAACCTGCTGCTTCTGCAAATTCTATCATCTTAAGTTGCCAGTCTTCCTTACCAGGGATCGCACTCATTTTCCATCTTTGGGCTAGCAAAATTCGAGCTTCCGTGGTGTGTGGAGGTGGGGGTGGGTGTATATGCATGCACTTTGTTTGATTAAAAAGCCTCTCATTACTGCCTTACTGGCATCCCAAACCATATTTAGATCTGTTCCTTTATTATGGTTGAGGTTGAAAAATTCTTGTAGGGAACATATTCCCTTATTAACAATTTCTATATGATGTAGTATCGCATCATTTAGCCTGCCATGGTCATAAGAATACCATTGTGATCTGATAACGTCCTTGGTTGGATCTCAACCTTTTTTACTCTAGTTGTCAGGTCTTTCAAAGCCCATAACAAGTCTTTTCTACTTGAAGAATTGTTGCGTTTGAGAAAAAAAAGTGGATTCCCGGACCAGTGGGTGTCTGAGACACCAAAGATCAGTTAGATCCATGTTGGCCACCATGATGAAGAAAGCATTAGGTAGTTTCCCTTCTTTAGAGTCTGATTTTTTTATAGATCAGTCAAAATCTAGGGACACCACACCATTAAAGTCACCCATCATTATTAATTTGCCATCAAATATCAAACAGTTTCTCTTCTATAGTTTTGAAGAATTCAGCTTTCTGCTTGTTAGGAGCATATACCATATTTTTCGCTCTATAAGACGCACCAGACCATAAGACGCACCTAGTTTTTGGAGGAGGAAAACAAGAAAAAAATATTCTGAATCCCAGAAGCCAGAACAGCAAGAAGGATCGCTGTGCAGCAATCCCTCTTGCTGTTCTGGCTTCTGGGATAGCTGCACAGACTGCATTCGCTCCATAAGACGCACACACATTTCCCCTTACTTTTTAGAAGGGAAAAAGTGAGTCTTATAGAGCAAAAAATACAGTAAAATAGCCATGGTGGGTTCTGGTTGGAATTGGGATTCCTTCCTTTGGTTGGAATCAATCTGTCTAGGGAAACTGGAAGAGTGCACTTTTGGGGATGAAGTCAAACTGTTTGAGATTTACAGCGTCGGCTGTGTCTCTAGAGACCCGGCCACCCACCAACAGCCCAGAGGATCTCCCCCAGTCCCACCAGGAGATGCTGGGGACTGAACCTGATGCCTTCTGCATGCTAAGCAGTTGTTCTACCACTGAGCTATGGCCCTAGCTCACAATATTGCTGTCAGGATAAAATGGAGAAGGTGGAGGCTGAAGTGTGTATGCTCTGTGGAGGAAAGGTGGGATAGAAGTGTAAGAAGGAATAAAGTATGTCAACTAGCCTAGAAGTGAATCAACTACAGTATATTTTTAACTTACTCTCCTAATAATTTGTATATAAATTATAAAAGTGGTATATGAATTGTATTAAATAAAAAAAGAGGAAATGTTCAGACTTTCAAACAGTGTATTATGCCTGAGCCTTCATTGCTGAAACTCCCAACAGCATTTTCATGCTCACAAACACCTGATGAAGGAACCATTGTGACATAACCCATTCAAGCAGATATAAGGGGCAACAGGCTGTCAACAGTGGCAGTAGTTGGGAGCTCCCAGCTATTAAAAAGCCACAGGAAGTCTTTTCGTAGTGCCTGAGGAATTAATCCCTTATTTAACGTTCAGAATTGCTGGATCGATTTAACAGGACTGGAACTAACATTTGCTTGGATTTGGCCCCTTTGATAGGGAACTGCCTGCTGCGTCCTCCGCTTTGAAGTCACCCTGGTCCTTGGGCCTCCAGCACCTTCTTCAGCATGTCCAACCCATCTAAGAGGCGTATGATAATGGTGTTCCACTGGATTAGGAAGACGCCCCTGACAGAGAAGCCGTGTTCTACCACCTCAGCCAGACCTTCTGCCTCTGCACCGGCTTGCAACACTCCTCACATTTCACCCTACTTCACGAGGAGCAAGACACAACCCGCTCCGCTCAGGAGGTCCAGCAGGCGCAAGGTGCCGCGATTGCCGAATCTCACCGACCCCAAGTTTTTAAGATCGGTCATTGGCAGCGTTGGCCGGAAGAGAGCCCGCAGGCGTGGCAAGCCAAAGAAGGCTCCAGTGGGAACAAGAAAAGGGGAAGCGGCCTACTGGAGTCGCCATTGACATACACTCTCAGCCAGAGCCAGTTTGCCAAGCAGAAAAACTCCTGGCCGGCAAGGACAACGTCCACGGCCAGGCCAAGAACCAGCCAGCAGCCCATCTTGGAGGAAGGAAGATCACCCTCCGGGAGGGCCTGTGCAGGAGCGGGGCCAGGTGACAGCGGCGCCTGCGCAGTGAGGGGGCAAGCGGGCTTCCCTGACGAGCTCGAGGGAGCTTACAGAGAAAAACAAGCTCAAAACACAAGAAGAAAACAATTTTTAAAATAATAAGAATTGAATATGGATAGACTTTATAGGCTGCGAACCGCCCCGAGGCCTCCAGAGGAAGAGCTGTATATAATAAATAGTAATAAAATACATAAATAATTACAATAAAAACATAACGACTCTAGCAAAACGTACGTTCCCTGTTTTGTTTTATATTTTTATCTGCTGCCCTTTTCCTTGACAGGAACTCCAAGTCAGCGGCTCAGCGCCTCCGGGGGAAGCGGTCCGGCGGCACGAAGATTCCTCCGCCTTCCGGCCGGGCTCCCGGGGCCTCCCGACGTCACCTTCCCGCGTCGCCCAATGCGGGTGCCGGATGCGGAGGGGCGGGGCAAGCAGGCCCCGCCCCGGAGCGGCCTTCTGTTGCTAGGGCCGCAGAGTCGGGTAGCAACGGTGAGGAGAGGCTGAAATCAAACCGTTTGAGATTTACAGCGTTGGCTGTGTCTCTAGAGACTGATATGGAAGAGAAAGCTGGGGCAGATGAAAGCTGAAAATGCACCATGGTTTTCTCTCTCTCCAGGCCTCCCAGCAGTCATTCTTCCTCTAGTCACTGCTGTGGATACATGACCTGACTGTCTACAAGGGATTTCCACATGGCAGGGTTTATGTTGCTAGCCTTCATGTTACGTTTGCAGACATAGTTGTAAGAGAGTTGGTCTGCCAGCGGGTCTGGTGCCTGAAGCCAGCTCCCCAAAGAGCACATCCTTGAGGATCCTGCTGTCTTCCATGTTGTGGACATGATCAAGCCCGTGTAGATGTGTGAACATGCTGGGAATGTGGGCTTGTGAGAGCCCATATTGGATATTCTGTCCTACCATGTGATGCCCCAAAAGTTCCTGATGCAGCACATGTGGAAGTCATGGAGGCGTTGCTCCTGGGGGTGTAAGTTGCCCACGACTCCCAAACTACTATTTTTACAAGGCATGTCCTCCTAAAATGCATGCATATTAAGAGCAAACAGAGTATGCCTTTTTCATTGCAGCCCTTATGGAAATGTATGCAGATTTAAAACTTCTAACCATTCAATGAAGATTTGAGTGACAGCCCTCCTTTTGTTTTCTTTACTCTGCTCATTAAGATGATGTTCCATTTTGAAGCTCTCTACATCTATGGTACAATTTTCTCACATAGAAGCAGGTCAGAGGATGACAAGAAAGGGAAGGTGGAAGAAGACAAGTTACAAAGCAGAAGCATCCAGTAGCAGAGAACAGTAGCTGAGAGTTATGTAGAAACGGGTGGAAAATCCTACCCATTCTTTCTTTTATTCTATTTACCGTATTTTTCCGTGTATGAGATGCCCCCATGTATTTTGGGGGACTCCTATTTCAGACAATGGGGGGAGATGGCCCAGAGTTGTTGAGCGTTTTGGGAGGAGGGAATGCCCAAAATCACCCACCATAATGATAAACGCTGCCTATCGCACGCGTCACAAAAGCAGCAAACCGACGGCCCGATCGCCACCACTAGCCGGCAAGCGCACGCACAATTGACGCAGCGGAAGCCAATCAACAGCAGCCCTTGATGCATCCAAAAATCAACAACCCAATTGCTGCCGCAGCAGCCAATCCAAACCAGCCATTGCCACAGCCACCAAACACCCACCCCATCGTGTAAATGTTTTATAGTCTATATTTAATAAAGATATTGGCCTGTAGTTTTTTATAAATCTCAGATCTGTGCCTTGCTTTGGGATAAGAGTTATTAATGCTTCTTGCCACGAATTGGGTATTTCTCCTTTATCTAGAATTTCATTCATGATTGATTGTAATTTGGGTGTTATTATTTCCTCTAGTTTTTTATAAGATGTTACTGAGATTCCGTCTGGTCCCGGCGATTTCCCATCCTTCATATTTTTAATCACTTTTTTAATCTCTTCAAGTTCAATATTTGAATTTCAATTTGCATATTCTTCTTCTATGTCTGGTAGTCTATTTTCTAATAGGTATTTTCTCTTCTCCCTCACCAAGTAATGCATTGTGCAAAGTACCCTTGTCATGTCTCTGACTTTGACAAGGAAACACTGAAATTAAAGAAATTCCCCCAAAGAAACAGGTAAGTACGGCAGTATTGCAAAGTCAGTATTATTTCCTTGAGATGGCCAGAAGACAATGCTGATGGACAAGTGCTGTTAATTATTAAGGGGTTGAAGCATGTTGTTGCAACACATTGGGGTGGGGTGGGGGACTGATGAACGGACAGAGCATCAGGAAGTGGTACAAACGGTGAGCAAAATTTGAAGAATTCTTGGCTGGGCAAAGAGAGCAAGTTAGCCACAGTGGGATCTGCTCACGAAACAGTTCTATCTGGGAAGGGTAAAATGCTGACTTGGCTCCACCAACGCTCTGCCTTTAAGGGTTCTTGTGGGGCCAGGCCAGCTCCAGGATCTGACGGTCCTCTCAGGCAGTGGAGCCATCAGGGCAGGAATCTGGGGCAAGTGTCCATGGGCCCCGCTTGGCACAATGACCAGAACACGCCCCCCAAGTTAAATAGGCTGGCACACCACATTTTAAATTTCATTCTGAAAAATTAGCTACGCCAGCTCTGTAATACTAGAGCAAAGATTATAATGCATATTGTTGTTGTAATTTTATAAATATTATAAAACGCATTCCTGCAAGCCATGTAGTCTGGAACTCAGTCACCTCTCCCATCATTAATTGTAGTCATAGGAGTTCCTACATGCAAATGGAGTTCATTAATAATAACTAATAACGACTTGGAAAAGAACCTCCTGAAGCTTCGGAAAGACCAGAAAGGTTAGTTGGGATGCTGCAGGGACGACCTCTAAAGGTGTGTGTGTGTGTACTGAACTTAATTACCCAGCAGGTGCCCTTTCGCAAAGTCTTTTTGTTCTTTTGAACAACAGCCATGGGAAAGTTGCGAGTTTAAGAAGAAAGACGGGTGAGAGGAGAGGTTACTTGACCCTGCGCCCTCCTGGCATTTTTCTGATTCAAAACCTCCCACCAACACCGCAGGCTGCTTTTCTACTAGGGTGGGGAGGGGTGTTGGATCTGCTCCCCTGCCTTGAAGAAAGGCGCAGGTCAGATGTGGGCCCAGACCTGGCCACGCTTCGCAAGAGAGGTGTGTTGGTTCAAGGTGGCCACGCTGCCTGCAACTTGCACTCCTTCCTGACATGTCTTTCCCAAACCCCTTCTTCCAGAGGATGTGCTGAAGATTTCTATCACGTGGAACACAAACTCGTGGAACTACCTCGAGGCTCAGGCAGTGGTGAAAACCCTCCTCAAGCATGAGACGGCAGAGAGCCTCTTGCAATACGAAGGGATCAAAGCAGCTGTGGAGTCTCTCCTACCATACACGGCACTTCCAGAGGCTGGGCCGGTTACTGCAGGCCTCCATGTTCCTCGATTTCATGTGGCAAAACATGAAGCTGCCTGACGCCGCCAAGTGGGACGAGGAGATGGACACCTGATGAGCTTTGGGTGCCAGTGGCATGCGGGGCAGAAGAAAAATGAAATAAAATTATTTAGCATTAAAAAAAAAAAAATTATTAATTTTTCAGTTTATACATCTCAAAATAAACATTTTAGATAATATGATGTAACAATTTACTTCCCTCCTTCCCCTTTCATGGTTCATTTTACTTATCATCATTCCCGCATATTTTACTATAGCAAATCTAATCATTTCTCCATTTGACATCCTTCAAATATTTACCATACTGTTGAATTTATCTAAACACTACCAGCGTTTTCAATTGTACACAATTGTTTTCTAAATATTCAGTAAAATTTTTCCACTCCTCTTTGAATAAAGATTCTTCTTGCCCTCTTATTCTATGTTAAACCTGCTGCTTCTGCAAATTCTATCATCTTAAGTTGCCAGTCTTCCTTACTAGGGATCTCACTCATTTCCATCTTTGGGCTAGTGGAGGTGTGCAGCGAAAGCAGCGATCCCTCTTGCTGTTCTGGCTTCTGGGATAGCTGTGCAGCCTGCATTCGCTCCATAAGATGCACACACATTTCCTCTTACTTTTTAGGAGGGAAAAAGTGAATCTTATAGAGCAAAAAATACGGTAATAGCCATGGTGGGTTCTGTTTGGAATTGGGATTCCTTCCTTTGGTTGGAATCCATCTGTCTTGGGAAACTGGAAGAGTGCACTTTTGGGGATGAAATCAAACTGTTTGAGATTTACAGCGTCGGCTGTGTCTCTAGAGACTGCTATGGAAGAGACAGCTGGGGCAGATGAAAGCTGAAAATGCACCATGGTTTTCTCTCTCTCCAGGCCTCCCAGCAGCCATTCTTCCTCTAGTCACTGCTGTGGATACATGACCTGACTATCTGTCTACAAGGGATTTCCACATGGCAGGGTTTATGTTGCTAGCCTTCATGTTACGTTTGCAGACATCGTTGTAAGAGAGTTGGTCTGCCAACGGGTCTGGTGCCTGAAGCCAGCTCCCCAAAGAGCAGATCCTTGGGGATCCTGCCGTCTTCCATGTTGTGGACATGACCAAGCCCGTGTAGATGTGTGAACATGCTGGGAATGTGGGCTTGTGAGAGCACATATTGGATATTCTGTCCTTTCTTTCCTGACATTCCACCAACTCCATTTGCGGAGGTATCCACCCAAAGCAGCGGATCCAGGGGACTTGGTTTCAGCGCCACCTAGGGTCGTGCCACAGCCTCAGCAAAAATTGGGCGGCCCCCTGGACTTGGGTACCGGTCCCCAGCGCTCTGGCAGAGTTTCCAAGCGCCCAACTTATTTAAAGGACTATGTTGTTGGACATGTAACACTGTTGGTATAATTGAAGTACAGTGGTGCCTCGCAAGACGAAATTAATCCGTTCCGCGAGAGTCTTCGTCTAGCGGTTTTTTCGTCTTGCGAAGCAAGCCCATTGACGGATTAGCGCTATTAGCGCTATTAGCGGTTTAGCGGCTATTAAAGGCTTAAAGGCTTAGGGGATTAGCTGCTAAAAGGCTATTAAAGGCTATTAAAGGCTTAGCAGATTAGATAAAGGGGGGGAAAAGCAAAAAAAAAACTCAAGACTCGCAAGGTATTTTCGTCTTGCGAAGCAAGCCCATAGGGGAATTCGTCCTGCGAAGCAACTTCAAAACGGAAAACCCTTTCGTCTAGCGGTTTTTCCGTCTTGCGAGGCATTCGTCTTGCGGGGCACCACTGTAGGTGAAATGTAACTGATATGCTTTTGTGCCTAACTGAACCATTACGCGCAGTGCTGTATATAAGGAAACCATTACGATTGTTAACTAACGCCTTATCTCGGTGGGGAGGGGTGTTATGTACTGAAGTTCTCATCCTGGGCCAGCAGGGGGATACTGTAGATAGTTATGCAAATAAGGGATCGAAAGTGACCTTCAGTGATTGGATAGTTTTAGAAAGTTGTTACAGTTACGTTGTACTGGAGCTCTATATAAGCAGGCTGACTGAACCCTGTCCTGGCCTGTGAATAAACAAGAGCTGTTTGAAGAATCGCTGTGTCGTCTGATATGTTCACCCACAACTTAACAGGCCCCACTTGACACAATGACCAGGACCCCCCCCCCAAGTTAACTAGGCTGGCGTACCACATTTTAAATTTCATTCTGAAAACTCAGTATGCCAAAGAATTTTATTTCATTTTTAAAGGGGATGAGGAAGGGATGTATGTACGAAGACACTCTTGGGAAATTTCCCAATGCTCCAGATATTTTGGATGTGTTAGACTAGGACCTGCAAAAGCAGGGTTCAAATCCCAACTCAGCCATGAAGTCCAGTGGGTGACCTTGGGCCAGTTCCTCTCTTTCTCTCAGCCCAGCACATGAAACCGGTCCATTCAGTTCCGTATTGTCTACACGACTGGTCTTCAGCTGCTATGTTGGCACCCACTAACATGCTGCAGCCCCATCCAAGGTGGGTTGCAACCAGAGAGCTACCACCCTGCCAATATATGGGGAAATATTAAGAAATGGGTCCCCAAATGCATGTATGATTCAAAGTAGGTCCTGGGTCTTCAAAGGCTGAAGATACTTGGTTTGCGCTGATTGGCAGCAGCCCTCCAAGATTTCAGGCAGGATCTCTCCCAGTCCCACCAGGAGATGCTGGGGACTGAACCTGATGCCTTCTGCATGCTAAGCAGTTGTTCTACCACTGAGCTATGGCCCTAGCTCACAATATTGCTGTCCGGATAAAATGGAGAAGGTGGAGGCTGAAGTGTGTATGCTCTGTGGAGGAAAGGTGGGATAGAAGTGTAAGAAGGAATAAAGTATGTCAACTAGCCTAGAAGTGAATCAACTATAATATATTTTTAACTTACTCTCCGAATAATTTGTATATAAATTATAAAAGTGGTATATAAATTTTGTTAAATAAAAAAGGGGGAAATGTTCAGACTTTCAAACAGTGTATTATACCTGAGCCTTCATTGCTGAAACTCCCAACAGCATTTTCATGCTCACAAACACCTGATGAAGGAACCATTGTGACATAACCCATTCAAGCAGATATAAGGGGCAACAGGCTGTCAACAGTGGCAGTAGTTGGGAGCTCCCAGATATTAAAAAGCCACAGGAAGTCTTTTCGTAGTGCCTGAGGAATTAATCCCTTATTTAACGTTCAGAATTGCTGGATCGATTTAACAGGACTGGAACTAACATTTGCTTGGATTTGGCCCCTTTGATAGGGAACTGCCTGCTGCGTCCTCCGCTTTGAAGTCACCCTGGTCCTTGGGCCTCCAGCACCTTCTTCAGCATGTCCAACCCATCTAAGAGGCGTATGATAATGGTGTTCCACTGGATTAGGAAGACGCCCCTGACAGAGAAGCCGTGTTCTACCACCTTGGCCAGACCTTCTGCCTCTGCACCGGCTTGCAACACTCCTCACATTTCACCCTACTTCACGAGGAGCAAGACACAACCCGCTCCGCTCAGGAGGTCCAGCAGGCGCAAGGTGCCGCGATTGCCGAATCTCACCGACCCCAAGTTTTTAAGATCGGTCATTGGCAGCGTTGGCCGGAAGAGAGCCCGCAGGCGTGGCAAGCCAAAGAAGGCTCCAGTGGGAACAAGAAAAGGGGAAGCGGCCTACTGGAGTCGCCATTGACATACAATCTCAGCCAGAGCCAGTTTGCCAGGCAGTAAAGCTCCTGGCCGGCAAGGACAACGTCCACGGCCAGGCCAAGAACCAGCCAGCAGCCCATCTTGGAGGAAGGGAGATCGCCCTCCGGGGAGCGGGGCCAGGTGACAGCGGCGCCTGCGCAGTGAGGGGGCAAGCGGGCTTCCCGGACGAGCTCGAGGGAGCTTACAGAGAGAAACAAGCTCAAAACACAGGAGGAAAGCAATTTTTAAAATAATAAGAATTGAATATGGGTAGACTTTATAGGCTGCAAACCGCCCCGAGGCCTCCAGAGGAAGAGCTGTATATAATAAATAGTAATAACATACATAAATAATTACAATAAAAACATAACGACTCTAGCAAAACGTACGTTCCCTGTTTTGTTTTATATTTTTATCTGCCGCCCTTTTCCTTGACAGGAACTCAAAGTCAGCGGCTCAGGGCCTCCGGGGGAAGCGGTCCGGCGGCACAAAGATTCCTCCGCCTTCCGGCCGGGCTCCCGGGGCCTCCCGACGTCCCCTTCCCGCGTCGCCCAATGCGGGCGCCGGATGCGGAGGGGCGGGGCAAGCAGGCCCCGCCCCGGAGCGGCCTTCTGTTGCTAGGGCCGCGGAGTCGGGTAGCAACGGCGAGGCGAGGCCGGAGGGCGCGCGCGGGTGGGCCGGGAGCGGCGTGCCGGGGCCTCCTCGCTGGGCGGCGGGCCGGGCCGGGGCTGCGGGGCCATGCAGGGCTCCATGGTCCGCCGCACGCAGGAGCTGCTGGGGCGCGTGATCCGGAAGCCGCCCCTCACGGAGCGCCTTCTCAGCAAGCCCCCCTTCCGATACCTGCACGACGTGATCGGGGAGGTCAGCCCGGGCTTCAAGGGGGCGATAACGGGGGGGGGGGACCCGCCGAAAGGACGCGCGGCTTGCGCTCCCCGGTTGCCAGGCGACGAGCGGGGAAGGAAGGGAGGGGGCTTCCCCTCCCCCCGCGCCTGGTTTACCAAAGAGGAATTCTCGAAGGCTAACAGGCTTCGCCTCCTCGGTCCTGGGCATCCCTTGGGCGCGCGGCCTTGTCTAGGCGAGAATGTTCTTGGCAGGCGGCGGAAAGAGCGCAGCCAAGGCTGTCTCATGAGGCAGGGAGTTCCAGAGGGCAGGCGGGTATCCATGCGGCGCCTGCAGCAGGGGAGGGGTCCCAGTGGGCACGTGCCGGGTAAAGCAGCTTCGCAGGTGAACTGCTCCCAAGTCCCTCAGAAGTGGGGTGCCCACCATCCCCCCAGCCACGCGCCCCCGTCACCGTTCCCAGTTGTGGAATTCAGCAAGGTCGCCCACTCCCTGTCTAGTTTCTGTGCAGCTACCCCTTTTAGCAGACCACAGGTTCCAAGCCAATAAAAAGAGGCGCAGTATTATAAAACCTCAAAATTGTATAGCCTTTGATCTTTTTAAAAATCACCCGGATGAAAAGCCCTCCCATATACGCAGGCATATGAAGCCATTCTTTCAGTTGTTCGGCTTTTTAAATAAAAATAAAAATCTGATAGTAGCAGCCAGGGTTATCCCAGGTCTTATACATAAGCAGGCTAGCATAGTAGGTGGAATGCTGTTCTTTTGATTTCCACATGCCATGAAAAAGCTTTACCTATGATTTTTTGTAGGTCAGCTTGCAGTTAAAATTGCCTAGGCCACTATGGAGGGAGATAGGGGAGAGACCCTAGGGGCATTGAAGGTGGTGAAAGAATGGCATCCACCCTGCTATCCCTTCATTGCAGGTACAGTGGTACCTCGGGCTACAAACACTTCGGGTTACAAACTCCGCTAACCTGGAAGTAGTATCTTGGGTTGAGAACTTTGCCCCAGGATGAGAACGAAAATCGCGTGGCGGTGGCGCGCCAACAACGGGAGGCCCCATTAGCAGAAGTGTGCCTCAGGTTAAGAACGGTTTCGGGCTAAGGATGGACCTCCAGAACAAATTAAGTTCGTAACCCAAGGTACCACTGTAGTCTTTTAACACTGAAAAAACTACCAGATTCATTGTATCATAATTTTCACCGCAAAATAAATTAGATGTTTCTTCACTTTGGCTTGTTCCCATACTGAAGATCTTCAGAAAGACATCTAAGTAGTTTTAAGCATTTACTGAAAGTGAAAGAGTCCAGTTTGCTGGTTAATTAGTCTTATTTTTCTGTTGGCTTTTATATACTTTCATGTTTTATTTTTATTACTGCCTGGCCTTCATTAGTTACCAAATTCAGACTTAATTTTTCTGTGTTAGATCTCCCTACACTTCGTGGTGGTTCTCAAATAGTTTCCTAAGACTGTAAATGCTGACAGCTTATTTGAGACTGTTCTATAGTTCTCTATTGAGGAAGGCTTCAAAAATGGCATCTCTAGAACACCATGCAGGTAGAAGCTTCACCTGCCCAAACATGCACTTCGTTGCCATAGAGTCATATGACGTATCACACAGAGAATTTTGGAGCCCTTACGTATTACCAGCCAATGATAACATAGCAACTGACCCACAATATTCCCAAGACCTACTGGTGGCTTCTGCCCTGACATTTGAGCAATACCTTCCTGGTCTTGTAGCTTATTAAAAACTGGTTTACTCATGCTTTTGTTTTACTCATCCAATTTACTATGTCAGTGCCTTAACTGCAAGTTGCATTTGAAATGGTAATGAAGAGAACTGTCTTCAAAACTAATTAGCACTGAAAAGTTACTCACTGTTTTGGAAGTTATCTATCATAATATTATCTGAACTGAAAATTCAAGCCCATTCAGAGTCTCACAAGAATCCAAGTTCCTTTCACCTACCCATCCCACCTGCACAGATACGTATCCATGTACTTATAATATTAGTTGCTAAAAGAATGCTTAATCTCTGTACAGATAACAGTTGTAACCGAAGAGTTGTTTTGTTATAAACAAAATGTAAGAATACCATAGAGCAGAATTTCTCCAGAGGCTTTCATGGACTGTCATGATCATCTCTACCATTATCTGTGCTCTGGTAACAATTGTGTATGCTTTGGCACAACCCCCCCACTCCTGATAGAATTCTAATATATGTGAAGTGTCATTGAAAAGTCATAAAATCTGGAAACGTTAGAATTCCTATAGAAAATCAGACATCATAAATCAAGCTGCCTGTCAAATCCAGAAATGAAACACATTCTTTTCTTTTATAAAGGTAATTAGATCAACTGGTTTCATGAAAGGACTGTACACAGAAGCAGAGATGAAATCTGATAATGTTAAGGTATGCAAACTCTTTAATTGTTTAAACTTTTAAAATGAAAGTATAATACACATGCACACTAATCTGATTATATGCCAGGAAGATCACAGTTTATGCTGAAATCTGGATAATTTTATGTAACTGTGTTGCCCTACCAGGATAAAGATGCAAAAATCGGCTTCCTTCAGAAAGCAATTGATGTTGTCATCATGGTGACGGGGGAACCTTTGGCAGTGAAGCCTGCACGTATTGTTGCTGGGCATGAACCGGAAAGAACCAATGAACTACTCCAGGCAATTGCCAAATGCTGTCTTAATAAGGTAGGATCTCTACATGGAGCTTTATCCGTGGACTTAAATCTTACACAAAGTTTCCCTGCAAGCACCATACCGAACTTGAGCTGGGGGAAAAGCGAGTTTGAGGAGTCATAAGGGAAAGGCACCTTGGGGACAGTTGCCGTGGAAAAGCGACATGCCTCTCTCACCACCACCACCAACTCAGTGCTTCCCTCTTGAAGTTTATCCTCCCAGTGCCCTTTGCAGTACTGTAGATACATAGCAACCAGGCATTTGTATACAAGAGTTGGCTAGTAACAGGTCTCATAACGAGTCTCCTGTTACTGAAGATCAGGCACTCATTAAGAATTCACTGTATAGTTAACTTACAGTACAATAGCATGCACTTCTACTCAAAAGGAAGTCTCTTGTGCTTAATAGGTATCAATACAATGCCTGAAACTGGTTTAAAGTTAAAAGCGCGAGAGCAATTTCAGAATTTCCCATCAGGCAATCTATTGCGAATCCCTGCTTGCCCTGTTTGCAGCCAGTATTGCACACTTCAATCAGGCCTGATGTTCGCCCACTCTGTCCCTCCCTCCGCAGCCCAGCTGCTGGCCACAGCTTCAGGGGCTAGCTTAGCTAGGGGGCAGGAGTCTCCCCACCCCCAAGTTGAGCAGTTCAACGAAGCCCTGATACCCCTCCGGCTCGTGTGAGCCGGTGCGATGTTGGAGCTTACTAGGGCTGAGCAATGTATTCTGCCTACTTCTTCCTCTAAAGTGGGGAGAAAGAAGCAGCCGAGATACATTTAGCTGCTGATATATCACAGTGTTGAAAGTCACGTATCGCCCAGCCCTAGTGCTTAATGGGGCTTACTTCCAGGTAAATGGGTACAGGTTTAGACTTTGGTTTAAGAGCCTCTCCACTGGCAAAACTTTGAAGCTGGACGTCCACCTAACTGCACTGAATTCAGTGGAACATGCTCCTTATTAAGCATAATTAGGGTTGTTGCCCTAAAAGGAATTGTTCAAAATTGAAAGGAATGATAACTAAAGATTGTATACATATTTTTCTTTTAAGACAGAAAGAAATCAGCATTGTGTATAGGATAGAAATGACTACTGCCAAGATTATGTTTAGTTTAACAGGTTATCTCTTTGTAGCTATCCAGTGATGAAGCTGTTCAAAGAGTCCTTGCTGGGGAGAAAGCTGATATGAAAGGAGGGATATCATCTTCTAAAACCCAAAACAGAACAGAAGATCAAAGATCCCATAAAGAGGTGCTGTGAACAACTTTTGGGTTAAGGGGAGTATAAATAATTATTGTTGCCTGAGCAACTAGAGAGAAGACTGTGTTACAATTTAATATTTTTACATTTTATTATATAGGGAAGAGGTGACTCAGAAATAAAAGACCGAAACTCAATTCAAGACCAAAAACCCAAAGAAGAGATAAAAGAGGAAGGGAGCAGGCGAAAAGAAAGAGAAAGTGACAAACATAAGGATTATGAGAACCGGCACAAAAATCTTGATAAAGACAATTTTAAAGAAGGTGAGAAACATGAAAGAGAGAGAAATAAGAATAGGTCAAGCAAACAGGGAAGAGAGTCAGAGAAAATCAGAGACAAAGAAAAAGGAGATGGGGAAGAAGAAAAAGAGGAGCATGATAAAGAAAGGGACAGAGAAAGGAAACAACATGAGGGTGGAAGAGAAAAAGACAGATTAAGAGAAAAAGACAAAGAGAGGGCCAAGGACAAGGAACATGAGAAGATCAGAGAAAGGGGAAAAGATCGAGAAAAAGATAAACGAAGGGAACGAGTGAAAGAGACGGAGCAGTCACGTGAGCAAGGAAAGGACAAGGCAGATAAAAAGGTAAACGGATTTTTTTTTTAAAAAAAAGGCATAAAGTAGCCATTGACGAGAACTGTAATTAACAGATCTGTTGAACAATCTTTATATGTTTTTCTTTCTGTTTTGCACATGAGACATCTGTGTGGAATAAGGCCTGCTTGTTATGAATAATAATAATAATAATAATAATAATAATATCTTTATTGAATACCTCGGGGGTAGGGTGGGTATCAAAATCCTGCACTGGGAAAAGCAAATGAATACAAATGCAACCTGGTTTGAGAGTGGCTAGTTAAACCAAAAGGCTACTGAGAAAAAAATAAGCAGTGGCTGCTTTCTCTTTGAAAACGCAAAAACTATACAAGTTTGTCTGTAGCACTAATCAGAACGTGTGGCTCCCTTGTAAGACAAAGCTCAGGAAAAACATGGTTATCTTCATATTAGCAAAGCTAGAGATGGATTTTCAGAAATAAACCACAGGAAAATCTAGGGGCATGCTTCAGTTGCTGAACTGATTAAGGGAGTATTATGGTATATAGTCTGTTGGTTAATAGGGTGCCCACCCTGATTGTGGAAAAAGTGTATAAAATGTATATGAGAATGAAAGTGTATATGAGAATAGATGTGTTAAATGTGTTTGAGGAATGAAATCCGTGTTCCCAAATGCTTTTTACAATAATAGCCTAATACCTATGTCCAGTGAAGTAATGTGTGAAACAGTCCTGAACCCATCTTAGATGCTCCACCCACTTTTTCATCTGGCTCCACCCACCAGTGGCATGTAGCCCCAAAGGTTGCTCATGGGAGAATGTGACCTTCAGACTGAAAAAAGGTTCCCCACCTCTGGGCTAACAAACCATGGTCTAGCTCGCAGCAGCAGGAGGACCAAGGGAGGAGAGTAGCACACTCAGTCTCCTGTCTAAGAATCCTCATGTTCTCATTTGGCTTAGCATAATTTGCATAATTAGCTCCTACTAACCATTGCAAAAGTTCAGTATAAATATTTTTCTGTAGCTTACAGGATCAGAGGAGAATGTAACTAAAAAACTGTTGGAACGATCTGTAAAAGATAAAGCTGAGCCCGATAAAGAAGTAAGTAATCAAGTATACGCATTTTGCAAAGCAGTTCAAATGTTTCATTTCTGTACTCAGTACAAGTGAAAATCAGCTTGTGATTTCAAAATATTAAAGCCATTAAAAAACTTATTTATTTTATTAACATATTTCATTTGACATTGCATGAACAAACCTTCTGCTGTATCTGTATACAGCATTTGTACCCCACTCCTCTGTCAAAAAGGCTCCCAGAGCAAACTACTGATCAGTAAAAAAAAGACCATCCCTGCTCTTAGACCTGCAACTAAATGGCACAGTCCCAAAGGAAAAAGGGAGAAGGAGGAAAAAACCAAACTCAGGCAGCAGTTCTTATTTACAGAGTTCTTAGAATGTTCAGCTGAGATGGGAGCTGTTCAGTGAGAGAGAGTGAAGAGAAACTGGTCCCTGGCCAGAGTAAACGAAGGGGTCCTTCTTCCCATCTCCCCTCTGCCGCAGCCTGATGCAGTGGCTACTGCTGGGTGACACAGTTGGTGGTTTGGCATGTGAATGAATCCAAAGGAAGATGCTTTACAGTCAGAAACCCTTGATGGGGTTGAGATGTCCACTCAAGGGAAAAGGGAGCTTGCTTATTTAACTATTCCTATTTCTAATAGTCTTCCTGATTTTAATGATTCATGCTGTGGTCAGAGAAAAACATATTACAAAGAAATCAAAACGTAACCTTTTTAGAATTGTGTTATTGGTTAAGTAAACCTGGTGCTTGTTCCATTTTTTTGTTAAATATTACCATTTTACTTCTGAAAAATGCTCCCAATGTTTTTTCATATTCCAAAATTGTGTGATGCATCTTCACCTCAAGTTTATGGGCTTCTGGGCTTGAATGAAATTTGTAGTGCAGATGAAATGTCACAAGGGATTCAACTCCAGTTCATTGTTTGGTGCATAGTTGAAGAGATGGGTAGAAAATGGGTTCTAGAGAAATTCCCATACTTACACTTTACACTTTACCAGAGGTAAAGACAAAACTTTTAATAGTTATGTAAGAGAGGAAATTTCAGTGCCAAATAACAAGCGGTATCTGCCAAAACACAACTGTTACAAATACAGATGCCTTGTGCTCATTTCCTGCTATATCACTCCTTCTGGGAGCTTTTCCTATTTATCTTCTTCTTTAAGAAAAGTGTGTGTGTATAAATATAAAATATGCCATCTCTTTCTCACCTCCTTCCTTACCAATAGGGAGGAGCAGCTGCTCTTACCACAGTGTTTACACCAGTGCTCAAATTAATGGGGATGGGGAATTTATGGAATCCACACACCCCAACCCTGCTTCCTCCCAAAAATAGTAGCAAAGTGGGTTGCCACAAAAGATAAAGGCACCAAGCTCCTTCAGCACTGGTGGTGAATCTTGCTTACTCTGAAAGTGTGGAAAACTTCAGTAGACTGAAAAATTGTGTGTTGTGCCTTTTTAAATTGCGTGCTTTGTATATCTTTTCAAGAGTGAAAACGCAGCAAGATTATCAAGGCAACATTCAACAAAGGGACCAAGACAACGAGCCAAACCTGTTGGTGAAGGTAGCCAAAACAAGTATTTTGTTTAATTCTTTCCTGAGAATTCTTGAATTTGTAGCACTTCATAATCTACGGTCCACATAAGGCACAAAGGAAGCCACAGTTTCCCACTACATGAACAAGTGCTTCTCTTTTGTGTGCCAGAGGAGCTGGAAGCTTCTGCTTTTAGTTTTTAACTAACTACAATTCTTCGTAACATGAATACAGATGTACCTTGGAAGTTGAACAGAATCTGTTCCGGAAGTCTGTTTGACTTCCAAAATGTTCAACTTCCAAGGCATGGCTTCCGATTGGCTGCAGGAAGTTCAGCTTCCAAAAGAACGTTTGAAAACTGGAACAACCACTTCTGGTTTTTGATCATTTGGGAACCAAAACGTTTGACAACTAAGCTGTTCGAATTCCAAGGTACGACTGTAACTCTATCAGTCTGGTTTTGGGGTCAGGTGTACCCTAAGAAAGCTGGAATTATAAAGTACTATTAAAAAGCTATAAAAGTAAAGTACCGTTAGGTTACAGAGAAGTCATTTGGGGTCAGTAGGACCCCGTGAGGTAAAGTACTTAAACATATAAGAAAGGGGTGTGAGATCTCACATATTTTAAAACACAAAACTGCATGTTGTTGAGTTAACATGTATATAACGTAATTAGAACAATTGCATAAACATAACAGTCTAATAATCACGAGGAGTTAATGATCCACAACAACAATAAACTTCACAGAACTTGCAGCCATGGCCCACACTATTCATGTTGAATGGACAACATGAGCGCAAAGGTGATGCAAGGCCTTTCTCTTAGCCCCATCCCAGTCCTTATGCTGCTCTTGTCAGCTGTTCTTGAGTTCAGCTGTAACTGCCACAGCAAGGAACTGCTACATGGGAGGCTTGCCATGTGATTTATGACCCTGGAAGATCAAGATTCTTAACTGCAAGGGAAATCTACATGAACAGAAGGGACATGCATCACAGGGACATGTACTTTAAAGTAAGAAGTGGAAATTTGCAATCTTTTTTCTGGTATGTGAAAGAGAAGGGTAGGGGAGTAGGGAGCCGACTCATTCACATAGCAGGAAACTATGGTTTCCCCCCGTGTCTTTATCAGGTCTCTGCATATTTTAGTGTTTCTAAGGTTATAGTACTAGCTGCTGATGTTGTAGCAGGAGATATCTGTCAGTGTACAGGTTTGATAGTTTGAAGAAGTAGCACAGCCATTTGATAAATCGGCTAGGTAACATTGTGGTGAAGATCTTGATGAAGTGTCTGCATAACTCTGCCAAATCTAAACATGTCTAAATGATCTTAATAGCATATAGTACACATTTCTCTGTGAATTCTCTCATGTCAGGGCGAAAGGAAACTAGTAAAAGTGTATCTAGTGGTGCAATTGAAAGAGCAGCTAACATGTTAAAACAGAAAATTGAGCCAGTTATTACAGCACAAGAGCCAGGTAAGAAAAGGCAAAGCTCTCTTGCTTCGTCTTTGAGCACTAACTAGATGTCAATTTTTTATAAGTGCTATAATTACAGCTTTTGTTTTACCACGTATCAAATCAACATACAGTGTGTTGATGAAGTGCTTTTGAATCCAAGAGAGCTGATATACTTTGGTCACTAAGACATTGTGCTACAAATCAAAAAGTCCCTATTTCAAACCATGTGTCTATTTAGATCTCACTGAGATTCAGATTCAGTCACTTATCTTCAGTATAGTATAGTATTATTACCAATCTTTAATGGCAAGAATTGCTAATACGTTTAGGGCAGGAGTTCGCCAACCTTGTAAGTGGCAAATCATTGGGGACTTCCCCAAATGCTACTTCCTTCTGTAGCAGAGACATGATTGCTAAATGGAAAATTTGCCAGCTCCTTTCCTGAATATCCCAATAAATTTTCTTCTCCTGCCTCTGATGAGAGGGAATTGGGAAGGGTATTCTGTCCCGAACTATCAGCCTAGAAACTGGAACTGTAGTTTTTGGGTTTCCAGAACTTTTGGCAAACATGTTTAGGAGAGTTTTTAGAGGATGGAGGGTGAAAACTTGTATTGTCTTGAACAATGACCTGAAGTAATATATAGCACAGCACGTTGTTTCTTTAACCAGCTTAATGGCTTCCTACCACAAACTTTTATGCTAGGAATATTAATGGGAGCTAATATCATTGCAGCTACACTTGCAGATGAAAAACCGGCAACTGTTTTACATGGAAAAGTTGAGCCAGAAATTGCAGTAAAACAGAGAGGTAAGCAAAACAGTAGGCACTTTTCTGTGCTCTCTTTGAAAGGTTATCTTTTCAGAGCCATTGTTTCTTTGCACCGTAGAGCTTCATGTTTTGTTTTAACTTCTTTTTTAAAAATTCTCTTCCATGTCAACGCCTTCCAGGGTGTAACTTGAAGAGACTGATAATAGTTAAAGTATTAGCTTACCAGACATAATTATCATAATAGATTTGGAATTTTTGATTCCCCTGCCATATTTGTTGTAAAGAATAGATACTTTTCAACATAGTTTTTTTCTCTGAAGAGGAAATAGAGACTGCTAAGGTCAAAAGCAGCTATTACTAATTAATAGCTTGCTGCCTGGAGCAATTTTGCTGTTTTTTCCCTAGGGTGAAAATATGGCATCCCAGGACAAACTGAGGGAAACATGTTGTGTTTGATGCGTGTTTGCATTTTCCTGCTCCACTCCCCGAATCGTACACCCTGACCTCAGAGAATGTGAGCCTGTACCTTTCTAGTAGATGTACGGCAACAATCCAGTAATCAAGAAGAGTGTTTTGTGTTGCTGTCTTGCATACAAACAGTGGAGTGTCTAATCCAATTTTTAATTGCTCCTAAGCATGAGGAATAATTAGTATGCATTTATGTTGCAGGTGACTCATCCAGTGATGCAGGTAAAAATTATGCTGAATTTTAACACATAATCATTTTTAAAAATTTTAAAAGAGAATTTTAACTGTAGTGAAGTAGAGCTTGGAAAGAGACAGATTTTTCATATTGGTAGATGGCTATTAATCTAATGTTAATTTGTTTTTACATTGGAATACAATAAATGTCACATAAGCAGTAAAGGAGAAATAGATTGCCAATTGGCCTTGGTTTCATATGCAATACTGAATTTATCTCTGCAGCATAATAATGGCATCTGTGTGTGCTGGGAGGGGAAGTTCTGCTTATTTCAGTATTAGAAAAGACATTATTATTATTTATTGAATTTATATATGTTACCAGCATTTGGTATTTATACAGTTTTCAAAATGACAGACTGTTTTGTTTCATAGAAGGAGATGTTTTGAACACTGGTGCCCCTGAAAAAATTGTTGTTTCTGAAAATAGTGAAATTACTAATGAGCTTCCTCCTCAAGTCACCCAGAGGTATGTCTGTATCTTCCCTTTTATTAAAAGCTAAACATTTAGGATACAATCCAGTTTAAGTTATGCACTTAAATGCTACTTATTTCAGTTAGAAAGATTTGAACATTATTAATTCATTAATTTAAGTCAGTGGTGTGTAAACTTGCTTATGGTTTGGATTGTAACCCCATGAATTTAAACTGACAATGGCTTTATGACACATTAGATAGTAAATTGACCATTATCAGGGAATTCATCAGAGCCTATGAAATTGTAAAAGCTCTGATCAAACTGTAATACAGTGGTACCTCGGGATGCGAACGGGATCCGTTCCAGAGCCCCGTTTGCATCCCAAATGGTACGCAAGACGCGTCTGTGCACGCGCGGGTCGCGTTTCGCCGCTTCTGCGCATGCACGTGACGTCATTTTGAGCGTCTGCACATGCGCGAGCAACGAAACCTGGAAGTAACGCGCTCCGTTACTTCCGGGTTGCCGTGGAGCGCAACTCGAATGCGCTCAACCCGAAGCACATTCAACTCGAGGTATGACTGTATTACTCAGTAAACTGTGATTTGCTAATTAAGAGGTAGCTAAGAGTTCCCGGCTTCCTTTCCTCCCTTCCCCCAGAATAATTTCCCCCCTGCCCTTGTTGGCATTAAACATGGTTTAGAATTGCAAGTGCACAAATGCTAGCCTGAAAATAATAGAATTGTAGAGTTGCAAGGGATCCCAAGAGCCCTTTAGCGTTGCTAACCTTGGTTGTTGTTAATCATAAACCACAATTTGAACCCATGGTTTGAATTCTTCTGAATTTTAGATTGTAGTTACAAGAAAACCAATTTAGGAGTAAACTGTGGTTAGTGTCATGTGTATATATTTATAAAGTGTCAATAGGACCAATAGCACACAACAATGGACATTTGCTCTGGAGTGGGAATGTATGTCTCCAAAACTCCTAATTTACAAACGATGGTTTTCAAGGAATCAACGTAACACCTGCATTGGACCACAATGTTGCTGAAATATGACTTACTCCTAAGTTTGTTGTTTTATACTGTTTTAGCTTTAAAGTTTGTGGCACTTATTTTAATATGCATTATTATGCCTGAATAGAAACAACAAAGAGTATAATTAACTGTAATACATAAATTTCATATTAGAAACATTTGAGCTCTTACCTCTTTAGATGTAATCCAATTTAAAAGGTCGTCTTCTCCAATATAGCAGTACCTTCTGGCATAGCGTCCTTTGTTGTAATGAACGGGGGAGCCTGCGTCCAAGTCAGTGCATTCTCAGAGCTATGGAAAAAACAGGTCTTACGATGAATCTGATTTTGGATGCTCAAACTGAAGCAAACATTCATATTAAGTGGAAGAAGAGCCTCCTGGATAAACCCAGTGACCTATCGAGTTACAGCGCCCTGTTCTCTGAGGGGCCGGCCAGATGCCTGTAAAGCCTGAAAGGGCACAAGGGCAACTGGCCTTCAGAGACTTACTCTTCCTTCTCTGCATGTGGGCCTAGAACATACCCATTGGGGTTTGTAGCCATTGATTTCTCCGTTGATTGCTTCATCCTCCCTAAGTCTGTTTCATCCTCTTTAGAAGCCGTCCAATTTCATGGCCATCACTACTACTTGGGGAAAATGTTGGTTCGCATTATTAATATTAAGATTATTAAATTATGCAAGTTGCATTCAGCAGGAAAAGATCGGCCTCGGGTTAATTGGTTATATCCCTTCAGTCATTTATGTACAGCATTGTACATCCAATCAGCATTGTTCAATCAAAATGAAATATATTTCAATTCCGTTGATTTCAGTGGAAGTGAAGTATGTGTTTTACTGTTTGGCATTGAAATCGGTACTGTACTGTACTTTGGCTGGATTTTGGGGGGAAGGGGGTCTGGCTTTGAATCTCCTTCTTGTGTTCTGATTAGAATACAATGAATTAAGAATTTTTGCAAATTGCTCAAAATAAGTGGTTTCACACACTAATTTGTGTTAAGAAAGGAAATGCTCTTTACCTCCCTTTACAGAAGGCTTCCACGACCCAGCAGTGCAAGGCCAGCCCCACCCCGGATAAAACGCCAAGAAAGTGCAGAGGTTATAGCACCAGAGAGGTCAGGAAATATTTTATATTTCTGCTGAAGGATTGTTCTATAGTTTGTTTTATTATCAAATGTGAAGTCAAGTGTGTGTTAAACTTTCTAGGCATTTAGAAGACTAGAAGATTGTCCTCAACACAATTTTTCCTATTGATGTGGTATATTCATAAATGCAGAAATGTGATGGCTACAGCAAATTAGACAGCAGTCCTACAGCATCCATGATGATGGCATACTCTTGAGTCTCTCCTGTTTCTGCATTCGAATGCTGAGAAACATAAGTGTTTCTAAGCTCAGAGAAGAAAACCTTTCTTTTGTTTACAATATTGCCAATAGTTTTCGTTTTCATATTTTTCCACATTTTTTGGGAAGTGGCCATAAGATAATGTAGACTTTTCTCTGTGTGTCCCCACCTTCCCCAGCTTTCAGCCCCGACTAGCATCAGATGAGTAGGGCTTTGGGTTTTGCAGTTCTTGTGCCACAGATTCTTTTACAACCACACACGACTGCTCTGCTCATAAATCAGTGGAACTTTAAAAAATGTAATACTAAACTGTACAAATTTCTGATCTGGTAAGTTAAAAATACTACATCTTGTGTTCTTAAAGTAGGTACAGGTTGGATCCAGATTTGAGTTACGCTTTAGTCACATTAGAATAAATGAGACTTAAGTTAATCGTTACCTACTGGTCCCATAGTTTTCAGTGTGGATCAAACCAAAAGTAAATGTTGTGTACATTTCAGTTCCACTCCTCACCCAACTTGCCATCTTTATGGGGGTAAATAGCTTGAAAATTTCCAAAACCTTTTTATCTTTAGACAGAACTGAATACACATTTTTCTTTTAAAGAAAGGATTCTACAGTATTTTCTGCCTTGAATGATCACTTGTAACACCATGCCTAAAGTATAGTCCTGTTCTTCCTTTCCTTTAGAAATGGCAGTGCCAAAATAGTGACAAATGTCATTATAGACAAAGAGGAGGAAGAAGATGACGATCAGTTTGTTGTGGAGGCAGCACTGCATCTGCCTGAAATGGCAGAAATGGCAACGGTCGGTTAATACATTTTCTCATACAAATGTGAACCAAGCATTAACTTTGTGTTGTCTGCTGCTTCCTTTTGTCTCTTTCTGAATAGAGTTCCAGTGGTATGCTTTATGCTTGATATTGAAGCATGATGAATGGAAGTGAGTCTAAGCTGGAAGCTGGAAGCACCATTAGGAAGTTTGTGTTGTCATAGTGTATGATTAAGGAGAGGAACAGTGAATTAACAGTTACAGGAAGCCTAGAAGCCTAAAGCCCTTGCTTCCATTTCATAATTTTGCCAGAGTATGAGGTGCCCCTGATTACCTTAGAATGGCTGCTGTGGAACCCCTCCCCCTCTGTATTTTATATTACGAGGATCTGGCGCAAATCCCATTGATAGTCAAACCACATGTCATCTTGATTGGTCCATGCTCCAAGTTGTACAATTGAGCTCCCTTTTTATTTTACAGGGACGGATGATAGAATTGTAAAATTCAGTTCTCAAGTTGCCAGATCAGTGGGTGTTTTTTGGTGGTAAGGTGGCGGAGAGGCAGTCGCTATTCTTAGAACAGAGAGAATATGAACGGTCAGCTCTCAAGTATTATTGTCTCCTTACTTGCCTAGTTTTGATTTATTAACTTCCCTTTGATTTCTATTGTTCAGGAGGCAACAGTAGAGTTGGAAGAAGATGAGAAGCATGGCAAGTCTTTTTATTTTCTTAAGGTTTTCCTTTACTTGCTTGTTTGTGATTAAGTCCCTCATAACTTGTCACTTCCTATATCCTTGTTCTTCCTTTCAAGATTCAATGCGTATGCAATCCAATTCATGCTTTCTTGTCAACTACTTGCTTTGACTTGGGATAACTTCAAAATCCCTTTCCATCCTTTTTGTTCCTTGTTCTTAATGAAACTTGGCACAAGTACAATGATTTTGACACTTGTCAAGTCTTTGATAGATCCAATGATTGTAATCCAATTAAAAATATGATGCCTTCTCTTGCTGACTTTTATTATACCTTAGTTGCTGTAAGTACATTATAGGAGTTTCAGAAAGAATGTTTCATTTCAATGTTCTATACAGAAGAAACTAGTTGGATGTATGAACCAAAACTGAGCCACTATAAGCACTTTTTTTTTTTGCCTTTTTAGAGAGGTCTTTTGCAGTTAAGAACTATAATTTTTATCTTCAACAGGTGGGCTTGTCAAAAGAATATTGGAAACAAAGAAAGATTATGAATTGTCCCAGTTGCCAAAATCTGCTGAGAAGGTAATCATGCAATGAACCTCAAAGAATTGAGTGTTCTTAGTTGCTTATTCTTCAGTGTTTTCATTCCAACCTCTTTTTCAACGTTGCATTGCTCTGTATCCTACAAAGTTAAACTAATGTCAACAGATTTCCAAAGAAGGAACATTTTTAGTAACCTCTTATAAAATAAAAACACCTAGCAGACACCGTCAGGTTTTATGAAGCACGTATGTTAAAGGCTGTCTGGTTCAATAAAACCAGGAGCACTTTACTTCCCTCATCACTCCAGCAAACCTCTAGCACAAGTCATGTGTGCATCTGCGATGCTCTTGGAAGAATCTGCCCATTATCCTGTGCTTCCTAACAACAGACTTGTTGAGCCTGCGATAAGAAGATGATAAGAAACCCCATCAGCGGTGTTGGGTTAATGGCAGCGAGGGCTGGGCTGCACTGCTGATCTCTTTTCCCAGCATCGCATGTTGCTGCTGTGTTGCAGAGAAGGGGAGAGACGAGGCCGCAGAGAGCTTGGCACAGCAGCAGGGGTGTCAGATTGGCTCTGTTTCTGTGCCACTGCTAAGCTCCCTACTGCCTTGTCCCTCCCTCCTGGTAACTGGCAGCAGTGTACAGCGTTGAGAAGCCTGATCAGCAGCTCCTGTTGGTTGCTACTGTTTGATAGCCAAACAACCGTTGCTGTCATCAGGTGACAAAGTGACTTCAATATTCTTGGTTGAGTTTTGGTTATTCATAACTCTGCTGCCGAACATGCTGTGGCCTCAAGTTACAAACCTTCATATTGACCCAAATGAATCCATCCTAACCCACAAGGCAGTTCCCAAACACAGCAAGTCATACTGGGAGAGAACCAATCCTGGTTCTTTTGGACACAATCCTTTCCTCAGGCAGGTCCAAGAGAACTAGCCTCAAAAGCACAGCTCCCTCTTCACTGCGTACGCATCCTGTCTGCAGACATATACCTTCTGTTGCAGGCTGCATTGTACTTATGGCCCACAATCTGTTACTTTTTGCCCACATTCATTATATCTTTATTATTTGTTGAAATGTGTACATAAGCACAGTCGTACCTTGGATCCCAAACGCCTTGCGACTTGAACGTTTTGGCTCCCGAATGCCGCACACCCGGAAGTGAGTGTTCTGGTTTGCTAACGTTCTTTGGTAGCCGAATGTCCGACGCAGCTTCTGCGGCTTCCGATTGCGTGCAGGAAGCTCCTTCAGCCAATCAGAAGCCGCACCTTGGTTGTCGAACGTTTTTGGAAGTTGAACGGACTTCCGGAACGGATTCTGTTCAACAACCAAGGTACAACTGTACTTCATTGTTGCATCACTGAATCTCCTTGTGTGCTGGTGTGGATAGATTTTGGATAGATTTTCCCCAGGATTTTGACCTGGGGAAACCAGAGCTTTTAAATCCCTCTCTGCTGTGAAGCTAACTGGGTGTCTGTTTCTCAGACTGATGTACCTCACAGGAATGTTGTGGGAATAAAATAGATGGATGAGAGGAGAGTAGTTTATGCCGTCTTTAACTCCTTGAAGAAAGAATGGCATAAGAATCTATTATTATTATTATTATTATTATTATTATTATTATCATCATTAGGATATGCCATCCATCTGACTAGGTTGCCGCAGCCACTGTGTAGCTTCCAACAAAATATTCAAACACAAAAAACCTCAATCCTTAAAAGCTTCCCTGTACAGGGCTGCCTTCAGATGTCTCCTAAAAGTCAGATAGATTTTAATTTTCTTAACAGCTGATGGGAGGGCATTTCACAGGATGGGCACCACTGCTGAGAAGGCCCTCTACCTGGTTCCCTGTAGCTTCGCTTCTCACAGTGTGGGAACCGCCAGAAGGCCCTCGGAGCTGGACCTCAGTGTCTGGCTTGAATGATGGGAGTGGAGACGCTCCTTCAGGTATACTGGGCCAAGGCCGTTTAGGGCTTGAAAGGTCAGCACCAACACTTTTAATTGCATTTAGAAACGTACTGGAAGCCAGTGTAGATCCTTTGAGACTGGTGTTATATGGTCCCGGCAGATCATAATGAATTCCTGTAGTGGTAGTAGTAGCTAGTGCTACTGAGGAAAAACCTGTTGCACCCCTCTTACAGCTTTGTCATGTCCAGGAAGTTCTCTGCTTGGAGAACTTAGTTGGTGGACATCGCATGTAAGGTGCTTAGTCATATAGTAAGAGAGGCAGTGAACGTTACATCCTAAGCCAAACAAGTCAAAAGCAGAATCTTAAATCGGCCTTGAATGTTAATGGGCATACAGTAATGCAAATAATGTAGTTTTGGCTGTGTGTCCTTTTGCATCTCTCTGCTTTAACAGAAGGTGTGCTATCTTTGAGATCATTCTTGACCATTGCACTATTTCCCAATGGCAGAATTGGGCTAAGGTGAGCGATCTTTAATTATTAATTAGTATTGGTTTCATTGATGTGTCTCAGAACACTCCCATTTTCTATTTTTATCTTTTGGTTTTCAAATCTATCCCATATATTTAATTCACCTCTTAAACAACAATCTTGTTCCTTCGCTTCAGTCTATTTGTGTGTGTGTGTTTTTAACAATTAGGAAAAACCACTTTTGTCAGAAGCAGCAAGGAGAAAAGAGAAAGATCTAGTAGCAAAGGAAATCGAGAAGTTCCGTGGATCCATTCAGGCCCTTTGTCGGAGCGCTCTCCCCTTGGGAATATCATGGACTATATTCAGGAAGATGTGGATGCCATGAAGAATGAACTCCAGATGTGGCAGAATGAAAATAAACAACTTGAAGAGGCCCTACAGAAAGAACAAAGGTGAGAATACTGAGAAATTGCACGGTTGCCTCGCAATTGGTTAATCCGAAACAACATGCATAGAGTTTTGTGTTGCTAGTCAGGTCTGGGAGGGCCAAGCTGAGGGAGAAGGTGGGGCAAGAAAGGTGTATCCCAGCAGTGAAGGCTTCTACTGCAGTAAAATATAATGGGCGGAGTTAGAACAATCCCACAAACTTAAACGGTGTGAGCTAAGTCTATTGTCATGGTAGTAGAAGCAAATGCGCAGGTGCTGTTGCCTCTGGGGTCATGTCACCGTATTAAGCTAAAGGCAAGTGGGCAACTCAGCAGCCTAACACAAGGCTTCCCACCACTTACGTGTTGACTGGCACCCAGCTGAGCAGTCAGCCAAGCTCTAGCTCCAAGGAGGTTGGGCAGGGAGGTTTAAGGAGTACAGCAGCACTGCCTGCCCTCTGCTCAAACCAACCTCCCCTGAAAGTTGTGAGCCAAGGAGCTTCCTAGCTGCTGCCTCCACTGGGAATTGTGAGGAAGTTCCTTCCACCTGTCCTGTGCACGAAGAGGACATTTGTTTGATTATATATATTTGCCAAGTCATCTCACGCAGTGATCCTCTAAGTAACATACAATATAAACATTGGAACATACAAAATGCAAACAATTCAGAATTGGGTGATTGCACTCAGTCAACAATAAAGGACAAGTTATCTGCTCTGGCACAATCATATAAAAACGAAAACCCCTAAAACTAATTTCCAGGAGATTAGAAACTAAAATTGGAGATGCTGAAATAACATTAAATTGTTAACAGGCCTGGGAGCATAAGAAGGCCACTGCCGGGTGCTGAAAATACATTAAAACAGATGTTAGGCACATCTCTTTAAGGAGAGGTTTCCAAATACAGGGAAGGGGCCACCACCAAGAAGGCCCTCTCTTTGCCACCTTCCTTGCTTTAGTATGAGATGACATTCATAGGAGAACCTCTATAGATCCTATTGGAGCTTGGGTAGGTTCACATGAGAAAAGGTGTTCCATTAGATGCTGGGGACCCAAGTGGTGTGAAGGTTTAGAAGGTAAAGCCAGCACTTTGAATTGGTCATGGAAATAAATTGGAAGTCACTGGAAGAAGGAAAGGATGTAATATACTCGAAACACTTGTCCCAGTTAGCAATCTTATCACCACATTCTCCACTAGCTAGAGTTTCTAAGCTGTTGTTGTTGGCAACCCTATGAACAGTACATTGCTGTTGTCCAAATGGAACGTTACTGCTGAAAGATGGACTGGAAACTTTATATATAAATAAATTCCAGTAGGTGGGCCATAAAGCAGTCAGTGAGTTAGCCCTAGGCATAGGTGGGTGAGCAGAAACCTGTCAGGATTTGGGGGGCTAAGACTGAAAATGCTTACCAATCTTCCTAATCTAGCATTTGTAGCTAGAGAACTACCCAAATAGAACAGAGGAAAGGTAGCTCTGTCAGTCACCAAACTATACTTCTCTTTCTCTGCCTCCCGCCTCCTCTCTGCCTAGCATGTTCCCTTTATTGCATTCTTAACAAAACTCTGACCAACAAACTTTGGAAGCCCTCCTGAGGCTACAAAACAGTTCCAAAGCCTCAGAGACAGTTATCACCTTGGACTGTTTGATATCTAAAGCAGTCTTAGATTCTGAGGTGATCTGAATATCTCCAAGGTGGGGGTCCTTGACTCCGCATTCCATGGGAATACCCAGCCCTTCAAAGGAATTCAGGATGTTAGCATATGTGGATGATCTTGTTTTATCTGCAGGACAGTCCTTTAATTAGAGATTGTGACTTAACTAAATGCTATTCATAGCAAGAGTATTAAAGCCCCCAGTACTACTCCCCCCCCACCCTTTTCGCAATGCAACACTGACTCTTCCCACTGGTATTAATGACAGGTGGATAGTACAAAGAAAGTTATGCGGCTGTTTCTCACCCCTGCTAAGTTATATAAAAACACTATCTTTATGATTAGTATCTGCCTATGATGAGGTGTAAGATAAGGCTTAAGATAGCTATCATTCCTACTCATATCAGCTTTGTCAGGCGGATCCCAACTGTTCTTGTTTTACAGAATAGTAAACAGAGTAAGATGCTTGCCTAAAAGCAATTGAGGGCTTCCCCCCTCTGAACTGGGATTTGAGTGTAGAACTCTCAGAGCTCATTCCAACCTCCTGCTTGACTTCCTCTTCCCCTACCCACTACAGTGGTACCTCGGGTTAAGTACTTAATTCATTCCGGAGGTCTGTACTTAACCTGAAACTGTTCTTAACCTGAAGCACCACTTTAGCTAATGGGGCCTCCTGCTGCTGCTGCGCCGCTGGAGCACGATTTCTGTTCTCATCCTGAAGCAAAGTTCTTAACCTGAAGCACTATTTCTGGGTTAGCGGAGTCTGTAACCTGAAGCGTATGTAACCCGAGGTACCACTGTATAGGCAAACATTAGAGTGTTTGTTTGTTTGTTTGTAGTATGTACTTTTAGTTTCTCCCCTTACATTTGCTCTCTTTGCTTCAGATGTGTTTGTCTAACCATAATGGATTTCACAAGAATTTTTGTGTAAGTTCCGTGTTTTGTCTCAACAGTATTACAGACAGTGTTGTGGAACCATTGAAAGTAGAACTTGCGGAGCTGGATCAGTTGATCAAAGACGAACAAGATAAGATTTGTGCTAAAATGGCCAATGTTTTAAAGAATGATGAAAAAATTCAGAAGATGGTTCATAACATCAACTCAAGGAGGTGAACAATGGAACACGCGAGCTGGAATGGATTTTCTTCTAAATAGAAGAAATAAATCTTTGTGTTGAAAGAAATCTGTTGCATACAGCAGCAAATACAGTTTCAAATAAACTTATTCACGTGATGGTGTATGGCCTCGGGAGATTTATATTGTGTAGGTGAAATTTGCCATTTATTCAATGTTTGTAAAAAGCTTTAAAAAACAGTCAATGCAAAACATTCGCTATATTTAACCTATATTGTGATAGGTTTTCTATTGTCAGCAGAGCTCACTTTCCTGGATTATTTAATAACAATATACTCTGATCAGGTTTTGTACCCTTCATGTCTGGTATATGTGTGGCATTTTGAGCAATATATAAATATATTGTATGAAATTTTGGGTGTAGCTTGAATTTACTGTTGGAGTAGCTTGAAATATGACCTTTTGTTGGCAAACCCTTTAAGAAGAATTATTTAAAAATTCATGCAGATCAAGAAGCAAAATTGGGTTTATCTGTATTTCCTTAAGTCATACAAATAAGAAAGATAACAAAATAAGTTTATGTAAACATGTTAATTATACTTGCCTTTATTTATGTAGTTAAGTACTTTTCCTCCAACTAAATGGCCAGTCATGTATGTTTTTACTTTAAATCATTCTGAGAGAATTTGAGCAGGGGGTGTATGCATTTTTGCATGGAGGGGGTTTTTTTGGGGGGGGGTTCCAATTTTTTTTTTTGAAGAGTACCTGCAATACTTGCACTTGGAGACCCCATAAATCTTGGATGGTCTTGGTAATCAGCCATATTTGTGGCTTCTCGCCTTGCCTAACGGAGTACTGCCTGATGTCATACTGAGTTGTGGAGATGTTCTTAAGTGCCTCTCATTGCAAAGTCAAAAAGAATGCAGCTCTGGAATAGGCCTGAAACTTAACTATTGCATTGCATTTCCAGGGTGCTAGGAACTCCTTCAAGGCATATCGAAGCAACAAATCCCAGCTCTTCTCCAACACTTGAGACAAAAGAATCCCTGCTGTTGTCCTCTGCTTCTGGGGTGTCCCAAGCACCTTGGAAGCAAACACAATACATATAAGCCTATCCCTCCTCCTGATTTCTTAGTTCAGGAAAGGGATAGTGTGTTTGTGCAGATCTTCTGGAGCATTTGAGTCTTTCTGAAGTGTAGCCCAGCTCCTTCATGGTAATGATTTCCCAGCTTCAAGGGTTGGGACTTGTTCACGTTGCATTGCACTTGCAAAGTGCTTAGAGTGCCTTAGAAACAGCACAACTGCATGGATTTCCCATCCCACTTTACTTCAAGCTTGGAAGGACACCTGAGACTTGTCATGCTAGGCAAAAGCAGGTAAGGACACACCATGCTGTGTGTGCTTGTGGACTTGCTTATTGATGTCCCTGTGTCATATAAACACGGACTACATATAATCTGAATCTTTTGAAGCTACACCATTATTTAAGTGAATGTGATTCAAGTTTCCATTCCCCCCCCCCCCGCCCCTGGTGGATTGGATTTGAGAAATCTCATGGTCTCTCCGTTTGCGTATCTACCATCTCTCCATTTTCTCATAAAATTATATTTCTTATGGGTTAAGTATGGCTTGCTGGATGTTGCACAGGAGAAGCGTAATGTGGGATATGGTTTGAAACCTTGTGTTTATTGACTGAGAAGTCTCAGAAATGTTTAAAGCTTGGAGAAAAATGCCGTGTTGCAATAGTTTAGCAAGCTATTTAATAAATTGTGTGCACTTTATCAGTCTGACACCCTGATCAAAACATTTGGAAGTAATGACATTTACTTCTAATAAATAACACAGCTTAGGATAACAGTCTAAGCCCTTACAGAGGAGTGTATATGATTTGTGTGCTGTCTAATAGAGTTTTTGACTGAATGGTTCCCAATGCCTTTATAAAGAAGCCATCCCAAAAGTACTACAACAAATGTTTTTGCATATATTTCAAAGTAACTACAGAGCCTTAGTGTATGGTATGATTGTCATATTTGGAAAGGGATATTAGAAGTTAATTTGGGGAAAATGTCTTAAAAAGCATCAGCAGAAGTGCTGAACTGTTTTCAGCTGCAGTCTTTTCAAAATGCATATAATTGTATATAGGACTGAATTCAGCATTGAAAAAATCCCATCACATTTAAGTGTGGATCTGTATATATGGTTAAAACTGTTTGTGTTAGAAGAATCCAGCATTTTCTGTATGTGAGTAAAAATGTACAGCCTAAAATATAATTTGTATTATAAATTTATTTTCTTTTTATATATAATAATTAAATGACATATTTTTTCTATGAATAGTGGTGTTTGGATTGTAGTTATTTTTGAAAGCCAATAAAATAAGAAAGAAGACTGTTTATAGAAACAAAGTATATACACAAAGTATCAAATGTGGTGACAATATTAATAATGCAACAAAACAACAACACCACGAACTGGCTTATAAGTATAAAACCAAATTTACTAGAATAATAACTAGAATAGAGATAGACTAGTAACCGTTCAAGCAACAAACATACTTTTTTTTTGCCATGTGCACTGGAGAATATGAAAAAGTTTTTCAAAGATTGAACTGGATGAGATGTTCTTCAATAGGTCTTGAGTTGGAAACACAAAGCAAGTGGGCAAAAGGAGACCTGTTCTCAGGATATATTACAGGTTCCGCTACACACTGTGCTTGTGAATACTTTCTTTATCCTGAGCCAGTTTTGTATGACTGGCTTTTCGGACTGATGAAGCGTGCTACCCTTGAATGGTTACAAGTCTATCTCTATTCTGGTTATTCTAGTAAATTTGGCTTTACAGTGGTGCCCCGCAAGACGAATGCCTCGCAAGACAAAAAACCCGCTAGACGAAAGGGTTTTCCGTTTTTCGATGTGCTTCGCAAGACGAATTTCCCTATGGGCTTGCTTCGCAAGATGAAAACGTCTTGCAAGTCTTGCGATTTTTTTCGCTTTCCCCCCCCTTTTTCTAAGCCGCTAAGCCGCTAATAGCCTTTTAGCCGCTAAGCTTTTAATAGCCGCTAAACCGCTAATAGCGCTAATCCGCTAAGCCGCTAATAGGGTTGCTTCGCAAGACGAAAAAACCGCTAGACGAAGAGACTCGCGGAACAGGTTATTTTCGTCTTGCGAGGCACCACTGTATACTTATAAGCCAGTTTGTGGTCGTGCCGTTTTGTTGCATGTCATATAAACAGTCCATGGTGACTGCTGGGGCACTTGCTCCCTGCTGCAAGGTCTTTTCCACCTGGCCTGGAGGGCAAGGCCCAGACTCCAGCTCCTGGGGGGCACTCCTCCATCTAAACCGAATGCTGGCCAGTCAGCTTCCTGCATTTATAAATGTGGGGCTTCAATGACACCACACACATGCAGCGTTTTTTTTGGGGGGGGGGGTGTCCAGGGGGCATGATCCTACCCTCTCTCACTCTGTGTGAATGGTGTGAGGTCTTCTCAACATCGCTCACACCTCCAACCAGGCATTACCAAGCTATTTGGGCCAATGACACATTTACAAGCCAAATAAACTCACGAGCACCTCGTGTGCTGCAACCAAACACACATGGCAAGTGTGGTGTAGTGGTCAGAACATTGGACTGAGACCTGATAGACCCGGGTTCAAATCCCCGCTGAGCTGTGAAGTTCATTACGTGACCTGGGGCAGTCACTGTCTCTCAACCTACCATATACCTTGCAGGAGAAAACGGGGGAAAAGGAGAACCATGTGTGGCACTTTGAGCTCCTTGGAGGAAAGCTGGGATATATTTATTCCTATTTATGGAAAAACTTGAGGTGGTCATCGCACAGCCCTCACTGGGGGATCTGTAATGTTGCATCACAATCGACGCAGCAGGTTTTAAACAACTGAAGGAGGAATTACCATTTTAAACCAGAAGCAGTTTGACCGCTAGAATGAATGAGGTGACGTTGAGAGGAGGAAAGTGGCAGTTTAAAACAAGATTTGTATCTAGTGAGAAGGAAGTTTGGGAAACACTCTGTTGTGTTAGCCTTTTGGTGTGAGCTTCTGTGTTGAATCCATCTCTGCTCTTTCTCTTTGTTCAAACTGGTTGGTTTTTCAGGGGGCATAACTGAGCCTGGTCTAAATTTGAAATGGAATCATCCCACCACTTTTTATGCCCAACTTTTCTTTCACACAAAAGCTCAACAGCTGTTCTGAAGAGAAGAGAAAAGTAAAAGCAAAGCAAGCATTCTCCTACACAAACACACAGAGACAGAAAAAGCAGGCAGACCATCTGCCACACCTGAACAATGCCTGTTCCCCGTCTAAAACAGCCCTCTAGATTTTCCAGATGTTGTTGATGGGCTTGTGGAATGGACCAGCAACCATAGTGAAAGCAAACATTGACAAAAAGCTGTGGATAATGCTGTGTTTACTTTCTCTAAAGTTCTGTGTATTTTGTACAAAACAACAGGTAACAAAAACTTAAGACATGCTTATAGAATTGTTAGTCTATTTTTTTAAAAAAAATCTAATATAAATGCTGCAGTGCTACAAAAACATGCAGATTTCTCTTCCATTTGTCTGGCTTATTTTTTACACAGCATTTTAATTGTTGGAAGTTTATCATAATTTATTATTTATTACACAGAGCTCTCCAAACAACTTACAACACATTTATTTTATTATATTTTGAAAGCACGGCTTGAGGTAATAAGACCTCATATGTATACACCTTTCCTACTGTGCAGGAAAGTATAACCAGAATTCCCCCTTTTTTTATTTCTTTTTAAAAAATTTTAAACTCCTTTTCATTCATCAGATTACACAGCAGTGTTTGATAATAAAAATACAATACAGTAAAAACAATATATTCATCTGCCGGCAGAAGGCAGCAAAGAGGGAGCCAGTCTTGCTTCTCCAGGGTAGGAGTTCCAGAGTCTGGGATCCGCCACCTTCAAATACCTGAAGGGCCGTCAGGTTTGTTAAACCCTGTTGTTTGACAGAGACAGACACACACACACACACACACACACACACACAGCGCAACTGGCCTTCTGCCAGAGGTGTGCTGCTTCTGAACATGAATGTTCCATTTAGCTACTGCAACCAATTGCCTTCAATCGGGTTCACCTTCACAAATTTGTCAAATCCCCTTTAGAACCATTTAATTGTGTAGTCATCACCACATCAGGTGCGAGTGAATTCCAGGCATATGGACTGTGTGGAAGAAGTACCGTATTTTTTGCTCTATAAGACGCACCAGACCACAAGACGCACCTAGTTTTTGGAGGAGGAAAACAAGAAAAAAAATATTCTGAATCTCAGAAGCCAAAACAGCAAGAGGGATCGCTGCGCAGTGAAAGCAGCAATCCCTCTTGCTGTTTTGGCTTCTGGGATAGCTGCGCAGTCTGCATTCGCTCCATAAGACGCACACACATTTCCCCTTACTTTTTAGGAGGGAAAAAGTGAGTCTTATAGAGCAAAAAATACAGTAGTTTCTTTTTACCTGTCCTGAATCAGGAGTGCCAACTTTGCCCTGCGACTGTGGGTGCCATGAAGCGTGAGTGGCCCTGGCACCAAAATCTGTGGGTGCCCAGCCCCTTCACGGGCAAATCTGTGGGTGCTTGGGCCGGGCCCCCAAGGTTCCTGGCAGCTGGCACCTCTGTCCTGAATCTACTGCCCATCAGTCTCATTGGCTTTCTAGTGTTCTGATAGAGAAACGATTCTGTATTCACGTTATTAATGTTTGTTTCATAAAAGTTATACACTGCTTGATTGTAAAACAAAACAAAACTTCAAAGTGTTCCCCCCCCAAAAAAGATAAAACAATAAAATTTTCAGAAATTTACAAGCAAACTTTAAAACACACAGGAGCTAAAACAGATTGACATTCACACCAGCTTTCTAATCATCTGGGCAAGCCTGTCTAAACAGGAATGTTTTTTTAAGCAGGCGCCTCTGGAAAGAGCGCAGCGAGGGCGCCTGCCTGGTGTCACGAGGCAGGGAGTTCCGAAGGGCAGGCGCAGCCCCGCCAAAAGGCAGAGTTCTTACAACTTGGCCAGCCTCTATCCTGTCTCCTCTCAGGCATCTTTGAAAAACGGAAACCTATCGAGCCCCCAAACGCTTCAGCCTTTCGTGCTCCGACCCCAGAGGGGAAAGACTTCCGCGAACCACCTTAACTTCCGCGAACTTCCGCGAACCACCTTAAGGCGAAGCGGGAAGCCCTGGCGTGGCGGCCTTTCCGCCAATGGGGCGAGAGCGAGGGCGGCGCCGGGAGCAGCAGCCGAGAGGCCGGCCGGGCGCGCTCCCTGCGGGGCTGATGGCCGAGGCGAGGCCGGCGGGCGAGGCCGAGGGAAGCCCCGAAGCCCCAGGGGCGCCTCCGGGGGCCGCGCGGGGCCAGGCAGGTAACGTGCGCGGCGCGGGACCCGTCTTCCTTCCGGGGGGATCTGACACGCCAAAAAGAGGCAAACGCGTGTGTGTGTGTTTGTGTGTATGTGTTCGCCCCTTCATGTCAGCTGCTGACATTCAGGCTTCTTTCCAGTAAGTGGTGCATATTTATTCCGCTATTGAATTTTCCAGGCACCTATCAGAGTGGACTTGGAAAACGCTGAACAAACTAAACCAAACAGGCTTCTGCTTAAATTTACCAGGATCCTCAAGACACTTAAGCGGCTCCCTGCGCATTCGAGACGCATCCAGCGCACATCTTGCTCCGATTTACAACCTGTTACTTCTGATCCCTCTCGCTTCCCTTTTGAGGCTCAGCGAGGGAGGGATTGTTTGCGCGTGGCTTTTAGCAGTTATTCACTGATCGTGGAAAATAGCCTTACTAATATAACTAGTTAGCTTTTTTATCCTCACCATGATCTACTGGACGGCGTTTGATAAAAGCAGGTTGTATGCAAAAGCCAGTGCTTTCAAAAAAAAGCTTGTGCTTTTTGTTTTTGGAAGCACTCTGCTGGGGACTGTGGTCACTTTTGTGGGCATCAAGTGACCTGTATTCTTAGCTCAGCTGCCAGATGAATCAGGGGGAAATGTTGCTCCGTGTCCCCTGCTATTTGTTTCGGTAAAATAGGGATAATGGTGGTGCCATGGGCGTAGCCAGGAGGGCAGGCTCCTGCCCCAATCAATCAAAATTAATAAAAATCAATATAAATCCAAGGTTCTGTTCCCCGCTAACAAAAATCCTGGCTACGCCCATGAGTGGTACTTTGATTTTCTACAAACACTGAGTGCTGAATGCATATACCAGCAATACAGAAGCCCTTGCCACTCCTTCTTGGCTTTTACCCTCATTGCAATAGTGTTCAGTGTAGTGGAAAGAAAAGATACAAATTTAATTAACTAAGCACGGTTCTTTACTCTTATATTCAAAGGGTAAATTGGGAGACATAGTAGTGTGAGTACAGAATCTGCTTCCTCACCCCAGTGATAGCAGTCACCCAAATACAGGAAGCAAGGGATGTGTGATGAGCATTTGTGTGTGGAAATGCTTCAAACAGGCTTTTCTGTGTATATCTGGGGCTTTGCTGAGATGAACTTTCATGAGCAAATTTAAAGCACTTTACTGTCTTGAACATCTACAGATATTTTCCTTTTTTGGAAAAGGCATCAGCCACTCTCTGTAGCACCAGCAAAACACACACACACACACACACACGAGAGAGAGAGAGAGAGAGAGAGAGAGAGAACATTGTATTATTAGTAGGATATGTTGCAGAATACCTTCAGAATATTTAACAGGCAAATATCTCTGAATCTTACACATGCAATTATAATTTAATTTCACCTAATCAGATCACAGTGACTTGTTTGGGGAAGAAATGTAATTGTCTGCTAATGGATTCCCAGGCCGCACAGTTGTTCTCAGTCATTCTAGCAAATGGGTTTGGAGATTGTGGCTTTTAATGCAGCAAGCAATTATTCTTAATTCATGTTTGCTTTACTTCCTGGGATTCCCATAAAATGTTAATAACAGATTTCATCACAGGTTCTTATACATAGTTACTAAACTAACTTTTCATGTTGTTTTCTAGATGATGTGGTGATAGATAAGTCTTTGTATTGCAGTCTGTATGAGTTTGAAGCCCCAACCTGGAGGAAAACACTCCAAACATAGGTTTACAATCTCAGTGAGAGAATTAGGACTCGATTGCTGATGTCTAATTATGTTAGCTTCCCTGTTTTCTCTAGGTAGTTGCTAATATAATTCAACTGAAAATTGGTTTTGTTGAACCTGTTCATTTGTATCTTGATCCTGTAGGGAAGGAGTGCCAGATGATTGTGTTCATTTACTTTTGTTCTGAAGCTCCAAGCTAGGTAACAACTCTAAACATCACAAAGCACTTTGTATGTTACAAGTATCTTTTGTCTGCATTGTGCTAGGTCACATCTCAAGGAGTCCTTGAGCAAAGGAGACTGCTCAGAATATATCTAGGGACATTTTACCTCATGCCTATTTAGCTGGGTATAATGGAGGAGCCATATTATGAAACATGTTAGGCAACTTTACAAATCTTTGATATTTTTAAATGTGATGGTAAGTGGCTCGAACACCTGTTCGCTGCATGCAGAGGCATTTGTTTTCAGGACATATTGGATGATTGTAAACAATAATTATTTGGACGTTTGGAGACAGTAGGATAGTGCTATGTCCCACAATGGTTTCTTGTCAAATAGGTTTTGCTGACGTTTAGCTATTTTCTTCCCAACCTATAAAACCTATGAAAGAACATCTTATACTTGAGGGCAAAATAGTCCTGCCACATGACCTTCAAATATCTGGAAAAAGCAACAATCAGTCTGTACAGGGTCTCAAAGAGGTTGAAAATATCTCAGGCCCCACCTGACCCTCTCTGATGCAGGGCTTATCCACACGTACCTCTCCTCTGTGCTTTCCAGGCATGGTCTGTGCTTTAAAGCTCTGTGTCTTTACCGCTGAATCAGAGCAAACAGCAATTCACAGAAAACCTGAATTGCCATTGGTTGCACTTCAGCTTTAAAGAGTGGGTTTTTACAGAGAATGTTTTGGGGCAAAAGAAAGAGCTGTTGGATATGGAGCTTTAAAGCACAGACCTGAGCAAAAGGTAACTGTGGTTAAGGCCTCTCTTGTGGCCCTGCTTCTTTCTCATCCGCAGTGGGTTACTCCAGTGACCATAGCAGAACCTCCTGGTCAGGGCTGAGCTCCTGCTGAGTTTTATGACCTAAAGCAGCAACAATCTCTCCAGCACAGGTCGCAATCTGAAGGAGTGGCTGAAGGAACAATTCTGTGACCACCCCATCGAGCACTGTGAGGACACTCGACTGCACGATGCCGCTTATGTGGGAGACTTGCAAACCATTAAAAACCTGTTGGAGGAAGAGAGCTTCCAAAGGTAGCTCTCAATTTTACTGAAATGGAGCATGGATTCTCAGGTGATAAATCAAACACTTTAGCCCTGAGTACATTTTAGCCTCATGCAAATAGTCACTGAGGAACACTGAGGGTTCAAAGGGATGTATGAAGATAGGGATCTCCTGCTGATCCTCCTCCTGGGCTCTGTATGTTCCAGGTTCCATCTGCACATTTATTTCATCCATCAGATCTGTACTGTCCATTTTTGTAGAGTTCAGATTATGGGTAGCCTTCCTTATGAATTATTAAGGCGTACGTAATTCTGGGTGTATGTATCTAAGCTGGGGTTGCATATACCGTATTTTCGCTCTATAAGACGCACCAGACCATAAGACGCAGCTAGTTTTTGGAGGAGGAAAACAAGAAAAGAAATATTCTGAATTTCAGAAGCCAGAACAACAAGAGGGATCGCTGCGCAGCGAAAGCAGCAATCCCTCTTGCTGTTTTGGCTTCTGGGATAACAGCACAGCCTGCACTCGCTCCATAAGACGCGCACACATTTCCCCATACTTTTAGGAGGGAAAAAGTGAGTCTTATAGAGCAAAAAATACGGTAAGTTTGGGTGTGCATGTGTGCAGTCAGTGACAGACTGTTTGCATCAAATGGATACTGGATGGGGCTGATTGGAATCGTAGTCCAAAACAACTGAAGAGTGGCAGGTTAGCAAAGGCTGCATGTGATTGTGCCTTATATATCTATGTAGACATGATTTTATTCCCACGCTGTCAGAAAATTGTTGTTATGGATAACATAGGACATCCAGGGAAAGAATCCAGAGAGAGAAAAGTTGGTGTTTGTTCTTAATTTTTCCCCACATATGCTGAGAACAGGGCATGCTCACAGGGGGAAGCAAGGCAAGATCCAGGCACACTCATGTATTACTTAGTTGTGCTGCTTTTGCTTTCTTCAGCCGCATCAATGAGAAATCCGTGTGGTGTTGTGGTTGGCTGCCTTGTACGCCGCTGCGGATTGCTGCCACGGCAGGACATGGAAACTGTGTGGATTTCCTGATTCAGAAAGGGGCAGAGATTGATCTTGTGGACGTGAAAGGGCAAACTGCCCTGTACGTAGCTGTTGTGAATGGGCATCTGGAATGCGCACAGATCCTTCTGCAAGCCGGAGCTGACCCCAATGGGAGCCGTCACCACCGCAGCACCCCTGTGTATCATGCTGCCCGGGTAGGCAGCACTGACATCCTGAGAGAGCTGATCAGGTAAGTACAGAGTGATTTTGCTTCATCTTTGCCCAGGAGCCAATTGCTGGTCAGCCAAATAGGGTACATTTGCTACGGAAAGGATTCTGAGTTGTCCAATTCCAACAGGGAGCAATTGTCAGTGAGAGAAGATAGGCAGAGTTGGGGGAGGGTCCTCAGAAAATGGAAAGACTTGAGAATTCCATTTTTAGGGTAGGAGAAATTCAGAATCCTTTCAAATATCTACACTTCTTTTTCTTCTCTGCAAAATTTAATGTGTTACCATTCTGACAAAAACGTGCTCAAGACGGCACACTTTTATTCTTCCCTTCCTGACCATTCTGAGAATAAGAACATATATGAGTTATTCACCCTGCAGCTGCAACATCACATGCTGATGGCTGGCATGTGGAACAGGGATTGCAGGTCAAAGACCTTCATGTCCCCTCTTGAAGGTCTGGTTTTCCATCTTCTCTCTTGCCAAAGTTAAACACTTAAAGTCCCATTTTGACCCCACCTCTCCACCCTCAAGGCAGCTGGTAATGAACGAGTCATAAAAACATCAAAAATGGTTAAAAATATGTCTCACCACTACAATGAAATTGTAGCCAGCAAAATTCAAAGAGAGAAGCAACAAAGCCAGAAACAACCCCTGGTATGGGAACCAGACAGATTACAGCCTTCACCAATAACACATTGCCTTAACCTGGGGTCTGAAGGCAGATAAAGAGTTGGCATTCTAGGGCAAATATGTCCAGAGCCAAACAAACAGACAAATAACCCCTGGGATTGCCACCTAGTGTCTACTCAAGAGCCACTCACACCACCAGTCCCAAGTCTCTAATAGGTGTGCCTTCCAATAAACTTGTTGAAGGCTGGGAGATAAATGCCTACAATAGATAAGATAGATACACATTCTTAAACACCCATTAATTAAAGACCACTTTACTTAGTTAGGTGTACACATAAAATTTTCTGTATACAGACCTGAAAAGCTGATGTTTGAAGTGTCATGTCGCAGTGGAGGCAGCTGAGCCGTTCAGTTCTGTGAGCCAAACCACGTGTGATGGTGGCAGACCCACATGTCAGAACCACATCCAAGGTTTCTTGCATCTCCCTGATCTATGGATCAACAGCCCCTTTGGTGTAAGGTGATGGTGTGCAGATTTATACTTCTGCTGCAAGGACTCTTGGCCAGCAATATTAAATGTAGACTTTGGAAAGCTTTCAAGTTTAAAATTAACTGACCCTGGCCAATATCTTCTCATTAAATAATTTCTCTATCATGATGACTATGCTAATACCAGATTGTCAAGTTGAAATACAGCTATTAATCAGTTTAAATTGCTTTGTGGAAAGCTTAAAATATCAGTTATGCCACTCATACTACAGAAAATGCACTCGTCCAGTAAAATACAGATACATACATATGCCCAGCTGCTAAAGCAAGCAAACAAAATTCCACATCCAGTCTAGCTTGACCCTAAGAATTATGACCTAAGCAAATATACTTTTTTTTGGGGAGGGACTGTCTTATGTTAGAACATCTCTCAAATACATTTTTGACCTGGGTACATGATAAATCATCCATCTGACACATGCCCTAGTTTAGCAATGCATGCAGCTACACTGAAAGCACACCCGTGTCCCCATTTCCAATTCACAGAGTATGTGGTTTATCTGAGATGGCTTTTCATGTGTCTGTACGGGAAAAGAAATATTAGAAGGTCTGAGAAGTGAATACATTTAATATTGCTTCTGCTTCCCATCCCTCAACTAGACTGCAATACAACTTTCCAGGTGCATGTCAGATTCGTCTCCTGACAGCCATTCAGAAGCAGGGACACCATTTTTTATTTGGGGTGCTGAGAAATAAGGTTCACAGCAAGATTCCGTAGGCCATTCTTGGATATTTTCAAAATTAAATTGCAAAACAAAAACAGTTGGAGCTGAAAAACCAGGATGAGCAGAAAGCAAATAGCCACTGCCACTGTTTTGCAATTACTTGGGCAAGTGTTGCTCAAACTGATAAGTTCTACAGCAGTTCTTATCTTTCAAACACTCTTACAGAATCAGAAAACATATTAAAGATTTAGCTTCACTTTTCAGCCTTTCCATGGGCAACACTCTGGCATGAGAGGCCATGGATGCTTTAGCTAAGATTCCAGCATTGCATGGGTTTGGACTTGATGACTGGGGTCCCTTCCAACTCCACAGTTCTAGGATTCTATCAGGTAGAGCAGCCTTTTCATGAGTAGGAGGCTCTTTCCTCATCATGTGAAAGGGTTCTAGAGAATTCCCTCTTCTGAAAGGCCAAATCAGAAAACAAAAACTGTAAGCAGACCATGTGCCACCCCATGATTTTATGTAGCCTGACTAGTCTCTGAGCCTGCAGATAGTGCTGACTGACTTCACAGGGAATTGTCTGCGTTCTTCAAAGTGGTATTTTCCAGCTTCGCAATGACTAGTAAGTTCTACATACAGACATAACCAGGACTTTCCCCCACAAACCTGGCACAGAATAATATCACCCTTTCCTTATTAACCAGGGAGTGGAGGTAGAATGGAAATATATAATTAGGAAAGCAGAACCTCATTCTTAGACTGTTTGGATGGGAAGGGAAAGTTATTCCAAAGTCATATAATTACTCCATAGGGACATTTGGAGACTCTGCTTAGAGTGGAATCCCCTTCCTGGTTACAGCAGAGCCAAACACAACTGCTCTGCTTCTGGTGACTTTTGCCTTGGCAAGCGCAACTAGTCTGCAGGATTTACATTTCAAACAAACATGTTGCTCTCAGTGATAGCTTTGAAATCCTGCTCAACTCTTTGAGATCTGTCTAGCAATAAACAGAAAACGAATACTTGGCCATTTATTTGACGAGCTGCCATTTCCCGCCTTCCCTTTTTGCTGCTGCTGTCCATGCTTTTCTACTCTGCCAGCCGTTATTATCACAAAAGGTTGGTTTCCTGAAGGTGTGTGCATCTTTGTGTCTGTCAATAGTGAAAGTCATAGGAGGAGATCTCTAGAAGGCAACAAGTTCAGAAATGATGTTGGTGTTTGTGTGAGTTGACAGCACTGGAACAGTCACATTAAAGGGCCAAAGAGGCAGGAGAGGTGGTAAGCAACCAAAAATGGGGCTACCCCAGTGGCACCCCCAATTCCCCCCCCCTCTCCCCCTTGAGTTAGTATGGGATAGAGGAGGAAGATCAGCACAGTAATACTACTACTTCATATTAATAGAGTACTTCTAATATTCAAAGTACTTAATATGCATGATCTAAAACAGTCCTCTGGTCTTGTTGTTATTATTATTTGCATATAGCAGGGAGGGGGACTGAAGGCAAAAGGCAGAGGCTTACCTAAAACCGTCTTGTGAGTTCATGGCTGTAGTAAGAATTGCACCAGCCGTCTCACAGCCCAGTCTCTTAGCCATTGCTCACTTCTAGTTAGGGAAGACGTGTGAGTCCAGCCCAGAGAATCTAGCCAAGGCCTATTGCAGCTCCCTCTGCTGAAAGCTGAGCTGCTCATGTGCTTTGCCTTTTTATTGACTTAGCAATGACTCCCTTGTGGGAATTCTATGGTTGTGGTCAATATTCAGATATCAGAAGGTAAAGTTAGTGTGTACATTGCAGCCACCAATTTTCCATTTCAAAACAGCATCAGCTTGACCACTGCACTCATTTCCAACAAGGCCAGGAAAGGTGTAATATGCCTTTAACACAGCCTCTTTCCTGAATACTGAGACACTGCATGACTGTGAATTTGTCTTAGGTTGGCCCCTGGCCCACCTATTTTGGGGAGTGGGGAGGAATAATAATAATGATTTTATTATTTATATCCCGCCCATCTGACTGGGTTGCCCAGGAAGGATTCAAAATACAGTGGTACCTCAGGTTACAGACGCATCAGGTTACAGACACTTCAGGTTACAGACACTTCAGGTTACAGACACTTCAGGTTACAGACACTGCTAACCCAGAAATAGTACCCTGGGTTAAGAACTTTGCTTCAGGATGAGAACAGAAATCGTGCAGCGGCGGTGCAGCGGCAGCGGGAGGCCCCATTAGCTAAAGTGGTGCTTCAGGTTAAGAACAGTTTCAGGTTAAGAATGGACCTCTGGAACGAATTAAGTTCTTAACGTGAGGTACCACTGTACATTACAGGGCAGAATCTCAAACCTCATGATCTTATCAGTAATAAATGCTGGAGGATTTTGTCAACACTTAACCTAAATTCTTCCGAAATCTCCCTTAAGTTATGGATATGGCATACTGTGGCCTGCACTGAGGGGGGTGATCCATGCATGGGGAGAACTGTACTTAATTGAGGCAGGAGATCAGCTGGAATACCTTTAGTAACTTTTGGTTCTGCGCTTCTGCAGTCCTGTTGGACTGGCTCTTTTAAGGAATCTGTGTCCCCTCATCCCTCTCCTCTATTGGGCCACATTTTAGACAACCTCAGTCTTATGCTTCGCAAAACAGTCAGGATAGCATATGTGATTCTTCATTTTAGTCGGGGAGAGCTCAGTCTGGGCTTTCCCCCAGTTTTCCCACAGAGGGCGGCACAATTCTTTCGCACCAGCACATCTCTGGAGTCTTGGCTTTCATAGTTTACATTCTGAATATTGCTAAACACTCTCTGTTTCCATCTTGTCATGTGAAAGCTATCCTAGCAACTAGCAAGCTGGCTACTTGGCAGATATATATTCTTGTCTGTAACCACATGCGGTGAAAAGCAGATTTAATTGGCACTACCTTTAGAGAGGGATTTAACAAAGCCTCTTTGCCTCACCCTGATGCTCATGTGAATTTGTAGCTTCTGAAACTGAAGGGGAGAGACAGGAATTGTCAGTGCAGTGAGAGGCAAAGAGGGCAAGGTGGCCAGACGGTGAAAGAAAAACCCAGCCTGAACCTGACAGCACAGGGAGCCAGTATAGCAACTGAGAGCAAATTTGATGATGCAGATATAGTCAGAGAATTGTAGAATTGTAGAGTAGGAAAGGACTCCAAGGGTCCTCTAGTCCACTCCCTGCAATGCAGGATTCTCAGCTAAAGCATCCATGACAGATGGCCATCCAACCTCTGCTTAAAAATCTCCAAGGAAGGAGAGTCCACCACCTCTCGTGGGAGTCCGTTCCACTGCCAAACAGCTCTTACTGTCTGAAAGTTCTTCCTGATGTTTCAGTAACTTGAATCCACTGGTTCAGTTCCTACTCTCCTGTGCAGAAGAAAATCAGCTTGCTCATCCTCCATGTGACAGACCTTGAGATATTTGAAGATGGCTATCATATCTCCTCAGTCTCCTGTTTTGCAGGCTAGACATACCCAGCTCCTTCAACAGTTCCTCATCAGACTTGGTTGAGCACCCTGATCACCCTCCTCTGCACATGTTCCAGTTGGTCAATATTCTCCTTAAATTGGGGAACCAGAACTGGATACAGCATTCCAGGTGTGTTCTGACCAAGGCAGAGTAAAATAAGACCATTACTTCCCTTGATCAGGATCTATGCTATTGTTGATGTAACCTAAAATAACATTAGTGGGGGTTTTTTTGTTTGCTGCTGCATCACACTAACTCATGTTAAACTTGTGTTCTGCTAAGACCTCCTCTTCACATGTACTACTGACTGGGTGTCCCCCATCGTATATTGGTACAGCTGGTTCTAAGTGTAGAACCTGTTGTTTGTCCCTATTGAAATTCATTTTTGCTTGGGACCAGTTATCCAATCTGTTAAGGTCACTTTGAATTCTGATTCTGTCTTCTGAGGCATTAGCTACGCCTCCCAGTTTGGTGTCATCTGCAAATTGATGAACACCCCACAATCCCTTCATCCAAGTTGTTTATAAAGACGTTGAACAACAACAGGCCCAGAACAGAACCCTGCGGCACCCCACTTGTCACATTTTCCCAGGATGATGAGGAACCTTTAAGGAGCACTCCTTGGGATCAGTCAGTCAACCAGTTACAAATTCACCTAACAGTTACCTTATTCAACCCACATTTTACCAGCTTCTTCACAAGAATATCATGAAGAACTTTGTCAAAAGCCTTACTGAAATCAAGACACACTATGTCCACAGCATTCCCCTGACCCACCAAGCTTCTAACTCTATTGTTAAAAAAAGAGATTTGTCTGGCATAACTTATTTTTGAGAAACCCATGCTGGGTCTTTGTAATCACAGCCTGCATTTCTGAGTGCTAACATACTAAATGTTTAATTATGCTTTTTAGGACCTTTCCAGGTATCAAGCTGTCAAGCTGACTGGTTGGTAGCTACCTGGATCTTCTCTCTCCCTGCCCCCCTTTTGAAGATGGGGACAGCATGGGCCCACCTGCAGTCTGCAGGGACCTCACCTGTTCTCCATGAATTCTCAAAGATTATAGACCGAAGCTCTGAGATTACATCCTCAAACTCCTTTAGTACCCTTCAGTGAAGCTCCTCAGGCCCGGAGATTTAAGTTCATTTAAAGTAGCTGGGTGTTCCCTTCCTACCTCTTTTCCTGTCTTGGGCTGCAGCTCCCTCCTTACATCATTTATTCTGTTATCACCAGGTTGGGCATCACTTTCCTTTTGGGTGAAGACAGAGACAAAGTAGGCCTTCACTCTGCCACCCAGAAGCATTTCTCCGTCTTCTCCATGCAGAGGACCTACCACTTGCTTGACTCTCATAGCCAAAGAAACCTTTTATTATTATTTTTCACCTCTCTTGCAAGCCTGAGCTCATTTTGAGCTTTGACCCGCCTGACCTTCCCTGGGCAACTGTGCTACTTGTGTATCCTCCTCCTTTGTGATTTCCCCTTTCTTCCATTTCTTCTCCATGCTCCTTATGCAGCCACACCAGTTTCTTTAGTGCCTCATGCTTTTCTTTCTTGTTGGAATTGTCTTTATCTGTTGTCTGAGGATTGCACCTATTATGTATTTATTGCATTTATATCCTACCTTTTCTCCAAGGAGCTCAAGGTGGTGTTCTTGGTTTTCCTCCTCCTTCTTTAATCCCCACAGCAACCCAGTGAGGTAGGTGAAGCTGAACCAGTAAGCTTCATATCCAAGTGGGGATTTGAACCTTGACTCCCCAGGACCAAGGCTGACCCTGAAAACACTGCACCCCACTGGCTCTCACCTAACGCTAGAGGTACATAATCTGGTGGAGGACGACCATCTCCTGCTTGACTTCACAAGGTTTTATTCCTATCCCTCTTGGTCCAAGGCACATAAAGTCCAACAGGGCAGGAATTTGCAGCTTGCCTAGCAACCATCTCGCCGCCACAAAAGAGCTTAATGAAAGCAGGGTTGCCATAGTCTTTCCAAATGAATTTCATTTTCTTTCCTCAGGTATGGCGCTGATGTGGATGTAAATCACCATTTGATCTCGGGACCCCAGCCCATCTTCCCGGCCGCTCACCTCCCTGGTGGTCTGCCCCTTGTACATTAGCGCAGCCTATCACAACCTGCCGTGCTTCCGGCTGATTCTGCAAGCGGGAGCCAACCCAGATTTTAACTCCTGTGGTCCCGTCAACATCCAGGGCTTCTCCAGGGGCTCTGCGGTGTGTGTCATGGATGCAGTCTTGAGACATGGGTGTGATGTGGCTTTTGTCAACCTCTTGATTGACTTCGGTGCCAACTTGAATCTGGTGAAATGGGAGACTCTGGGAGAAGGAGCTACAGGAAGGATCAAAGTGAACCCAGAAGCCTTGCAGGTGTTCAAAGAAGCCAGGAGTGAGTGGAAAAAGTTATTTTGGCATTCATATTCTATCCCTGCAAAAGGAGTGCGTAGTGAACTGAAAGTACCTCTATTAGGGTTGTCAGCTGGTTTAAATTTTCATTGGGGATTTTTTTAACTGATGAAAATGGGAAAATGTTTTTAATACATAACATGGAAATTTATTAGTATCTGAATATGATTTTCATTTAAATAATTATAGTAATTTATATAGAATTTTCCATATGAATTTCAAAAGCAGCACACAAACGAAAAGCTAATAAAACACCCATAAAATAAAATAATTTAACTAAAACAAAAAAAACAAAAAAGAAACAGAGCTACAATCCACATTAGAGCCAGAACAATTAATGAATTCCTTTTCAAAGGCCAACTGAGACAGAAATCTTTTTGCCTATTTTGAGTAAGTTAGCAGGAGGAAGCTGTAGGAATCTTGTTGTGACCCACAGTACTGGGGTCCCTACAAGGAAGCCCTACTCCTTGTAAACAAGGTTTTAGAGGTTTTACTATGGTCAATTGGTGTATAAGGTTTGTTTACTGTAAACAAACAAATAAATCTAGGCTCCTCATAAGATGGAATTCAGAGGAGGAGCTCATCAGTACTGCAGAGGTGGGTGTGGCAGGGACAGTGTTATTTTTCTATTAAAAGAAGTGCCGGAACTCACCGTGAACACCTCCCTCATTCTCTTAAAATGGCCATGGCGCCCACCTGAGAGGGGCCAGAACTGAGTTCTGGTGAGTTCCGGCTGAAAAAGCTCTGCGCATGGAAGTCATGCAGGAGGCGATGTTCCCTGAGATAATAAGGATTAAATAATCATCATAAATCATCTATTTATACCCTGCTCTTCTACTAAAAGTAGAAGAGTGCAGAATACTACATAATAATAAAACCATATAATATTAAATTTGATAGGCAGTACAGATACAACTACAATAAAACCTGTTTTAGTCTTTACAAGTAAGAACCAGCCCTTTGAGTTGGGCCTGGGAACAGACAGCTTTCCGTGTCATGTGGCCAGCAGGACTAAACCGCTTCTGGTGCAATGGGACACCGTGACGGAAACCAGAGTGCACGGAAACACTGTTTACCTTCCCGCCACAGTGATACCTATTTATCTACTTGCACTGGTGTGCTTTTGAACTGCTAGGTTGGCAGGAGCTGGGACAGAGCAACAGGAGCTCACCCCATTGTGTGGATTCAAACTGCCAACCTTCTGATCGGCAAGCCCAAGAGGCTCGGTGGTTTAGACCACAGCGCTACCTGCTCCCTCAGGGTGCCTGCCTAATATCAGTGGGTAGGGAGTTCCAGCTGTAGGTACTGCTGCACTGAATGATCAATTCCTTGCAAGTCCAGAACAAACATCATGAAGTATGTGTAAAAGTGCCAGTTCTTCAGATCAAAGCAGTTGTGTGGGCACATACAAAGTAAGGCAATCCTTCAAGTAAACTTGAACCTAAGCTACTGAGGACTTTTTATATACGAATAGTACCACCTTGAATATGGCCTGGTAACAAATCAGCAACTAGTGCAGATTTGTGAGCAGCAGTGATATCCAACCAGCTCCTTCCTGCAGAGTCACTGCTTAGTTCTTACTCTCCCTGCTTATGGCTTTTCCACACTTCCACTTGTCTCGTGCCTAGAAAGCAGGGGACTGAGCGTTTGCTACTCCGCTTTCTGGGAAAGTGCTGAATCGGAGCAAACACCAATTTGCAGAAAGCCCGATTGACATTCTCTCCAGTTCAGCACTGCAGAGTGGGTTTTCCCTGGATGAAAGCGGTGAGCCCTAAGTTCTGCTTAGAGCTGGGTGCACCTCTCACTTCTGCATGCAGCCTAAAGGTATTAACTAGGCATAGCTGTTTGTGGGACTAGGAGCTGTGGGTCTGCTGTGGTATTCAGTTGTTTCTTTTTCTCTCCTTGTCTCTTTCTCGTGTGTTGCATTACAGGCTGCCCTAGGAGTCTGATGTCTTTGTGCCGCGTGGCAGTACGAAGGACACTCGGGAAACGTCGTCTGCACCTGATCCATGCTCTTCCAGTGCCAGACCAAATCATAAATTTTTACTCCATAAACAGCAGTGAGGTCTCCTTGGAAGTTTTGGAGGACAATTTCCTTTCCTTCATTGTTTCCCCACCCCCACCCCTTTAATGAGGATTTTGCTTTTTTTAAGAGTGAGCAATTGAAAACAGGAAGAATTGTTTGTGTTTGTTTAATGCTATAAAATTATTTTCATGATATTATTTCTGTTAATTATTCTATATAATTTGGGTTTTAGCAAAGCTGCTTCCTGGTGAATTTGATCTGATGTGTTACAGTGCTTCACGTATCATGAAAAAGATAGGGCATGGTCCTATAGCTTTAGTGCAGACAGTATTTGTTTTTAGTAGTGTGGATGTGTTTATTTAAAGCATGCGCTGTTGTTCCAAAAGCAGCTCAAGGTATTTATTTAGCAGGCAGTGTGGCAAGGCTGTGCCTCCGGGCTGCCACAGACGCCTCACCCTTCTCCATCCTGGGATGAGGCAGCAGCTCAGCCAGAGGGAGGCCAGGTGAGCAGTGCTGCTCCTCTGAGGGCTCAGGATGAGTTCTGCAGTCATAGGCAGCAGAAAGTAGTTCAGGGTCGCAATCTACATGGTTTTGGTTCCAAGACTTACCTCATCCCTCGCCATACGGCCAACTCCAACAACCTACATATTCCCAGTCGTGCCTTCCCAATACAAATTACATATATGTTTTGAAATGCACTCATCTGATTTTTTCATGCTATTCAAATAATCACCAGTAAATTATTGTTGCTGTCTTGATGATTAGCTGTTGTGGAATTTATTCCAGTTTCTTTTCAGCACAGTGTAAAGTATACTAAAAATCTTGTCCATCAGTAGCATGAGGTAACCACAGTTCTGAAGCATTTTATCTTGTGTGTATGTGTTTAAGAAATCATGTTGGCTTCAAAAAATCTTCAAGGTAAGGCGAATGCAGCATTTTCTGATGTCCAAAATATGTACCTTTGGCTCCTAATGCTATTCATATTTATTATTCACAAAGCACCTGCATTTTTCTATGTGCTGTAAAAATATTTAAAATATTGGTTGTATCCAGTGTAGTGCAAGTAGAGTTCCTCCTACAGCAGGACTCCAAGCCTTTGGAGCAGATTTTGAGGATGCACAGAGTGGACGCACAGGGTGCAGGAATCATAGAAGAGTTGGAAGGAATCTCAGCCAAAGCATCCGTGACAGATGCCATCCAACATTTGCTTAAAAACCTCCAAGGAAGGAGGTTCCGCCCGAGGGAGTCTGTTCCACCATTGAACAGCTCTTCCCGTTGGAAAGTTCTTCTTGATGTTTAGTCTGACTCTGCTTTCTTGTAACTTGAAGCCATGGGTTCGAGTCCCACCCTCCAGAGCAGGAGAAAACAAGCTTGCTCTGTCTTTCATGTGATAGCCCTTGAGATATTTGAAGATGGCTGGAAGGGAGAGTCTTGTTGTGCATACAGAAGGCGCTTCCACTGGTGCCCTCTTACTGTTGGATACAACCATAGTCCATGACCACAGGTTTACAATCTACCACCAGACTTTTTCTCAGTTAACAGGACTTGAGTCTGATCAGCTGCATTGATCACTGCCATTGCACAAAGAGAAAAGTGAAGGCTCACAGGGAGGGTAGAAATCATTGTTTTGCTTATATAGTCAGAGATATCGCAAACCCAGTGTGTAAACAGAAATTGTACATACAAATAAATATGTGTGGGCTGGACTGGGATCATGCTTGCAGAAGGGGCTGCATAAATAGGTTTTCTATGCAGGACCTGTACCCTGTGAGAATCCTACATGTGCTGTGCATTGAGTATAGGCCCCTATGCAAATGAGGTCTTGAATGTGGGCTGATGAATGCAATCCTGGGTCTCCCTCCATGCAGTCCTTTACACTGGATGGCCATCTGCCTGGGGCTTCAGAGTTTGCTGATTTAGTGTGCTGCTGTTGTGAATCGATGCTTTCTAAAAACCACTATAAGGGAATCCCAGGACATTTTACCCACATATCCCATTCTTCACAATCTCCACCTGTTTTCAGGCTATTGTCTTTATCTTCAGTGTCTGTGACTCATCAGAGCTAATATTAATATTTTGTTGGAAGCTACCCAGAGGGTAACCCAGCCAGATGGGCGGGCATTAATACATAATAATAATAATAATAATAATAATAATTTATTATTCAGGATCATTCTTGACTATATTAAACCTGGTATAATTAAAACTCCAAACTGCAGTGGCGGAGGGTTCTTCTCTCTCCTTTCACTCCCATTCAGCATTGAAATCAAACTTTCCAAACTTTCTATGAGCTCGTTCATTTAAGAATCTTAAAACAAATCTATTGAACACTGTCAATAGAATCATAGAATCATAGAGTTGGAAGAGACCACAAGGGCCATTGAGTCCAACCCCCTGCCAAGCAGGAAACACCATCAGAGCACTCCTGACATATGGTTGTCTGTAACAAATCCATTTACTAATTGTACTATTAGGGTATAGAAAATCTGGCAACCTAAACTTACACCTATTATTTCATTAATCCCAATATCACACCACCCAGCAAAGGGAGAGATAAGCAATTTGAACATTGGAAATCCATAGGATTATATACATAATGAGATTTGTATAGCAATAATCAACCTATATCTATTAACCAAATAAAAATACCTTTGTCAAATCTTAACAGTAACT